AAAAATAAGGAAACTTGACCTAGAAATAAAAAGAAATTGGTATAAAATAGTAAAAGCAATTGATGCTTGCAATAAAATAACAAACCTCTTGGCAAAACAAATATAAGGTATTGCAGTTACATATAAAATCGGAAAGAAAAATGCAATAGAATGATAAAAAATATCATAAAATAATATGGTAGTATTCGTGTTAGATGGGGCAATAATTTCTTGGTTCGATAGATAATGTCAACATCTGCTCGGGACATTATTAACTTTTACATATCATATTAGTCTACAAACTACCTGAATTATTCTCTTATTGCTCTAAATTTACAGAAAAAATGACGAAAATCGAAAAAATATAAATATCAAGCGAAGAACTAGGTTGCAAAGCAATTTACGTAGTTAAATCAAGGGTGTGCAACATTTACTACAGGAGGACCAGATAAGATAACTGAGTAAAACCGCAGGTCACACTTTCATTCAACACAGGCTTTCTGGTAATAACAAGTACAAAAAGTTTTGGTTATTGATGACATGGGTGACAAATTATGACTTGGTTCATCAGTGCCGGAATATAGCCGGGTTGATATCGGATAGGTACCGACATGGGCGCAGCCAAAATTTTCGGTGAAATTAAAACAGACTCTCAAATCAACAACTCAAAGTGCAAACTGAAGTGAATGCGTCGTTCACAGCGAAATAGCACAGTTACGTGTAGCCAGCCCCTTATGTGCCTGGCGGTTTATGGTGAATATTTTGTAAGTCCTATTTCAAATACCGATCATTAATCCGTAGTCAGTAGTACCCGCATTTGAAAATAGAACATTAGAAATCGTGAGAATTAATTTTGAGAGAAGTGTAACTCGCGGATATCAGTAGCGTCAAAATCGTTTATAGGTACAAAAAACACGCTCGCATGTAGCGCCGATCAAATGCATTAAATGGGAAACTATTAATGGATTTTAAAGTTAAACAAGTTGATTTCTAATTGTCATTCAATGATAATTAACATGCGTCGTGATTAGTGGTGGGCAAATAGTTTTTTTAGTCGAATTATTCGAATATTTTCAACGAACACAACACCGAATAATGAGTATTGTCATTTCAAACAACCGTATTTGGGATGTCGGTCGCCGAAACGGTCGCCGTGACAATTTTATTTTTCAGAATTTACTTGAAGACTAAAAACTTCGCAACAATGCGGCGCTTTTTATTCCATAATTTTGTCATAATCCAAGGCCGCAGTAATATTTTTGTCACCGCGATCCTTTCGGCGGCTTGACATCCCAATTATTGATGATAAACTATATTAAAGCACTTTTTAATCACTAGTAAATATTATTTCTCATGCAACGGCGTATATCGTAGTTTGGTTTTCTATCTTTTAAACGGAAATTTGATTTCACATCGACGACGATGTCAAAGACAACTATTAAGATGTGCATTCACAACACAAATTAATTTTATGCTCTTTTTTATCTTTTTTGAAGAATTTGTATCACAGTTCGTAAATTAAGGTCCCAATTTTAAGCGAACAGTATTACTGACCCCGGAATGCGATATTTGTGAAGCTGATAGTTGGACTTCTTTATGCTTTTAATTTTATATCGTGTCCGTGTTACTTTCGTATCAAATAATAATAATTAAAAACTCCGCAAATTGGTAATCTCTTGAATACTCAGTGTTGAGAATTCACGTAACTCAGCTTAGGAATAAAACACTGATACTAAACACTTGAATAAATCGGCAATAATGGCATTTCTACGTGGTCAAAATTATATTTCTCCCCGTCCCCAATATCTCGGAAAATTTCCATAGAATACAAAATTTACCAGTCGTACTTATCTGGTTCGACAATTTTAAATTTACAAATTTAGAAATTGAAAAATATGATAATTCTTACCCGTAACTCGTTGTAAATTAATGTTAATAAATTCTAATTTGCTTTTAAATGCGCTGTTATTTGTATAATTAAAGTGATTGAGTCAGGAATGGAGAGAATGAAATACGATTTACTGAATTGCAAGCGGGACACCTTCGACAAGTGGCATGTTGTACAAGTGTGGCACGTGGTACAAGTGTGACACGAGGAACAAGTGGGACACGTGAGACACGTGAGACACAAGTGGGAAAAGTGGGACACGTGAGACAAGTTGTACACGTGGTACAAGTGGTACACGTGGCACAAGGGATACAAGTGGTACCAGTGGTACAAGTGGTACACGTGGTACAAGTGGTACACGTGGGACAAGTGGTACAAGTTGTACACATGGTACAAGTGGCACAAGGGATACAAGTGGTACCAGGGGTACACGTGGGACAAGTGTGACACGTGGGACAAGTGTGACAAGTGGTACACGCGGGACAAGTGGGACAAATGGTACAAGTGGTACAAGTGGTACCAGTGGTACAAGTGGTACCAGTGGTACAAGTGGTACCAGTGATACAAGTGGTACCAGTGGTACAAGTGGTACAAGTGGTACCAGTGTTACAAGTGGTACACGTGGGACAAGTGTGACACGTGTGACAAGTGTGACAAGTGGTACACGCGGGACAAGTGGTACAAGTGGGACACGTGGGACAAGTGGTACACATGGTACAAGTAGTACACGTGGGACAAGTGTGGCACGTGGGACAAGTGTGACACGTGTGACAAGTGGTACACGCGGGACAAGTGGCACCATTGGTACACGCGGTACAAGTGGTACACGTGGTTCAAGTTGTACACGAGGTACAAGTGGTACACATGGGACAAGTGGGACAAGTGGGACACGACATTTTTGAGACACCGCGATGTAGGTGCACTTCCTATGACACAAAATCCATACCACACACCTGAGAACGAAATTAAAACGAAGTGCAATGCACGACGCCGTAAGGCGTTTAATGAACATACTCGTCAACCATATTTCGTATTTGGCGGTAACAATCTCCATTGGTCTCGTTCTAATGTTTTATAAGTAAGATAGCCGATGGGTATTTGTCATAGAGAAACGAATGTAACAACACTCTCATAAATGTTGTAAGCTCAGTACAGAAAAACTTGTAACCTCGATGGCTCGCACAACGCTGCTATATGATTCTAATATGAATTAGGGCACCAACTAAAATTTACACGAAATAAAAAGACAGCATTAAATTGTGACGTCTCGAAACGATACACGAGTATAAAAATTTATAAAAATGTGCGCCCTGGTTCTAAAACTAATTTCCTATGTGCCGCGAAATATCAATTCATTTCCTAAGGAATTGATTCTTGTGCGGCTGGATTTGAAAATAAAACAATAAAAATCGTAAAAATTTATTTTGAGAATTTGATTTACGACTCAGGGATACCGGATATAATCGCTTATATTCACCTTGAAGCAGTACACATGAAATGATGAAGCAGAGTTACGACCTCCGTAACTCCCACTGGCTACGCCCCTGGTTACTGCTTTACTGGTAAGTGACAAGACCGAAGACAGGGCCCGGTCGACTAGACGAGTTGCGGTTTACATCTCAATTTCGCACCTTAAACTCGACGTTTTGTGCCTTTATTTAAGCTGAAAACACCTCTATTTTCCAGCGCGGGTCATGTGGCAGCAATGACGAAACGCAGATCTGAAGCAGAAACCGAAAGCCAGAAACAATAAATTGTTTTATTTGTTTGTGCTTTAGATATCTTCCTTAAAATGAAAAACGCCATACATGAAACATAACAATAGGCAGATTAGAATGGTACTCTCATTCCTTGATATATTTGAAGTAACTAAACTAGCAGTATTTTGATCACATTTGGGTTTTCCCGACTGCGGCACGCAAGGTCTTCTCAAAACTTTTGCAGACCGTCAGTCTTACAACCTTGGACCACCCTCCTACTGGGGCAATATTTTCCAACCGTTCCGAACAATGTTTTCCAACCGAGCCATAAAAGTATCGAAACCACTGTTCTAGGGCCTAGAGCAGTGCTCGTCAACCGGGTGTATAGTACGCCCCAGGGTGTACCAGAGGTGTACCGTACAGACTGTTGTAAGGTACACACTATCACACGATATGTTTCTAACCCAGGAAGGACTTTGGGACGATGGCTGCTAATTTTCAAGATATCTTTTGTCTTGCAAAAATTGTCATATCTAACTAACAGCCATATTTAAAATTACATAATCAGTTAAATTTACCGAGGGGAAAGGGATGTGATATTTTTGAACCTAGTAGCAAGATTGAATTATTTTAAAACGAAATTGTGGCAGAACAACGTATCAAAACGTGTTTTTTCCGGTTTGGAATGGTTGGACTATTTCACGGAGATTTGTGAATGCAAAGATGAGATCAATTGTTACCATGTTTCCCCGAAAATAAGGCCTAGCCAAAAGTAATAACTAGCCTGGATTTTTAAAATAATCTCAAGAACTTGTCTTATCTTCGGGGAAACACGGTAAGCACCATCTGATGTGCTACTGCTAAACTTCGGAGGCTATTTTCCGGATGTTAAATATCAAAATCTTGGTTTTCCAATATGGGCCATTCAGCCATTTACAAGTGGAGAGGTTGTTCTTGCCCACATAACTGTTGAATTACGATGAGATCTTGTACAAAAGGCGGAGTTCAACACATATAAAAACTACAACTAATTTGGGGCAGCACATTTAGGAGTCCCCGAGTATGGCAATCTTTCACAAAAAGCTGTCACCATTCTCGTGCGAATGCCTACAGCCTTACGGCATACTTTTCCAAACAAGGGTTGTCTGCATTCATTGAAATTAAATCCAAAAAAAGAACAAATGCCGATGGTATCAAACATCAACGGTCACATTTACTAAATAAGGAACTATTGCGTCAACATAAACATTATATAACTTCTAAATATTGAGTGTTTTTCGTATTAAAAATGTAGGACGGACGGGATGTACCAGATTTTAGGAAATGTTTGAAAGAGTGTACCATTAAAAAAAGGTTGACGAGCACTGGCCTAGAGTTCATCAGTTCATTTTCCTATCTGCCTTTGATACATCATGAACACACTTCATCGAAAATACGGTATTCTGTTCAAATTTATTGAAAAACTGAAATATCATTTACGTAGCATTATCAAACATACTCGATATTTTTGTTCTTGAGAAATTCAAGAGGATTACAGAAATAGTATCTGAAATAAAATAAAAACAGCTAGTGTTAACGAATTTCTACAGCCAATTGGATTTGAGTGTAGGTGTGGTCATAAGTTTAGGAGAAACTAATATATTAACGGACTAAGAATCTAATGCGATAAGTTTTTGTTGAGTCTCCAATTTGACCATGTTTATATTGTCTTATGACTGTACGTCGTGCATATCTCGTTCTGGCAATACAGGATCCAATTTAACGTTTGCAATGCATAACGTAGACCAGATGTTATTACTTTGGTACCGATCTCGGCAGTTGTACCTTTTATATTGTTATGAGTTTAGTTTATTGGATAAATAACAGGCCAAGTGCACCTGGCATCCCCGCGAAATGAGATTCCGATAGTTTCAATTAATGTACAAGAGCTACTTACTCGACGTCATTTTGTTTTATCACAGCACGACTTTCCTGCTTTGGTACATTTGCAAGTTTCGGGATTACAGTTACACTTACTACAATCACAGGAGCTCGGGTCACAGGTACATTTACCTGTTACTAAAACAAAAAAAGTTTTATGTCATCGTAAAGTTACCAATTCTTGATGTAGGCCATTACATTTGCAAATAAAACAGCTAAAACTATTCTCGGACGCACCATTTAAAATTACGACCTCAAATATGATAACATGTTGATAAGCCATTCTCAATTACGTATTTCATCGAGCTCAACTACCCAGAAGTTTCTAACAAATGCTACCAGGAACATGAAATACTGTAGAATAAATAATCGATACACTGTGTCGTACAGGTATTAGGATTACGGACGAACAGTCAATATTTTTAAACCATGATCTCACTTGAAACTCAAACCGCCTATTGTTTCAGAGTAGTTGTAATCCATGAAGTTGCACACAATTGAACTGATTTGAGTAGCGCACAAACGGAATAAAAAGCCCTGAATCAAATCATTGAAACAACAAGCATTAAAATCTTGTATCTATAAACTACAAACCTGCGCAGTTGCAAGGGTCCATGTTGTGAACAAAACACGAAGAACACGCAGACAGCGAATGGGATATCGCGTATTGAGCGAGTTGCTCGAGAAGATCAGCGAAATGTAATTATTATTAAGGACACAATCAAAATAAAATGACACGGTCGGTCACGCATGAAATTGCGCGACTCTCGAGTTTCTGAAGTCACTGCGAAATGGGGACGATATTTTCGGATTATTGTCGCATCAACGCATTTCAGTTGTATTCTCACTAATTCACGCCCCCTTCATGTACTTTAGCATTCATGAATCTCACTATTCTACTGATAATATGTAAGTCAATGTCCTCTATCACACAGGATTATGACAAACATGCATACGTCATGCAGAACAAGTTGACAGATCACTCGTAGAAAGCCCCCACCATTAATGCAAAAATGTGAGATTTGAGAAAAAAAATTCCGCCACGTTTCAAAATAGAAATCCAGTAAATATATCCAGTTATGATACGGGTTCGGAATAATTTGAGAATCTGAATTTCCAGCGTAATCTGTTTTGAGTGTTTTTGGCAGTGGGTTTCTAAAAAAGATCCAAGTTCACTTCCTTATCCGCCAACAAAACACCAACCATAAAAGACTGTCGTAATTTAAAGTTATATTTATGTTCACTCTTCCGACATGCTGATAAAACAGCTATGCGCTTGTCGGGTGCATCAACTAGCAAATTATCAGTAGCCTATTTGTGTTCGGGTTTCTCAGAAATGAAACACGCGATTTCACGATTTCGTTCTCCTATGATAAAATCCTTGCAGATTGGATAGCTAGAATTATTTGCAACAGTGGAGACGTTCCGTCTTCAAAACTGCGTTTCTTTATATTGCTCGAGCATCAGCGACGTTACTAGAGATGTACCGATGTATCGGTATCGGGTATCGGTATCGGCAATATCGGTCATTTTTTCGGTATCGGCCATGTATCGGTATCGGTTAAACCAAGGCCGATATTTCCGATATATTTATCTTTTTGATATGGTCCAGAATATTTTAAAAGATAAGTTTGAATACTACTTTTTAATTTATTTTTTGTCTGGAGAGATCGTGAGCTATGAGCCATACATGTCCCCACCCCCGCGAGAGAATAGGATTCACGTGTTTTTAGCTATTCATCAGCCAAACTAGCTCAATTAATTTGGCTATTTTCGCTGTCAAATTTTAATATTGACATTTTTAATATTACATAGTAATTATGAAGAAATATATCAACACAGCACATAACAAAAAGCAACTAGGCGCCCAGTTTCAAATCATACAGTGGAATTGGGGTCCTTATCAACGGCACATGGACTTTTGGCACGGGTATAAGTTCTGACTGTTTGTCGTCAAGTACGAGTGTCATTTAGTCCGTCGACATCGATAAACTAAATTCCGAAATTCAAAATATATGATTGTAAAATATTTTATATTATAAAATAGTAAAGTAAAAAAACATCCTCGACGGTTATAGGTAGGCCTTCTTTTTGTCGGTGCTGATTGATATTCTTTCATTTTGGCTTTGACTTATTGCGTCGACGATTACGATTAGCCACGAAATAAAATATTTGTAAAATGCTTTTAATCTGAACGTAGGACGGCGGCGCTAGAATGTGTGGGTGATATTCGATATTCTTTTAAACACGAATAACGATATTCGAAGGTCGCGATATTCATATTAAGTTTAAATGGGACATCCGGGCTTAATGAGTTTTCTAATTGAACACCGAGATTACTAGCGTTACTGTATAATGTATCTTAATCAGTTGAAGCAAACACCAAACATTAATTTCATATTATGTGATATATCTTTTTTTTCGATCTGAAATAATGTGTACTATGAACAACGCTCAAAGACCATTGTTTTAACCCGTCTGCCCTACACAGCACACCTAATTAAGTAATAATTACATAGTATCGGTATCGGAATATCGGTAATATCGGTCTTTTTGTGGTATCGGCGTATCGGTATCGGTATCGGCGTTTTGGCTGGTATCGGATCGGTATCGGTATCGGCGACAAAAGTGGTATCGGTACATCTCTAGACGTTACACGCCATCTGTTACGCTCAACATTCAGGAAGTGGATGGAAAGGAAAGCCCAGCTTATCGCTAAGCGCTAACATCGCTTGTCATTTGTTGCTGTTGTAGCGAGTACATTAGGGTAGTTACACCAGTGTATTTTAATATTTTCACCACGTATTTTTAATGGTACATGTTATTTGCATGAAACAAGGTCGTTGCTCCAATTCATTTCCTCTATGATGTATTTCCCTCGCTCAGTTTTGCTCGTGTTTATCGTTCGTAGTAGGTTAGAAATTTGGTTTCATCACACATACTGTATTAAGGTTTTAGGTGTAATTTGTTATCGGTTTTTGGATCAATTGGATTGTGCATTTTTACAATATACAAACAATTAGCATCCAATCTATTGTGTGCTCATTGACTTCTGAGGTGTTCAGATCGGAGTTGTGCTCAAATAAGCGTGTGCCAACCCAATAACGCGCCAGCCGAACACACTGTAGGGACAATATACTCTCTCTCTCTCCCTATACTGTATTATTCTAAAACGAGAAAAGATATATGAAAACACGTTTCCACAAATAATTCAACGGCAGGGGGACACGATTGAAGCGCATTGACAGTGACAATAGGGAACAGATTTTTGCTTTTTAAATATGACGTCACGAACTCGGAAGATTTTACTCGAATACTCAACCTGTTACTCAAACTCACAGTACGTAACGGACTCCGTACGAAGCACCATGCCCGTACCATCCAGTATGTACGATAGAGAAGAACAACACATATGTTCAATAGGCCTACACATTCACTGCAAACAGTACATTGAGTCGTGAAAGTATGGGTGGAATTAAATAGTAGTAGAAAAGAGTGCTACAGGTAAGCATCATTACACGGTGATTCGGCTTTTGGACTTAGGTCATACAACCACATATTTAATTGTTTACAAATTTATTACAATATTAAAATGCAGTTTATATTGACGATTTCTTAGCATAGTAGGCTACTTCAAGTATGTTTCAGTTTTATGTCAATCGCATTTGATTCATGCATGCCATAGAGATAGACGACTTTAGAGTCATAGACGATTCTCAGAAACATGCTTAATAAGCTGAAATTAATTGCAAATTGTGATAAAACAAACTACGGTAATTCAAAATACTATATATTCAATGAATCACCTGTAAATGGATATGTGCAACAGACTTCGCTGTCGTTCCATAGGGTATCTTTGCAGTGTTAAACTAAATATTCTACGACATTGTTGGCACCAACCTCATTTCATAACTAGCGCTGAAGTTAATTTGCGATTCAAGTTTATAAAGCTAACCGTTGCCATGTTGTCTATTTCTTCTTTGCCTTTCCTGTTGAGCTAATCGTTGACATTTTGGACTAGATGGTGGTCTACAGGGAACTTTTGTACGATTAGATTCATGTTTGGAAACAGGCTTCTTAGGAGATGGCTTTTTCAGTGGCTTCTGCGGATGTGGCTTTTTCATCGGCTTCTGCGGAGGTGACTTTTTCATCGGCTTCTTCGGAGGTGGCTTTTGTATCGGCTTCTTCGGAGATGGTTTTTTCATTGGCTTTCTAGGAGACGGCTTTTTTGGGCCAGATGTTGGTTTCTTTGGACCAATGGGTTTGCTATATTTGCTCGGAGTTGGTCCAGGTTTTCTCTGTGGTTGTGAAGATGTTCTTCTTGATTTCATCGCAAAGTACTTCACACCTATTAGTTATATGAAGTTTAGAGTTTGTTTATTCACGTAAACCGTTTTATTGATTATTTAACGTTCATCCGGAAAATATTGTACGGCGAGATACAAAAATCCCAATAGTCATAAGGCATTCACATAATAAATTATAAGTTATTATTTATTTACACCCATGATTGAATTGAAATTATCCTATACCTGCTGCAGCACTCTGGAAGCATGCATTATAGTCCGTTGTGACTTCTGTTTGTTCATAAAGAGATCGTTTGTCAAGGTACTTTCCCTTGGAATCAGGTCCCCCGACCAGTGCACCATATAAGATATAATGATTTGGTTTTGGAGAATTAAATGTTGACCAATCGCATCGTTGGGGATAAGGAGGACAGGAACTGTAATGTAGACAACAGTCAAAACTAAGTGATACGAAAGAAAAATGTTACCGGGAGTAATAGTTCACTTTGTTACATGGGTATATTCAGATTTTTACAACGCTCGGTCTTAACAGATATTATAAATTTGTACTTATTGGACACGGTAGTGGACATAACGATCGTTTCAATATTATGTTGTTGTTCTTGTTAATTTTCGTCTTCATCATTATAAAACCGCTTTTCTCTTCGAATACTGGACCAATCGCTTTACAATTTTCAGTGGTCAAAGATTGATTTTTTTGCCAGAAGGGTATTACTTTTATTTATTCGTAAATTTTCTATGAATCTTATGATATCTAATATTTTATCCAAAATTTCGCTGTATTAATTTTTTTTATTATGGGAACAGGGATTTTATTCCGCCAAGCGTGACGGCTAATTCCGAAAATTCTCGCTACTCGAAACTCGTAAGTTTTTTGAAGTTACCGATGATGCTAAATGTGGGGTAGACCAGGGTAGACTACCGCAGTACTGCTTCGCTAGTGTTGATACATTTGTAGACTTCGGTATCCGCATCCGCTGTTACAATAATGCAGTACCTGACGGCTGATTCCGAAATTTCTCGCTACTCAAAACTCAGAAGATCTTTGAGGTTACCGGTAATGCTAAAAGTGGGGTAGACTACTGAAGTACTGCTTCGCTTGGTGTTGATATATTTGTAGACTGCGGTATCTGCTGTTATAATACCGTAGTATCTCAAATCAGTTGGAATTTCAATTCACTTTAAAACAAAATTGTCGGGACCTGTAAAATCCGTGTAGCATTGTATCTGTCTCACAAACGAAGGGCGTATGGCACGTTTTGTCTCCATAATTGCGGTTTTTAGCAAAAAAACTCTCGAATACTACTGTAGAAATTTGTTCCCTCGGTAGATCGAAATATTTTCCCCCGGGGAATTCATTTGTGACGCGTTTTTAGATTGCGTTTTTTTTTGTTATTTGTTTGCCGATATGAAAGCCCGAACTGTCTCGCAAAATCGGGGTTTGCAGTCACTGTTATAATTGATGTCTTTTAATGTTGGGGTTTTCTTAGAATTGATAAACTGTGGCGTACTGGGTAAGTCACCGTAACGTAGCTATGTAACTGCTTCAATGTTCAGTTTTGTTCAGGATATCCTATAGATTTCGGTGAATTGATGGTAAAATATTTCGTTTTGTCCCAAGTGTCCATATATTTGAGCATAGCTCTCTTGTATTATAAAACATTCCCAATTTTCTGAATAGAGGCAAATATACGTTTTTCTTGAGATTGAATCATAACAAAATTTCAAGATTGCTAGGGAAGATGCATATTTTACATTTAAAAAAGACATGATAATTATTCCAAATGCGCGCGTATGTCTCCAGGGTTTTTAACATTACGGATGACATTGATACTTTTTAATCTTATTCTTTTCAAGTACGATTTGGCAGCTAAGTTGGCTTGATGAATCACAGGCAAGTTGTACCTCTCTTTCGGCGCTCTTTATACTTAACCAGAAACAATATTCATAATGTTTAAAGAGTTAAAAAATATGTAATGGAGTGACATGCGCTATGCACATACCTAGATCTATGGTGCGGTCTTTTAGGATATTTCCCATATCCAATTAGGTAACTCTGTCCCGAATCACCCAGCATAAGATCTAATTGCTTCTGAGCCCACTTTTGATAAGCAGCTTTTCGTGGCGCATTCATCGTTCCTGCTATTGCCGCCATAAATGCTGCTCCAGCTGTAATAGTAAATATTCTCGTATGCTACCAAAGTTTATTTGGAGATTGCTTTACTTGAATATATATGTTTAATATTGACAATAATTTTTGTAAAATTGGTTATAACTTCTGAAAAATCGACTCAACATTATCAATTGATTAATGCTTCAGCCAAATTGATGGCATTGCTAGGATTTTTCAGGATTAGGATTTTCGTGATAAATAATAAATATTTTTCCTACCGGCGTATCTGTTTGAACCCCATTTTGTCAAGAAGTGTAGGCCTTGAGGTGTCGTTTTTGCTCTCATCAAATCATCAATCATTTTGAAGAATGGCGTTTTATAATCTGAACCGCCCGTTAATTCCGCCAAAAGAGCCTGTAATTATCGACATTCATACAAACATAAGAACATTGGAAATATTTGGCCAGCCCATCAATTTAATAGTTTAACGCTTGTGAAGTTTGTTGGTTTTGGCGTAACTTTTTGTTGCTGAAAAGTTGATAATATTTACTGCACAGTGATTTTCCCTTAAGAGTGTACCAAAACATCTTTTTATATTTCACTCGACGGTAAACTAGATAGCGTAACAAAAAAATACTTCCGTGAAAGACTGTTGTCTGCATTGGACAGTGATAAAACAATATGCTTTCTAGTTTTAAGATTTAATCGGCTTAATCATGTTTCTCCACTTCTATAACAAATGTTTGTAACAGTTGTAACATAAAAAAAATGTAGACAACCCATTGACTGGGTTTTCTTGCATATAGGTAAAAACTATTTTATAATTAAAATGAATAACCTGCGCTCCACATAACTTCCTATCCCAGGAATATCTCGTTTCAACTACATATTTCCCTTGAATTCTATTATAATGGTTTGTTGCGAGAAGCAAATACTTGTTGTCGTTGGTTGCTTTGTACAACCATGCAGCCCCCCATATCAATTCGTCATCATACCCCGAAATCGAAGCATAAAATTCTTTAGCATCTGGGATTGATTTGTGGTATGTTCCCCTATGTATTTTGAAATGAATTAGACATTAAAAGTAGAAAGATTATTATTTTGAATTATTTTGTCACAAAATACTTCTCGATTACTTCTTAATTATACCTTCTAATATCTAGTCCTTTTGAATATGAACTACAAATGGCATGAAATAATTATTAATACGCTCCATAAATTTTTCATCACACGACCACAAAATTGTTTTTTTTTAAGTATCGACATTGTAAAAAATAAAAAAAAAGTTTGTTGTACGCAAACCGTATTGAGCACCCTAAAGCATGAACAATATAGTAAATGTAACATTTAAATTTGATTTTTATTTGGGTTTGTTTTGTTCAGTATATATATATGCTAAATAATTTGAACTTCCACTTTTGGAATCTGAAAATTGAATACTATTGTCACGAATCGTTTACGTTCATATTTATCCTACCTGTATTTATTCGCAAAATCGTAGAGTTCTTTTGCATGCTGCAATGCTTCTCTAGAGAGCTGCGGATGCGTAGCTTTCAAAAGTATGGAAGAGGCGGCCAGTGCTGCCGCAGCTTCCCCAGCAAGTTCCGAGCCTGGCTTTTTAGCAGTAATCTTATATACTGGTCTTCGCATGCTCATTGTTTCTGGTCTTCCCCATTCACCGTGATCTACATTGCCGTTACCAACCTTATACAGTAGAGGAGTATGTTTAAATGACAATGTTACTTTGCACAGTGAGAACAATACATGAGTGTGTACAACAATAACAACTTAGTTTCGTGTTGGTTGTTTCTTGACTTTGATTATTCGTTCGAGAGGTTGTTTAAAGTAACAACAACAACAATGAAATTATCAATATATTAACGACCAGTTGTCAACCTATCCGTAACAACATGAAGAGTTTCTAATGGTACTATACTGATAATAATATCTTCTCTTACTTGGCCAATAAGTTCGTACTTTGCAGTATGTGCTTTTATGAACCATTCCGCTCCATGTTGTACTGTGTTTATCATATTCTGGAGTTCACCAGCGTCTTCATAAGCGTCACGAAATTTTATTCCACCCCAAGCCAATGTTGTAAGCGAAAAGGCCATTGGAAATGCGAACTTTACATGATCACCAGCTGTGAAATAAATACGATAAATATAAGAAACCTAGCGCGGGGACGTCCGCAAAATATTTACGCTTAACGCAGTTTTTCAAATTTTTGCTGTCAAAAGAAATAGATTGTTCACAAAGCAAAATTTTTGAGACAAATGTTAGCAATATTTTTTTTATATTCCAGCAAAATTTTACTATTTAATTTTCCCAATTTATCCACGCTAGTATAAATAGTGAAATAGTTGCCGTTTATCATCTACCAATCCGATCAATTAAATTTCAAAAACTTGTTCCCATAATTATTTAGTTATCGTATTATGGAATATCTCTGCACCATCAAACCATCCGCCAGATACGTCAGCTCCGACCTCGCATCCATCTTTCAACGTTGAATCGCCACGCCACGGAATGCGGTGGCCGGGTGGAAGGCGACCTGCCATTTGAGCTTCGAAGAAAAGAATGGACAAATGCAGTGCTTTATTGTAGTTGTACTTGGTTCCATCTGGAATTAGAAATAGTTTATTTCGGGCACAACATCCCCGAGTAACACCACAATTAGTCGAAAATTATTGTTTACAGACGCGGTTAGTTATTTGATATAGTATAATACGGCATTGCTATTATTCAATAATTGTATGTATATATATATATATATTTTATTGAATTTTCGTTCTTATAGTAATGATGTTTGTAATTACCAATGTTCGGTTTAAAATTCAGTTTAGTTTGCCCAGCATTTTTCACATGTACTCCGTTTGGCGACCCTCTAGCACATCGAACTTTTTCGGAAATTGGTGGCCTCGTTTGTTGAGCGTCCACAGTTGGCTTCGGTTTCATTGTTGGTTTAGCAGTAGCTGGAGTCATTCGTGTGGTCGTTGCTGAAGGATTTATACGAAATGAAATATACAGTTTCCTCCATTTTATTCATTCAAATATAGGAAAAAAGAAATAAAAATTGAATTGGCATCACTGGTAGTGGTAGTATCTCAATAACTTGATTGGAATTTTTGCAGGTTGAAAGAAATACTATGAAACAAATACTGATATTGTAAGCTGCAATACGTTTAAAATGCAATCGCTGAAAAAATAGAGCGGCTCTAGATTAGTTTCAATAACAAAAGTTATTTTAAAATTCAAATATCTTACCACTATTCCTAACTGGTCAAAAAAGTAAACTAATTTAATCATGAATTTGCGATAGGCACGTTTGTTTTACCTGTTACTTTGGAAGGTTTTGTCGCCCCTGGTTGTGGTTGCGGTAGTTTACTGGGATTCTTTCCTCTATTCATCATTGCAAAATATTTCAACCCTGCATAAAAATGTTGGGACCATAATTCACATAATACATTCATCGTCATATATTATTTTAATTTGAAAATCGATCATCCCTTGCAAACAGCGAATTGCACACGATATAAATACCAATGAAAAACATGTGTTGTAGGATTATTCATTTTTAGTGTTTAGTTCAATTCTATCTTCCTATGTTATTAACCGAAATGCTTCAAGCAATATTCACGTTTATGTAAGGGTAGAGATACGTTTTTATACAAACCAGCTAAAGTGAAGTTATTGACTATATTTTTTCCAAATATGAATAAAAATAGATAATACGTATATCAGAAAATTATATACTTGAAAAAAAGTGAAAAAGTAAAATTTCGGCAAAATGTTTGTTTTCTTCATTATGCTACATGCTACAGCAATTTACATCAAAGATTTTTTCACTTTTTTTAATTAAATACTTTACCTGCAATCGCAGATTGAAAGTTAGCGTTGAAATCAAGAGTTATATGATTTCCTCTACCATTTTCACGATTATCGTGGAAGACACCATCTTTGTCTGTACCTCCCACCATAGCGCCATAAATGATGTAATAATTGCTTTCTTTAGAGTCGAATGTTTTCAAGTCGCAAGTTTGTGGATATGGAGGGCACGAACTAACAATAAAAAACATTATTATTTTAGTACAGAAAACTGACTGAGATTTTTTTGATATCTAAAATATATTTCTACTAAAGTACGGATAAATATTTTAATATATTAACAATTATTCTTCAATAGTAATCATATATCACTGATATATATCACGTCAGGCACATTAAGAGTCAGTTTTATGAGCTATATAAAACAGCCCTCCTGTGGATCGTCCCCTACTAAATGCGACATAGATGTTCTACTTGTAAATATTCACCCAGCTTTATGTGTTGTCATCTGTGGAAAGTTCTTTCCGAATCCAATAACGAAGCTTCTGCCCGTGTCGCCAAGTATCTTTCCTACTTGTTCCTCTGCCCATTTCAAATATGCTTGTTCTCTTGGTAAATCAAGCTTCAATTTAGCAGCCAGTAAAGCAACAAACGCAGCACCGCCTATATAAAGATTTTTTAGTACATATATATCATCGAGTCGTTCAATATGGTTTGAGAATGAAAATCGCTTATTTAGCTTAAATTTTATAAAAACTTGTTTTAAGCAAGCTTATCTGTGCGTCACTTCCATAGACATTGTACCGTATTTTTTAACATTAAAAAAAGTCATCACGAATGAAACGTCTGTAACGCCTACCATGACATTTAGATACTGTCTATTTTGTCAATATTCTTTGGTTTGGCTGACATACGGGTCAGAGAAGCGAGAACTACTTTGAATAAAGTACATTATATTCTTTAGACTTACATGTGTAACGATTTGGTCCCCATTCGTCAAGAAAGTACATTCCTTTTGCTGTGGTATTCCATGTTTCGAGGTTGTTAAGGAATTTTGCCACTGGCTCTTTGTATATTTCGTTACCCGTCATTTCAGCGAGAAGAAGCTAATTAATGCAATAATTAACATAGAGTTAACATCATGCAAAACTGCAGCAGGTCATTATTCTCCGAATAGGTGATCTAAATGTTTACCTGAGCTCCAACAAGTTTACGATCCCACACGTATCGGTCTTCTACCGCAGTCTCTTCTGTCATATTTCGATAGAGTTTTACTGCAGCTTTTAAATATTTGTCTTCGTTTGTCGCTTTATACAGCCATGCGGCAGCCCACACCAGTTCATCCTCGTATCCAGAATATGATTTATATGATTTGGTTGCAACAGGAATTGCAATATGATACATTCCCCTGTAAAATGATGATAAAGCCTCAAATTTCCACCGGCCTGGTTTCAAATCGTACTTTATCTCAGATGCCAATTCGAGAAAATAGTTTATATATAAGAGTATTATTGTGCAGTCATTATGGACGTGTGTACAGATCATGCATCTGATCATTGCGAGAAAAAGTACAGATGCCGGGTAAGAGGCCATTTAATCCGACCCATGAAGCATATGACTTCAATATATACGTTCGATTTTTACGTTAGTGGTTGTAGAATAAACATCTAATAAATAGTTACGTTTGTAGTAGTAGAGTCGGGATCGTGTCTTTCAGACTCTATTTAACGACTTCAACGGTGTCCTATTTTCACTTAGAATTAGTGACGTACAATCGAATTTTGTTTTAATGCTCAACAACGAATGTGTCCCAAAGTATAAAATGCATTTTTCTATCTTGGCCTCAACTTTGAAATGCACCTGTAATCGCTTGCGTTGTGTCGGCCTTAACGTATAAAGCACCATACCTGTAAGTGTCCGCGAATTCATAAAGTTCCTTTGCGTGTTTTAGAGCTAGTTTTGCAAGTTCAGGGTTCGACTTCTTCAGAAACAAAGAAGATGCGGTCAGTGCCGCTGCAGCTTCGCCAGCTAGTTCACTGCCAGGTTTAGTGGCAGTAATCCTGTACGTTTTTCGTTTGGGTGGCATTTCTTCGGGTCTCCCCCAACTTTCATTCTCAAGCTCAGGATTTCCAACCTGTAGCCAAATACGTCAAATAATTTCATCAGAGGCAACATACTTAATGGGCTACTAGTTAGCATTGCGTACTCTATCTTATTATACCAGTAAATCACATATAGTTAAATTAAAATTATTCATTAAAATAGGATTTGTTGATTTACTGCATATCGTTAATGGGGCATTCAGAGAATTTTTAATATATATGGTCAAAAAGTTTTTGATTACATTTGTAAATGTATTTGAACTAATGAAAAGTGATGTTTGTGTCATCAGAAAGTTGAATTTAGATCGCCTACATATAAATTTAGTACATTCCTTTTAGTTTCCCCTGCCTTTTTATCAGCAACTTCATATACTTGTGAGTAGCGGTTTGCTGCAGTAAATTCCAGAAGTATTGTGATCAAGTATAATAAACATGTCACATAGTTAGCTACAAACTACATTCTCATTCTGCAACCATAATTTACCTGGCCAACGAATTCATATTTTGAGATATGACATTTTATCAGATATCTTGTTCCCCATTTGATTGTATCAATCATATTAATCATTTCTCCTGCATCCTCATAGGCATCTCTGAAAGTGATTCCTCCCCAAGCAAGCGTAGTGAGAGAAAATGCCATAGGGAAATTGTACTTTATGAAACTTGCAGCTGAAAATATTTCGGTAAATCATGAGACTGAATACTTCTTGACAACTTGACTGATGCCATCTTATTAGTAGTTGGGAAATGTAGTAAATGATTTTGTAATCAAAAGGTTAATGTGTAATATAACAGATTAAAGTAAAAGTTGCAATATTTGTAATTATGTCCAATTTTCAACATATGCTTACATACCGTTGATTTGAAATACTTAAAGAATTTGAGGTAAGAATCAAACCTTCCATTTATATTTTGGCATAATATTTGCCTAGCATACATTTTTCTTACCATCATACCATCCTCCAGATATGTCAGCTTTTATATCACAACCATCTTTAAGCGCAGAATCGCCTCTCCACGGAATCCTGTTATTTGCAGGCAATTCACCAGATCTTTGTACTTCGTAGAAAAGTATGGATTTGTGAAGAAGCTCATTGTAGTTGTATTTTGTGCCATCTGTAATGAAGAATTTCTTTACTTCTTATAGTTTGTTTTATTCATATTTTCATTTGACATGGTGATACAATTACTCCTAATTAACTTTATCTGAAATGCAACTGTTGATTTACCAATTGTGTTAGGATTCGCTATTTTCATTTGGTGTCAAATATTCATTCTTTACTAAAACTCTTAACTTACCATTGTTTGGCTTGAAGTTCAATTTAGTTTGGTGAGCATTTACAACCGGAACTCCATTGGGTGATCTTTTTGCACAACGAACTTTTTCCGAAACTGGCGGTCTCGTCTTTTGAGGCTTCGCAGTTGTTGAAATCTTTGATGTGACTGGTCTGGTAGTTGCAGGGGTTTGTGGATATATCGGAACGTTTGGTGCAGCGGTGGCAGGTTTAGTTCTTACTAAAGGTATCAAAAATTCAACAATTAATGATCTGGTGACAACAAATGGTGTTGAGAAAAAAGCTCAAAACTTATGCTTGAAAAAATTTAAAATATTTTAGCCTTGTTCGTCTGTAAACGCTCGGACATGGGCATTCTCACATAACAACAGAAGAGTTAACTGATAAATTGAAGTAAAACTGAAACAAAATAATCATAACTTAGTATTATATGTGGATACAGAGATTTCTGTCATGACTGTCCGAAAAAGGTCTTCACATCCAGTCATCCACCGTGTGCAAGTATATATAACCTGTTTTAATGAGTTTAATTCGAACTGTGGTATGTGAGATAGATAGAGGCTGTAAATTGCGATGAATAAATTTACTATCGGCAAGGAAAAATATCAGTTCAAAGTTTTCAATAGAAAGAACTCAAATAATGTAATATATATATATTCTATTACATAATTTCATACGATACAAATATCCAGACGGAACATTGGATATTTTAGATTGTTTGATTATGCAAGGATTTAAAACCCAAACAACATAACAGCTCAAAACCTGTCTACATAAAAAATGAATAAAATAAAAAGTTTTGATATAAACTGAAATATGTTCGTCATATATACGCTATATCACAACATTTTTTCACCGGATTTATCATAAGGTGTAAAATGAAACGCGATCTTACCGGTTTTAGGGGGAGACTTCGTAGTTGGAGGTTTCGGTTGTTTGCCAGGCCCAGGCTGCTTTCCTCTTCGCATCATAGCAAAGTGTTTCAAACCTGAATGCGAATCATTGTCGTTAATACATCTGCAATCACGTAATCACCTATCAGGTTTTGTTTTTAAATCAGTTTACTCCGCGCAAAGCCACACTCGTTTATTTAAGGGTGGAACGAACTCGTCTATTAAATAGCATTGCTTGGATATTTACATTTTGAACTTGTTATCGTTTTTGATATAAATAGGATTACATAAATGATTGTTACACAAGGATAGTTATTATTTTTCAATATGTACAACTCATGGTAATTTGAGCGATATAAACATGCTTGTCCATGGGACATATTTTTCTGTCCCATTCCCATTCCATGGGATTCCCATTGGAATACAATTCGAAAAAAATTGTTAAATTTAGGTTTAGCGTCTACTAAATCAGTCAGTCGAATGTAAACATTGACGAACAAAATTAAGAAAAATAAAAAAAATTGCATTTCAGTGTGAAAGGAGACGCGATAAACCAGAGATGGTTATCGAGCAGCGTCACCTTTGAGGCAGTGAGTCTAATATAAATCATAATGAGAAAGAAGTCAAACATAAAATACTAACAAAAGCCGGACGCCATTAAGCGACCCGGTAACCCGGATAATTAACGAAAGAAAGCAACTCCAGACACGACAGGCCGCGGTCGCCATGGGGACCGCAGATCATTGAACAACCAACCAAGAGTGCCGATGGTTATTCTATGGCTGCGCAAAAGACTTTTGTCCTTTTGGCGCAGTACCGGTATCGTATTTGAGAGGGACATCACCGGATAGTTTTAATTAATTTACAAGCTAAGCAATTTTTCAAATACACACTTGTGGGGCTATGTATGGCTGTGTGTTGAAGATAAATAATATATATATGATAACAAGAAAATAATAAATTAGAATACATGTACGAAAAGACATGCAAAACAACAAAATATACTGACTTTGTTAACTTTATATTCTTAAATATTATACATGTGTGTCCATCAGCCCCTTCACGAAGTATACTGTTAATGCTTAATATATTTGGCTCTTTATAACTAACAAGAGAGTTATGCTCAAATATATGGACACGAAATGTTTAACCATCATTTCCCCGAAAAACATATGTTTTCGTGTCCCACGTGTCCCATGGAAAATACAAATATGTGCTGTCTCATCCCATCACATGGGTCGTTTCCCATGGACAATCCTGGATATAAATAAAGAAAAATCACCTGCAATGGCAGATTGGAAGTTAGCATTGAAGTCGATAGTTATATGATTTCCCTTAGCATTTTCTCGGTCATCGTCAAAGATCCCGTCTTCATTTGTACCTCCGACCATTGCGCCATATATAATGTAGTGATTATCGTCTTTAGAGTTGAATGTTCCCCAGTCGCATGTCTGGGGATAGGGAGGGCACGAGCTATAGACAAAGAAATATATCATATTGTTCAAAAAAAATATTATATTATATATCAAAATAAAGTTTGACAATATTGGACTAACTTATTCCAAAACTTTAATCAAAGAAACTTCACTAAACTTTATGGCAGTGCGTTTATTTCATTCCTATATTTCCATTCATTGGAGGCTGATGACGACCGGAGCTCACTCTATGTCCCAATATTTGTTCTATGCGTTGACAACTCTACACTAACAATATTTACCCAGCCTTATGTGTCGAATACTGTGGATAGTTCTTCCCGAAACCAATGACATAGCTTTTTCCTGTGTCGCCAAGAATCATCCCAACTTGTTCCTCAGCCCACTTCAAATATGCCTGTTCCCTTGGTAGATGAGGTGTCAACTTACCAGCCAATAAAGCAATGAATGCGGCCCCGCCTGAAAATAAATTTACAGGCATTGATTTTTCATTTACCGTCGTAAGCCTCGGTTTGATTAATCAGAATACCAATGGATCACAATTGCAGGTAAGATTGAGTGTTCAAATTATTTCATATATATATGTCTCATTTTTGAAAGATATTGACATGGTTGGACACCGTCCCAACAATGCCAACCCGATCATTTTTAAACAGTACAAGTATTTTTTTTTTGATAAATCGTCTCAAAAATATATAAGACATTATTTATTTCAACTATTAAAAAGCAGTTGGAGTATATATATTGACTGAACTTACATGTATAACGATTTGGTCCCCATTCATCAAGAAAGTACATTCCTTCCGGTGTCGTATCCCACGTTTCAAGACCATTGAGAAATTTTGCTAGTGGCCCCCTGTAAGTGTCTTTTCCTGTCATTTCCGCAAGTAGAAGCTGATTAATGTAAATAAGTTATATATTACTAAATAAATTTATGATAAAATCAGGCCATACAATTGCCGTTTTAGCTATTAGAAAGTCTTCATATATGTCGATTACAACAAGCCATCAAATGCATATACCTGCGCTCCAACAAGTTTTCGATCCCAAACATATCGATCTTCCACCGAGGATTCGCCCTTCATATTTTGGTAAAATTTTTCAGCTGCTTTCAGATAATTTTTGTTGTTTGTTGCTTTGTATAGCCATGCAGCTGACCAGACTAGTTCGTCTTCATATCCAGAATATGACTCGTATGATGGACTCGCTACGGGTATCGCAATGTGGTACATTCCCCTGGATATAATATTAAGAAAGACAATAATATTCATATATATATATATATTAATGAAGAATACGTAACCAGCTAAAATTTTAGCACTATTAAACTTAGATTGTGCAGTAACTGAACAACCCTGAATTTGTAAGCGGAAACTTATGATGTATAAAAAATTAACTTTCAAAGACAATTTTGTAAATTTTCTTATTCTCATTTTTATTACAATCCATATGTAATATATCCTTCGCCAACTTACCTGTAAGTATCAGCAAATTCATAAAGTTCTTTCGCGTGTTTTAATGCTTGTGCAGAAAGTTTCGCGTCTGTTTTCTTCAAAAAAATAGAAGAGGCGGCCAAAGCAGCAGCAGCTTCCGCAGCAAGTTCTGTCCCTGGTTTATTTGCAGTAATTTTGAAAGTTTTTCGTATTGATTGCATTTCTTCAGGCCTTCCCCAGTGTTTATCTTCAACTGCAGGAGTTCCAACCTTTTAGCAATTATATAATTACGCAAAGAAGTATTGGAAACGAGATACTGCTTTAAATGTCGCGCTGCTGACATTTCCATCTACAACTAGGATGTTAAAGAATATTGGGAGATAATAAGAGATAAAATGACAAACGGTGAAAACAATTAGAAATGAACACTGAATCAGATATAAAATATACCTGGCCAATAAATTCATATTTTGAGATATGGCATTTTATCAGATATCTTGTTCCCCATTTGATTGTATTAATCATATGACTCATTTCTCCTGCATCCTCGTAGGCATCTCTGAAAACGATTCCCCCCCAAGCAAGCGTAGTGAGAGAAAATGCCATAGGAAAGTTGTACTTTATGAAGTTCCCGGCTTAAAGTATAAAACATTAATAATGTTAATTAATACTATGTAGCCTACAGTTATTCTATCGATTTATGCGTGAGTTTTTTATTTTATTATTTACATTCTCAGATCATTTAAATTCAAGTTATGGCCCTAACCGAGTGAGGAAAATTCGATATCGAAATACATGGAGGCAAATGACAAGATTTACGATATTATGTAAAAGACAATTCCAGTGGAAATTAGCAAACGTTACATAATGAAAAATAATACTCGGTCTCAAACATCTTGAATAGAACCATATTTCAATCCCGTTTAAACAAAATTATTCAACCAATTACGTTCTAGCCTTATCTTTCATTGAAAACGTTATATTATTGACCTCATGAATCTATTACATCAGTAATTTGGGCCTTGTTGTTAAATTTAAATTGATGTTTTCATGTTTGCACTTACCATCATACCACCCTCCAGTAGCGTCTTCTTTTATATCACAACCATCTTTCAAACCGGAATTTCCCCTCCACGGAACTCTGTTATTTGCAGGTAATTTACCCGATCGTTGGGCTTCGTAGAAAAGTATGGATTTGTGAAGAAGCTCGTTGTAGTTATATTTTGTGCCATCTATGCAAAGAAATAAATTTACGTCAATATTAGTATGAAATAGTTAGCATATTTTGGATTTATTTTATGTGTGAATAAAAAGGTAGAAAAGATACAGATGTTCAAATTCGAACCCAGAAAATACAATTAGATTCAAGAGTCTTGCTGCACACTGACACAAATGTATATTATCAGTTTTTATTCACTTTATGTTCTAGGAATAGCGAGATACTGAAACGCGTTTCGTGAAATCACCCGGAGTGTTTTTTTCGGTGCATGGCTTGTGCCACGACAATCAGGACAACCATATTCAGTGGACAATAAAGGACTTTGGAATTTCCATGACGACGAAAAAAATGCTGAAATTTGCAATGCGCATTACGCTCTTTTTATAATTAAAAAGATATCATGCACACTGAAAATAAAACAGAAATATCAAGAATTCAGTTTTAGAAGCTATAGAGATAGCTAAAAATGTCACATAAATTTTCCGTTATGCATAGTTAATAACGGAATTGATATCGTACGCACTGAATATGAAAAACACAATTTCGTGCAAAATATGCCATTTAACGAGCCCTTTTAAAGTTACTGTCATGAATTTATTCCGGACTATGATGACATGAAATTCAATCTATATTCAATCAATTTTCTATTTAATATAGAGGTAACTTATTTCAATTATTTTTCATGATTATACGACACAACTTAATAGTAGCGTCAACGCTGGCCAATTATCATTGTCTTTGTTAAGTTCAACGATATGCTGCAGCGGGTAGCGGTAAAGAAACAATGGCCTTAGATTTTCTTGCGCCATAAATCCAGCAAGATCAAAATAAAAAAAATGCTTACACAAAAAACTGTTGGATTTGACTAGCAACAATGCGGTTATAACGTTTATGATATCACAATACAATAGATTCATTCATTCCTCACAACTTGTTTTGTAACAGCGGTTCGATTTGGAGGTGCATAAGGGATGACGCAGAAGGTTTTTAATGGTATACGAGAATTATTTTTTTTCGCACCATACTATGCGCCGCTTGGAAAACAAAATTTTATTGACATGAATCAACGACAACGGAAATATGAAATAATAATGGAGCAGGATGCGGTGGGATGACGAATTACATTTTCTTCAAAACCGTCCCATTATGCAACCGCGAAAAGAAATTTTCCGCAGTAATATAAACAGGTATTGGTACTTGGTACGCTAATCCGCGCTGCAACTAAGTGCCGCGGGAGCAAAGCCCAAAACTACAATATGGCAACCACCGATTAAAAAACTTGCGGAAAAGTTGCAACAGAAAATTTCTGATGCAAACTTCGATTAGTATTAATAACTACGTCAATGATGTAAACTGATCATTGTCTACGATAAAAAAAAAAATTTCAAAAAAATATAATTTATAACCCGTACATTAAAATACGTTCGCCATCCCTGTTAAACTCCAAGGATGTTTAATGGTTTTCAATTTCAATCGAATTATTCATGCAAAAATACCGTTATTAGCCTTAAACTTCAATGGTGTCTGCTTGGCATTCACAACAGGTATCCCCATCTTGGCATTCTTTGTGCATCTTGCGCTTCCAGTTTTTCCGCCACCTCGATTTTTATTACCTCCTCTTTTACCCTGTCCTGTGTATCATAAATGCATAAAACGTCAAACAAGTGTTCTATCTTTTGTAATATCTTCAAAAATGACACGGGTCTATAACAAAAGATAAAATCGATCGCATTTGGGACATTTTTAAATAGACTCGACCCATTATTTAATAGATCAGTTTGGAAACAATTTCATTCGAAACCTGTTGTCGATTGGCACCACGATTTATCATCGGTATTTTGTCATCCAAATTTTGAAAAAAAGCAAAACCGCTGAATAACGTTTAATTACATTTTTATACCGCACTATATGTGATCTGAACTTTAGAAGTTAATACATATAGGTGGACTTAATGTAGATTAGTCCACCATAACAGCATAATTTAAAATCGGTCCTAAAAATTATGAGAAAATCTCGAATATACTTTTTTTTTATATCGCAGTTAATTAGTACATCATGACTGCAAAATTTCCGGATGGCTGTTCAGAAATTTGTGACAAACACAAATCTACGTCAGGCGTGAATAACCGATATAAAAAAATTGATGTGTGGTGGCTCCCTTGTCAGCGAAATTTATACTATGCGCAAAACTTACCGACACTCTCTCATGTTCTGGTTTCCACAACCATCGGAATGCTTAATACACAACACCCTGGCTTCCGTTAACAAAATGAATGCAAGTGAAGTCGAAAAATTACGTTTATTTGGTTAGTAAATGACGCAACATGCAAAGAATTAGCGTGTTATTTACTTCCTGATTTGGTGCCTTGAGTTTGTCTTTTTGAACGTGATTTTACTTCATTACCATCAGCTAGGGTTGGAAATCCCCCATCTTGGGGTCTCATCATTAACGCGTCACCAGTTGTAAAAGAATCAGAACACAGAAACACTTTCCCTGCAAGATTATTTGCAAATGTGAAAGTTAAAGCATGGCAGTGCAAATGTGAAAAAGAAATTAGATCGAGAATCAGAGATTCCTACAATAAATATTAGTCAAACATCCTTTAAAAAGTTAGATTTGATATTCCTTAAATCGTCGAATATCGTTATTACTATATTTAGTTTATTGGGCGATTAATATTGAGTGTATTCGATAAAAAAAGATATAATATTATTTACAAATATAGTCTCATGGATTGACAGTACGTGCCGAGCTCATGGCAATTTAACCAACCACCACGTCTAAATATCGTTACCCGACGCTGATCCTGAAATAACTTCTCTAGTAGTTGCGATGAAATTAATTTTTTTCTCTCCGGCATTCAATCTTGAGTCCCAGGCGTGAGGTCCAAACGTCCATATCAATCCGTCAGCGGACGAATCAGCGATGCGACTAGCCCATACCTGTGCAATTGAAAGAATCAACGCATTGATACCAATAATATGCGTAGATCTATTTAACCCGCAAAATTTTAAACTACTACCTCAATGGATTTAACTGCAGCATCGAATACAATCACCATAGACCATTCATTTAGATATCCAGGTGAATCGATTATCGCGTTGGCAGTGAATGAATGCTCACCACGATCCGTCCAGGATTTCTCACTGACATAAGCTGATGGATTTCGTTGAACTGTAAATAATTTAAGAATGAAATAATTAATAGATTCTAAAAAAAACTCTGTAATAGTTAAAAAAAATCGATGTGAAAACAACTCTAACAAGCAAACAGTATCAGATGACAATGTAATATTTTAATCTTGAACGTATCAACTGCCATTCTCGTTGTAAACTCACGCCATACTGGGTCTGAAAAAATTGTGATGCACATTTGTGCTAGGCAAAAAGAGGCACATAAAACTATTTAAAAGAAATACAAATTTACACAAATCGAGTCAATTCGTAATAAGTTTGAAAACTTAGTTTCCGTGTGCTCCAAACAGCACTACAATATTGGCGCCAGAACACATCATTGCGTAGAACTACTTTTGTTGTTTGCTAAATATATATATTTATACTCACGAATACAATACCGCCCATCTTCGGGCAAAGTAGTGACTGTAGTTGTAAAAGTGATTTGTGGCGACGGAGTAGTTGTGCTTTTGTTTGTTGTTGTTGTTTGTTGTGTCGTTTTTGCCTTTGCTGAAGGTCGCCTGTAACGATAACGCGGTCGCTTTCGTTTTTTGGGAAGTTTTGTTTTTGAAGGCATTGGTACTTTGGTTGTTGTTGATTTAGTTGTCGTTATTGTTGTTGTGGGAACAGTTGTCGATGATGAAGGTTGGGTATCGTCATAGATTCCATTCTCCGCATTCTGACTGCTTGCACTTACCGGTTTGATTGCTGGCATTTGTGGAGCAAGCACACACGATGCATCACTAATTCTAGTTTCATACAATCCCACGTAAGCTAGAAAAAGGGTTTGCTTTTTAAATATCGTCAGATGTATAGTTGTATCATGTTGTCAACACCTTGTTTTCAAGCATGAGTTACAGTTTAGTAGTAAGATTGCTTCTTGGTATCTTGTGGTACCTAGTTTCCAACACATCGCATAACACATAACCGAGGGCATCATTATGTCTCACCAAAATGGCCAAACAAAATGATCATTCCATGTTTTAACATTCCACTCTTTTTGTATATTAACGAATAACCGTAGTAGATAAAATTTATTTAAGAATGAAATAAATGATGTGGTTTCTTTATTATGATGACGCCTTGGACAAAGTTAAATCCAATATACCACTATTTAAAGCATTCTTAATTGCCTACCTGCTGAAGGAAGTTCTCCATCGACGTAGTTTACAACGAAAAGAACACTGAGGTCTTGATCATATCTCAGTTTTGCAGAAAGATCTTCATTGCGGGGAACATTGACAAGTGTGAATGTTTGACCGTCGTATGATGCAGTTGACATTTCCGTATTCCAGCTTGATATTGAAGCGTTCTAGTATACATGGACAGTTCAATACAAGGGGGATAATGAATAGTAATCTCATATTCCGTACTCAGTGACTGATAGAGGATTTATCTTGTGTTCAATAAATAAATAAAGGTTTCCTTGACTTCACGAATGATCATGAATGCTTAGAACAGGAAATGCAAATATAACTTATACTTTTTTAGTTGTTACGACTAAACAGTTTCAAGATTATGTCTATATCCTGTATTTGACTCACCTTTCCCAATGGTCTGTCGAACACGATAACAATTGACCATCCCAAGTTGATATTGATTTTGTTGGGAATTTTGTTGAATGCCACTACACCTCCAAAACCCCTGGGCCACGAGTCGGCAAGATATACGCGACCATCATCAAAGAACGGCATATCGCAATTTGTTTCTGTGTGAATAAATTTTTAAATTTCGAAAAAATAGGTTTGGTATATAAGAAATAAAGAACAATTACAAGCATTCCAAAAATTTATAGATACATTTATCAAATTTAGGTTATCACAACTTTCTTGCATCTCCCTTGACTTTTTAAAATCACGAAACTGCAGTCAAATAAGCAATGAATAAAGTAATCTCCTATTTTATTTTTTAGTTATTTCAGTCTATTAATCTTTGCATCTCAATATTATTTTCCTACGTTCGCATTTTGCTCCAGTCCCCTTCCACAAACATTTATCTCCTCGACACCAACACATCTGTCTGGATGGGCCGGAGATGACATGTCCTGCGTTGCATTTGGTTACGCACATGGAAAAATGGCCAGTTCCATCTGGACATTCAACGTATCCATTATATGGTTTAGTAGGAGTATCACAACTGCCTGAAATAAAGAAAACTTTGTCAAAGAACATTATAGGATTTCAATCAAGCGTCTATTATTGAATACTACTGCCTTGCATAATTTAGAGTCAAATATTAGTATTAGATTATTCGAAAGTTTTTTATTACGATTATTAGGTACAAAGATAAGAAGCATAAATAATGTACATAATGTACACAATAATGTATTTTTCGGACGTCATTTGCATCGATGTCAACAACCTGTGACGTCATTCTTATATAAATATCATTAAAGACCTTGTTTATTCAGAAAAACTGTCATCGCTTGGGACTCGACAGGTCATCCAATTTAGTTGATTGTAACAGATCTCAAACCTGTTAGTATTCCCGACAACGTAACCTTTGACCTCCGACGGTGAGCAAACGACAATATTTCAGTTATGCCAAAATTGACAATCCACGTTTTTTTTAAATTAATTTTTCAAATATCATATGTTTCAAATGAAGTGAGCGAATAAAAACGTTGCCTAATCATCGATATCAGCAATAAGTGAAAACTTTATATTTCGTTCTGATTTCCAATGCAGGCCTGTTTTAAATACCTTCCCAACGTCATAACTTAAAGAGGCTAAATTAACTTGCTACAATTTTTCCAACTTACCGTATGTTGCTTCTGCATATTGCAATAAGCAGACGCCAGTCAGCAACAACACCGCGACTTTCATCGTGCAAACCTTGCTGGAACACTTCGATAAACGAGCTGTCGACAAACCTTACGTAAAATTTGACGATCAATTGAAACGCCAAAATGCCTGCGGCCACGTTGTTGTTCGCGGGACGAGTTCGTACGATGTCAAAAGCTGGTTTTTCAAGATATAAAACAAAGATAATAATAATAAACATCTTATAAGTGACTCATATGATATTTATTACATGTCGGTGTAATAGATTCAAAACTGATAAGTTTGGCTTATCAAGTAGTCTTATCTTTAGTTCAGACACGCGCGGCCACAATTAGATCAGACAGAATCGAAAATTTAGTGGTTTAATTTATAATATTCTGCCAAATGAAATTTAGTATGGCATAAATGTATCTAATAGAAATAAGTCATTTAATTAAAGGGTTCTTGACTTTGCAGCTAGTGGCCTACTTGTAGCATAAAACTTGGGTAGATGACTACCCAAATGATGTATAGAAGTGAGTGTTTGCTCAAATGGATGTATCAAAGAAAATGAAAAATATAACATAATATAGTACTGATAAATAGAATACAAAGATATTTTCGTCGAAACTGTAATTATTGCGCAAACATTTTTGCGTGCCACGTCACCAAACTAAAAATCTTCTTCGGTATAAATTACTGTACTTCAAAATAAACACCGTCAATTGATTGTGAAATTTTTCTCACTAGCAGAAAATCTGTTACGTTAAATTTTCCTGCTAATGACATTCTGATTACCAATGAAAAGCAGACTATCATTTATCTTGTTTTGACAAGAAACACAATTTTCGCTTCTGGATAGAACGTAACCCTAGCAAGCTATATGAAAGGTCTGTTCATTGCAAAAGAGTATTTGTAAGTTTATGAATTTGTGGAGAAAACGCGGATTCGCTTACTCCAGGTTGTTATGTGCAGATGCTGCAAAACTTTTTGATGCCGAAACTCACGAATCTTAGAGAAAATGAAAACGGCATGGTTTCAACAAGCTAGAGCAACTGCCCATACGTCGAAAATTTAATAAATCTTTTGTGAGAACTCTTTTCAACGCATTTGATTTCTTTGCATGACGATATGGAAAAGTCAGCACGTTCGCCTGACCTTTCACCTCGTGATTAACTTTGGTGAGTTTATCTTAAGGATGGGGTGTACAATCACTGATCAACAACAACCATTGATGGACTGAAGGCTGCCATTTGCAAAATAATAATGAAATTCTACGATAAATCACGCATAGGTTGATGGGAAACTTCAGGATACACTTACAGCAGTGTATTGCAGTGGGATGCGCCATCTTCAAGACGTTGTTTTTAAAAAGTAGTTTACACAAAATGACAATCAAAGGCTTCGTCAAGTATGTGATAAAAATTTGACAAAGGGCATTTTTTTATTTTTCCGAAAAATGAAATGTAGGAGGTTTTGTGCCTCACCCTGTATGTTAGACAAAATAAAAACTAAGAAAATAACAAAAAATTAAATAAATAAAAATGGCAACTCAGAAACAGTGCACCATTGGTCAGATCTGTGATGCACTGCTTTCTAATTGGGCAAATCGTGGGATATCTGTTTTTATAATGGCGAGACAAGCCTTGGGCTCAGTCGACAATAAAGCAGGGAGTCATTGGAGGTAACTAACTTGCCACATGCTTGTATTGGTGGCCAGATGTGTGTGCCGACAACAACGATTAAAATTGGTGAGATATTCAAAGTGGTATAGAATTTTATCGAGATGTAAGGAGGTTATATGAAAAGAGCTTAGTATCTTTTTCAGAAATTACTCTTAACCTACTGTAGAGAGTATCCCAAACACACACGATCTCAACCAATAGGCAAAAGAGACAACGGCAATAAACTGGCAGTGCTTGAGTTTGCAGAGAGTAGCAATCTCTAAAAAAAAGCACGCAAATCATGAAATAAATTTTCAGTCTCCAGTCTTTCGGTATCCACTTATGAGATTACTATTCATTATCCAAAAGATATCATTTTATAATGTCAACCTTATCAGAGGAAGAATCTTCGCCTAATGAAAAATGTTTTTAACTTGAAGTGCGCATAGAATTGACATGACAACGTTATTGACAGGAAGCGTTAAAATTTGTCAAATTGAAGAAAATCGATGCATGTTATTGTTATGTATTTTTGGGATATTTTTTTCTTCTGTGTGGTGGCTATGATACACCATGGTGCGAAGTGGAAATACTTCGTTCATATTTAACCAAGAATTACCACTATTTTACCAATTTCTGTTATTTAAAAATCAGTTTCGTTCCAATCAGTTTTGACCCATAGACTCAACTGCTTATGTGTAAATGGATAAAAGTTTTCAAGCCAAATACAGTTAAAACCTTCAAAAATAATTCTTTTTTCACAAGACTCAAAACTTTTTTCGGAAACCGAAATAATCAAAAGTGTGCTACATATGCGCATTCCAAATCGTTTTACTGATTGATTTTGAAACTGGCATCCGTTTAGCCGTTTTAGTTCATCGGTCAGTTATACTTGATTCCAATTTACACTTCATTCGATGAATCGCGCTCCTCAAGCAAGTAATTTCTGCCTCTGATTTCCGTATAAAGTTTACAAAAGTCTTTGATACATAATTTCCAATCTGGTCCATCATATATATATATGCATCGTTCTCTGTATAGCGCAGTATTTACATATTGTTAGCTGTCGTTGCGAAACCTCGTTCGGAAAGAAGATGTGAAAACGCCCAATGCTTTGCAGCAGTTTTAACGACTATCCGCTAAACAAAGAATCCCTCACCAAACCAATAATAAAATCGCCAAATTGTTAGAAAATTCATTATTGCAATATTATTATATATTAAGTGCATTTTCATACCGACTGCTTTATACTAATTTATATATTTATGACGTTAGTAAAGAAATTTTATTTAATCCTTTTTAAATACTAGTATGCAATTTAAGTTATAATTGTTAAAATGTGAAATAAAACAATGTTATTTTCAAAACTTCCCCGTGGAAGTAAAAATGATGAATCATTCATCCGACTCTTGCTGCCACCTCAAATCTTCTCCATAAGTTTCTTCTAGTCTTTGACGAACTTCTTGTGCATGAGCTTTGTTTTTCGTTTCGACGGTGCATGTGATTCCAGTCATATAAACGTAAGAAGCCAAAGAAATTCTGTCGTGGCCTATCTCTTTAACACTGTCGAAGAAATATATCAACTCAAAAATGAATTGAATCATTTGGGCCATGGTAAATTAGAATTGATCGCTATTGCGCTATCTCATTCCGTTATAACGTATTTAGAGGGCAAAAGAACAGAGGTAGGGTTCATAATTATATTACTATCAAAATACAGTATAGATGATACCTCAATTGGGCCAAATCGCCTTCCCATATTTTTATTTCTGTGCGGTCTTTGTCAAATCTTTCCGTCGAACACTAGTTATAACTAGTCGACAGCACAACTGAAGAACTGAATTCACTTAGCCAAACTATCGCTGAGTGTATTATCATGATTTATATTCTTACCTTGCTCCCATATGTGCGAGTATAGCTACAAGTCGAGCTAATCCACCGGGTCTGTCGCTAACTACTACCATGAATCTAGACATTCTGCCCTCTTGCACAAGTGCACGATCAATAACAAGTCCAAGCACCGTTGCGTCAATGTTTCCGCCACATAAAATGCATGCTACTCTATTGAAAAATCAAAGCAATAGATTTTAATTTCAGCTTTAAATTCTGCTAAAAAAGACAATATTGATTCCGCTTGTTCCATGTTGTCAACAAGGATTTAAAGCAAGACTGGAATTGATTGGTAAGACACGTTTGGGAAAGGAATATCTGAATAAACTATATATGGAGGCAATATGACGCTGCTGGTAGTTAGAAGTACAGGTTTCCTCAACTCAAGTTCAATTGGCATTTTTAAACTACAAGATTATCTGGCATATTTTTGTCTCAAAAGTTCAATTAAATACGGAAAAGTGCGTTTTCTTTCTAGCTGGTAAATTGCACATGCTAAACTTACTAAATGCACGTTTTAATCTTTCTTCTGTAACTATAAAGACTAAATGATCGCTCTTACTTTTTCCCTTTGACTTCCGGTAATACGCCAGAAAGAAGTGCTGCGTATCCAATCGCACCCGCCCCCTCCACAACAGATTTCTCTCCTTCTAACAATCGCAATATGGCAACAGCAATATATTTTTCCGATACAGTAACCATACGGTCAATCTTAGCAGTTGCAAATGCATTGTAACCGACCTTCAAAATACAAATTGTTAAGAATATTACTATTACTGAAAAAAGCAGAAAGTAAAACTAAGTCCTATTATATGCTTTCAACTTTACTAGGATGCCCAACATGAATGGGTAGATACAACATTTTCAATTATCACCGAAAAAGGGAAAACAGGACTCACATAAAAGACACGAAACACGGCGCATGACCAAGCGTAGTAGCCTACACCCCGACGTATTCGAGGTTTTCCCCATGCGTTAAGCCAAGCGTAACGTCAGATCAACCAAAGGTGTAAAATCTGTTGGTTTCGGAACACTCAAAAATATGCTAATTTGGAACAACAGATCTTAAGTTTCCCCGGCATACCTGAAACGTTTACATTAAACGCAAATTTTCAAAGCATAGGTTTCGCGTGCAGTGGCGTATCTAGGGTATGGCAGCCATGGCTCTTATCATTAGTGCCGTTTGGATAGGGGCGCACAAGAAGCGAGTTTTTTCGTAAAATGTTTCATTCAAATAATTTCAACCTGGAAATAATTGAAACTCGTATTTTAACTTTAATAAAAAAGTACCATATCTCAATTCAACAACAGTCGTTAAAAATTGACAGTCAACGATCAAACGGGCGCAGTTTTAAACTTTGCCATGGTCGTCATTTTATGTAGATACACCACTGAATCGCGTGTTTGTCATGTCTGATTGGTTGTGGTCGACCCGCTAGCGACCCCGTGAACGCTCGAATTCGGGGTCTCGTGTCAGGTCACAAATTGTATGCACGCTAATTCATTTGATAAAAAAGCACCTCATCATTTCGGATATTGAAATAGCTTGTTAGTGACAATTTTCGAATACATTGTAAAAGAAGCTCAAACCAACCATTGGATGCAATCGATATCAGAGTGTACATGATATCAAAAGGTTATTGTCTGTACATACCCTTATAACATTTAATCCGTCTGAAATAGATTGTTTTGCACCTTTGATTGTTTGCTGACATTTGATTGGTTGCCCGTTTTCCATTGCAGTGTGCCAACTTGGACAACGTTCTGACTCCACACCCTGTGTATTATATAATTTAAGTGATAAGGACAACAGCGATCTCCACTTGTGCGTGTTAAGAAAACAATAATAATTATCTTGTGCACTTAAGAGGTGAAATTGCGAAACAATATTCAGTAGAGTTTACATTTCAAAGAACGTGATTTGGAAAAGGTATACTGAAAGAATATATAATGATGAATAGCTTTATGAACGTGATATATATATGAATAAAAATCCTACTATGTGGGCCAGTTCATATTAATTCACTTACGATGATTTGAACGTGGGGATTAACGTGTTTAATTGCTGCTGATACCCCTGCTACAAGACCGCCTCCTCCTACTGGAACTATGACGTAATCAACATCCGGCACATCTTCTAAAATTTCAAGACCTACAGTGCCTTGTCCGGCAAGAATATCAGGATGGTCGTATCTGTTAAAACGTTATAAAAATTACGGCGATTAGGGCAAGTCCTGTATAGGCATGGGATTCAACTTCAGATTGATTCAAGCAAATAAGGTTTCTTATTAAAAATTACTTTCCAGCATGATCTGTCAATACAATTCTACGCTTAAGTGTGTTAGGTCGTTGAGTTTGATGACCGATTTTAAGCCTGTTTCTGCATCTTGTGGAAGAAGCTGTATACAAACTATTCCTTGAAGTAAACCTTCTTTTTAGTAACAAAAAATTGACAAATACCCGTCAATGTATATAAGGTTTCTCTCGTTTCTTAATTTCATGGCGTGGGCTTTTGCTTCATCAAATCTAGATCCGTACAACACTACCTCTGCTTTTAAATCTCGGCAACTTGATACCTGCCAAAATGAAAAATTATATAATTTTGGATAGGGTCTACTAGACCAGTGATATTCAACCTTTTTTGTACTGCGGAACACTTTTTTTAATCTGAAATTGTGGCAGAACACCAAACGAAATTTTTGGAAATAAACTATATTATGCAATTAACTGACGTCGATCATTTCGGCATGAGAATAAAATAACGAAATCAATAATATAGCTTGTCAACTTTAGGAAAAGACGTGACACATTCCGATTCAGAGCTACAAGAGCTAAAGTACGGTACAAATATATGTTTTTGCAAGTTTGCTTATGAATACTATGATTACGGTAGCTAGAAACAGAAATGGTATTTTAGTGTGATATTTGGGTCTGTTTCGATGAGTTTCAAATATTTTATTCTGTAATTGAGGAGAGACAAACACGCAGCTCTTTCTCAACGGCTCTCAATTTCTCGCGTTTTTTTTTATACGCAACAAGAGTCCAGAAGGTCGGAGGTAGATTTGGAAATTAATAGAAACATTGAAAATTGGCAACAAAGCAATTTTTACTGTTTAATTTCGTCATAATCGCTACTTTTTTGCCCCTGAACGTTTTCATATCACCGCCTTTGTTCTTGTGCGCAAGTATTAATTCTTGCCGATCGGCGGAGATCGAAGTTTCATATTTTGGTATAACTATATGCGATCACATCGGCGACAGATGTTAATGACATTAAGGAGCGATTTTAAATTCCAACTTAATTTTGTTCTGATTTTTATCTTTTGCGCTGGCTTAGATCTAACTTATCGCCGTTTGCAAATTAAACGTTTTAGCGAATAATATTATTATTATCGACAACGGGATGCACACATTTATTAAGACGATAATTGAGTTTCTTATGCACCACATTGCGTGAATCCTGAATGTTGATTTAAAAGCTGAAATAAAAGCATTTCTACTTGGTCATTAGGCGAGATGACGATGAAAAGCACTTCTTTAATGATATCGTACATGCGTGACCTGATGCCAAAAAAATTGTAAACAATTTTTTGTCCAATTGCTTTTGTGCTGATTAGACGCTGATTAGAATTAATCACCTCGGGTTTTAACGTTTTCTTTTCCAACAAAACAATACCGCGACCATTATCATAGCTAAAATCGTTACCTACAGATTCACAATTTTATTTACGGAATTTGCAAATTCAACACTTCACTTGACGATTTTGATGGTGCCACGCCCTAACTGCAAGAAAAGCTTCAAAATGCAACGAATGTAATCAACTCCGATGATGACTCCATTCATGGTCGAGTATAATGTTCACATTTTCGAAACATTATTTGGTCAAGAATGGAATGGATCACTAAAAATACACGCCGAGATAAAGTCTATTAAAAGGGAATATGGCCTGTCATTTCTTATCTGGTTACAAGTTTTTTATACCGACTTTCCAAAACTCTGACTCGCCGTTTTCAAATCGACTTTATTTATATTATTCGAATGACGTCATAATACTTCGAAAAAGCAATTTTTCGCGGAACACCTGGAGGTCACTCGCGGAACACCAGTGTTCCGCGGAACACCGGTTGAAAATCACTGTACTAGACAAATGAAAATTTGAAATACATTACCTTGACCAGAGGTGCCGTTTTAGGCATTACTACTGTCACTGGAATTCCCAATTTTCCACCCTGAAAAGCCATGGCTTGTGCATGATTTCCCGCTGAAGTCGTCACAACACCTCGTTTTTTCTGCTCCTCTGTTAAATTCATCAAGGCTAGTAGCGCTCCTCGGTCTTTGAAGCTAGAAAGAATAAAATACAAGAATTTGTTTCTCAAATATTCATTTTTTTGACCAAAATATACATAATCATGTTTGTATGCGACCCAGTGTCGCATATCATGAATGATCAAATACTGTGCAATTTATACTTTACATATATATTCGCAATTTTTCAGCCAAACATTCACAATATGAGTCATTATTCCTGCATTTTAATACAATTATTATTATTACCAACAAAATATAAAAAGTAGTAACAATACAGTAGTAAATACAAGTTTTGAGGCATCTTCTTTTTTAATGAAAACCATGTATTTGTCAGATTTGAATCACACTTTCACGTGTCATAGGCCCGAGGTGAACATGCGTGTCAAACTTCTCGCTGAGCTTGGTTTTTGCCAAAAATTTTGAAATATTTATTTACGGATAAACTAAAAGAGACATTTTCACTGTTGTTACATTTTTGAGTTTGTTTACGTTCGTAAGGCGTTTACATTTTTACCAAAAAAGAAAGTATATATTTTTGTAAATACTTAAATAAAACGTGATCAATGCATAAATACCTTCCCGTGAACTGCATGAACTCTTTTTTAAAATAAACTTCTGATCCCAATGCTTCAGACATTCTTGTTTTCTAAATTTGAAGGTTAAGGTGATATTGAAGTCCTGCTTCTCAGGTAAGTTGTTATTTATGATCATAATACTACAAAAATTTCCAACAAATTATAATGACCAACCAAAAGTTAACGAAATTTCTTACCGTACATGGTGTCCTAATAACGCCCCCTCTAATTTGATCTTGGGCGTCGCATATTCTTTGACCTTCAACTACAACTGGGTTTTCTCTGTCACAACAAGGATCTGACATCGCGGGATCTGCATCTGTGTCAAGACTATCGTCCATTGAGCAGTTCGAGGAGTCATTCTGTAAACTGTAAATATGACAAAAAAAAAAGAATCTACTCAGGGTAATACCGACTCAATGACAAGTGTTTTCTTAACGCTTGTCACGCCATTTCTCCAATTTTTCACAAAGTGAGCAATCTTACGGAGTAACTGTACAAATTTCGAATATTATTTTACAAAATCTTTTTAATCAGATAGGAATTCAGTAATTCCTTACCCCGGGAACAAAGATATCTTCCGCCTGTAATTCTTGAAGTCCATCTCATACTTGAATCAGAATGCACCAAAGTTAAACCATTCTTTCACCGGATTTTATATACCATGAGAATTAATTTTAGTCGGTTATTATGACGTAAAAATGGAATTGAAGAGGTGGCGATCTTCAGACAACAAAATTCATATCAAAAAGAAACTCGTGAAATAGAAATTTATTTGCGTTATCACTTCATTGTTGTTTGACTGATATAGATTTAATGAATGAAACTATCCTTAAAATTTTCAAAAGCTAAACTCGCATTTTATCTTTGCTTTCTAAGCAGTTACCAGAAAGCACAGTTTACAACATATACTTAGTAATCGATTAATGGACTTTTTTTTAACATTCGACATTCGTGACCGGGTAATAATTAAAATATTTTAATATGAGCCATTGACAAGAAATACTTGACAACAATCAATGTGAAATTAATTAGTTTACTGATAGATCTGTCAATACTCAATACCGTTAAGGTAAGTACGAGTAAGTGTAATGTACGTGTATATCGCATCATAAAAAGGGATCCTTTATTTTCTATAATTACTTCGGCCTGATCATAACGATTATACATTACTTGATCCAATTTCTAGTACCCAACAGGCCACATTGAGTGACTTCGTCGGAATAACACTGTGTAAGCAAATTTTATTTGTTCACAACTTTTTGTCTAGATTTCCTCTTTACTTTTAATATGCATTTTGAGAAAATAACATTATACCTTTTTAAATTTTAGTTTCGTGAAAATGGCGGATTGTCGAATAGTTATTTTTAATGTGTTTGTATTAATATCTTCAAGATTTCTTACATAGAATACAATAAATATCAAAGTGTAATATCAAAAACACTATAAAATAGTACCAGACTATGTTATAATGAAATTTTTAAATTGTTTTATATTACAAATTTGCAGAAAAAACAGATTTTCCAGAAACAAAACTTGAAAAAATAAATGATATTTTTCTTCATTTTGAGGTGCAACCAATAAAATAATAATTAGAAGCCAGGAACAAAGATTGTGCCACACAATGTTGTCAACCATATAGTTTAGGCTAATACCAACATTGCGTAGCGTTTTCATAATTACGTACATAAACCATCAAATTTATTTATGGGTTTCATTCAACTCGATCATATTACATTCTCAATGCGATATTGTGAGAACAATTATTGCAACGTTCGATTTATCAGCATCTTATCTAAATAGCCATTTCACTTGAGCAAGCAAGACTATTTTAATTGTAATTTTAATGTGAGGAAAATTGAATGATTTGCAACGGGTCTGGCAGGAAAGAGGTGTGCTCATGGTCGTAGATATAATGAAACGACAAAAGCATATCAAATTTAAAAAAAATCATAATTTTTCGAAATTAATTTTTTTGATTTACTCACTCTGAAAACTTTCCTTTTTGAAGAAATCTCCAATGTTCTGGGCCGACGGAAACTGGCAATTCCTTCATATTGGTCGGCATATTCAATCCACTATGTTACCAAAACAGTATATTCTGTCAAAATTGTCATCCAAAATTTATCTTATCTGAAGTTCTATTAATATGCCTTTGCATTCGTGGAATAAAACCAGATCTTGATCTATCCTTATTGTTACGTGTAAGAATCGCTTACATTTGGTACGAACTCTGTCTGTTGTAATATGCGAGTTATTTTATTTTAGTATAGAAAGAGGCGTAGCTCGTGGATGCGCGAATCAGGTTCGTGTTTGATCAATAATGAAGACACGCCGGCAGACATTCCACACGTAGCATAGAAAATAACATATGCGATGTCGCAACAACTGAAAAGATTAGTCTAAAACGTTGAGATTATTCATGGAGAAGTCTTGCTTTTATTCAATTCCGATATTCACCATTACACGTTTTCTTAAATCCGCAATATATCTGTTCAGCGAATTAGTGGCAGTACGCTATCACGCCGCGTGATTGAAGCCCGTGACACAGTGCACTTTATGTGCAGCGTACGGTAGGCGTTGCTCTGTAACATTACATATGATTATGGTGTATAGGAGACATAGGTTTAGCCAGTATGATAAGCCAAAAAAAAATATTTTAATCGTATTTATTCAATCTATACTTCCAGGTCGTGTTGAAAATGCATTAGATCATATATATTACCGTGTCTGATTAACCTCATAAATCCAGCTTTAACATAAGATTGGACATATAAAAAATCGTGGATTTATGTTCAGATATCGACATTAATAAGAAAATATACCACATATGGCTTTCCGAGTTGCAGGCCAAACCTCGAATTTCAACCACGGACTGTTTTGCCTTCCTTACCTTTTCGTGTATGACAATGGGGGCTGAACTTTTGTTTAACATAGGGTTTAAAAATATAAATCTCATGACATGCGTTGTTTGCTTAGAACAAGCCAGCTGATAGCGCATTGCACGTCGTCGGCATAGATAATAAATTGGACTCAATCGTGTATAGGTTTTGCGACGCAAAAGGATTAGAATTACCCGCGGGTTAAACTAAATCAAAACTCGTTTCGCGGGCCGCACACCATTCAATATTGGCACTTCTCCGCGGGCCGCACAATTTTTTATTGTGGCCCGCAGATGGCACACCCTTGCCTTGAATAATAAGTCTGGTGAGACTCGTTAATCCAGCAACCATACAAAATATATAATCATGAATAAATCGTGGTTTGCCTCAGATATTGCTCAAGACTAACATAGAAACAGTCTCTATCTGGTTTTGCGAGTTTTTGCCACACCCTAAATTTCAACCATTCGTGTAAAGGCAGACGTGTCGGAATACCACCAAACACGTTTTATAAATTATTATTTTCAGTATAAATTTGGAGATAAATATCTAAGGTTAACATTTTTGCAGTGGATTGATTTTCAAAGGCCGATCTTAATTAAATCCATAACTTTCAATAACAAAAACATAAATAAGAACCAAAGTCACAATGTGATTCATATTATCGGGATCTTCTGCTTGTTATGAACAAAAAAAAAATAGAAACTGATCTAAAACGTATGTGGATTTCTTCTTAATTTTTGAGACACGATCATTGATCTGTATAAAGACGCATATAGATTGTGCGCTACCTGATCTCGGTCAACTTGGTGATTAGTCATCGGTGATCAGACTGCAGGTAAATTTATCCTTCCAACTTCTGAAAAACTGCTCGATTAAGCTTTTTTTGCCTTTTGTGAACTTATAGGGTTGGTGGCGCTACATGTATTCAGGTTGATATAATGATTTTGTTTCATGTTCTGACTAAAAATTTGAAGTGGATTTGTAGTAATGAACGGTCGATGTTTAAAGTTGCTAAATTAGCTCGACTGCCAAGCTAATCATGCCGTTATTTGTCGGGAAGTGATATCGCAGACCATCGTGTTCAAATGCCATGCCTCCAGCTAACCCAGATTGTATGTAATAAATTGGGATCGCAATGCCGAATCCAGAAAAAAAATTAAAAAATATGTTTATTTCGTCCTTTGAAGACGCATAATTAGATGATAGTCCATCTCTTGCTATTAGATAATGGATCACCACACATAGCCAAAATACTCCCACTTCTTTTTTTATGAAAAACGTTAGGAAACTGTTGGTTGTTATGTTGTATGCCATTTCATTCATGGATGTTACTTGGCAGCAAAATGTGAAAGCCCCGATAATCTCTTCCAACTCGTCAACAGGACTGTCTTTGGTTTCTACTCAACCAATTGGACAGCCCTTTTCCATTACGAACGCATGCATATACACACATAGGTATGCAATGAATGGAACTGTAAATAATCTCTGTGATCGTAGTTATCGTGTCGTGACGGTTTCAGTTGGATTGGCAAATTTCGACCCGAACATTTTAATCTAAGACAAATCGGCGCAAGTGCAGACTAAGGTTAATTAATTTTTAGAAGTTTTTCTAATTTCGATTTTTAGATGTTTTGTATCAAAAAGTTAATTTTAAAATATGAAATAAATAAGTTTTGAATATGATAAGAGAGGTTTTGGACCGTTCTTGACTGACAAAAAGTTATTTTATTGTGCAAAATTTTCAACCCTGTTCGAAAACGCTGGCTTACCGTAAAAATGAGCCAACATGGCTTAAAAATCTTCTTAAAATTCTCGATTGAGGAATGACAAAAAACTTACTATTTTTTTTTTTCGATAAAGTAAAGCTGTTGTGTTTATTATCCATAAATACTTTACGCAAAAAATTTTGTACGGAATATTTGATATTCGAACTTAATTTTACCTCGTATTTTTCGCAAAAACTCTTTTTATTTATTATACACTAGTTTCTTTTTTCTGAGTATATGTCGTACTTGCGTAGCTAGAAAACTATTTAATGTAATTTGTGGTTCTTATACAACATAATATCCTTCGTTGAAAATAATTACCTTCTGATTAATGTAGTTCATTTAAAATAATAATCATGTTAATTAACTAATAATTTCATCGGCCCATTCATCTACTATGTCAATTATTGTACTTAAGAAAATAATTGTATATAGTGAAAAAATGAATGCCGATAAAGGTCCATCCCAAAATTATGTTGTAGGTTTAGTACATTATTGGATATTAAAAAAGTAAACCTATTTTAAAGTATAATATTACCATGGCTATATTTTATAAACATATGGCATATAATTAACAATGGGGAAAACAGAATCCATTCTGGATTTTTATTCATATTTCGTACGTTCACAGAGATTCACCAATCTATCGCATAAAATGCGGCTTCGTTTTTAAGCAATTTGATGATTTTGGTGAGATCCTTTTCAGATATATTATTATATAACACTTCTAGCCACACAGAAAACGCGCTAAATTAAGTTGAGGTAAATTTTTATGTGTGTTGCTTTTATGTAATTTTTCTTTAATTTTAAAGATGTCTTGCAACGAATTGATCAAATTCTAATAAAAGATTCAATAACGTTAATATTTGATATTGGGCGTATATCGGATCTGACGGGCCTTATATAGGTTTCGTGTCGCACAAACGTAAAAGTATTTTACGCAATCATGACGTCATACTGATATATCGCGGGCTGCAAATTTCGAAAACATATAGCAAAAAAATGCGCTTGTGAAGATTCCTTAAAATTACAATTATGGAAATCACAGAAAATAGGCTAATATTAAGTATATGCAAAAGTTCTGTTAACCATGACGGTATTACAAAAATTCAAATTTTGAAACTATCATTTTTATGAATCATTCCGTCAACAAAAATTCGCGCCATAAAAGAAGTGGAGTATAATTATTAGGATATGTCGGTAACTATCTAGAAGGATTAAAGAAAAATCACGAATCATAATAATTGCGAAGTGTTTGTCCGTAATTCGTACACGGTCGTGCCTAATTTACTACAAAAACTCGTTATGAAGGACGTTGATTGTCGTCATATTCACCGTCACATGGGAAATTATACATAAATTAATAAATAGTATAACGATTCAATTAAGTTTCATTTCTGCTAATTATTTCGGATTTATGTCATTGAAATAATTTGTCTTTTACAATGTATTGCCTATAAAAGATGTCATATTTTATAAATCAACTGCATTTCAACAATATATTTGCGTAGAAGAACTGTGTATAGGAAAGTTGTCGTTTGTTTAAATTCTTTTTAGCATTATTTTGTAATCGTAATATTTTAAAATATTATATATTCAAGTTAAGATTTGTATATTAAACAGTATTTTTTATTGATATCCGCCATGGCAGGATATAATGTCATGTCAATACTTGTGTTAGCGACGGGAATATCAGGTGAGACTTGATTAAAAGTGAAGATTAAATAATTTCAATTAAAATCGAAAATACTAAAAATTTCCGTGTATATTTGAGTTTTTGAATTTTCCTATTTTCTATGATACAAAGTGTCATTAAAAAATCTGAAATTTAGAAAAAAAATCGTACATTCAAGATAATTCTTTTGCGGATAGTGGCATTTTGTAATTTGGTTTCCATAAATTCTTGGTGCACTTGAAAAAAATAATAGCATTCTTTCATATTTCTAATGCATTACGTAGTTCTACTGTTTGTTACCTCGGTTTTGTGTATCAGCGCTGTAGAAAATTTTTCAGTTCAATTTTGTTTTTATATAAATCTTATTAATCTAAAATTTTATTTGTATGAATATTTCCCCATTTTATTCCAGCAATGCAAGTTGATTTTCCTGTTATGCCATGTGGAAACCATTTAACAAGAGAAAATGAAATTCTTTGCAATCGATTCAATGGTGGAGGACTTTGTACCTGGGATTCAACTACTAAACCTCATTGTAGAGTCGGTAAGTGCTTAGAATAAAGTAATTTTTGACTGTAACAGTCATTAAAATTGAATATGTTGTTGCATAATAAACTACTTCCAAGTATAGAAATATAAAGCGAATATCATCGGAGTCCTTACTTGTTCGATGAAATCTATGTGCACATATATTTTAACAGTATCGCTTTTTCTGTGATATACTGGTAATTTTAATGCATTACTCTTATATTCATTAAATTGATTACAAGAATACGTTATAAATACACGAGATTGCGTTAACATTTCTATATTTACCTAAATGCGGAAGAATACGTATTTTTAGGGCTTATTTGAATACTTTATCCGAGTACGGACTTATGCACAATTCTAAATCCACAAACTTTTAATTCCAATAATTACTGAACGCGTGTGGAATTTTAGAATTAAAAGCAAGTAATAAATATATGGTTTTTTTATTTTTTCTATTCTGTATTAATGCAGCCAATAAAGAACCCAATTCTGGTTCTTTTATCCGTCGAGCAAAAAATGAAATTTGGGCTCCAAAGAAACCAGTCAGTATGATGAACGTAGTTTTCGCTGCTAAACGGTACGCTGTGGAAAATAACGACATTGAGGTAATTTCGATGATAACACATTTTTAACGGATGATTGAAAATCAACGATCGCAAAGAATGTAATTCGCTAAGTTATAGAGTGTGGTTAATAGCAAATATTGTTATTTTAATTTATACTTGTTAATATGTTAAAGAAGTATGAATGCATATATGAAAATGAATTTTGTTTTGAAGATACAACAAATAGCGGCCGAACAAGAGAAAGCTATTATTCAAGGCGCTGGATTTGGTGCTTTCGATATATTCGAATCACCGCAATGTCTTTTGGATGTTCCAATATGTCACAGGTGCGATCATTTTTCAATGCAAAAGTACAAGAATTAACAATAAGCAACCCACATATTTGCTTCATAGTTACCAGTATAACATACCTATCAAGTTTGGGAAATAATTTTTTTCCTAATTTTAAGCAATTTAATTAAGTCTCACTTGCATTTTAGGGTCACATGTGGCGGAGTCGGGTCTCAAACAAATGCAAGCAAGTGTCTTGCAAACCCAAATTGTTGCTTTGATGAAAATCTATTCCAGTATCAATTCACATTTGGAAGAGATTTCATGGATGGAGCGCCGACTTGCTACTACGGACCAACTTCCAAGGCTTACAAGTAAAATTATTACGACTTACGACTCACATTCTAACGAATCTATAAAGGTGAAATGCGCAAACGCTAAAGTTTCAGGAAAGATTGGAAAACGATTTAATACAATTTGTAATAATCATAAATCAACAAAAATTCATATTTGACCAATGTTTCTTTTGGTCCCTTGGCATTTGTGGTCAAATGAAACTAACTGATGGAGACCTAAAATAAAAAATATTCATGATGACTAAAACGACAAAACATTTTAAGCTTAGCGATGAATCAAGTTCGCTTAGATATGCTCGATAGATTTTCTCTTTAAAATAATAATAGAATGACACAGTGGATGTAAAACTGACATTTATTCAGAAAAGTAACCGACGCAATTATACCGTGGAATGCCTGGTATTCATCAACAGTTCTTGCAGTGTTCAAAAGTGTTTTGACCGAACCACCAATGTACAATGGGCAACCAGCCTGCACGAATCTCGATTCTACACTTAACACGTGCGGTTGGGAAGGTAAGATATTCAGAATAATTTTTCGGGCTTATGCACAAAGAGCAAAATAAGTACCGTAGCTTTAACTGAAGATTGTTATTAAGTATCGTGATTTATTCAAATTATACACATTTTCAGGAATCACCGAAATCGAATGCCAACTCAAACAATGTTGTTTCAACAGTGGTACTTGCGTCTATCCTAACGAAGCAGCAAAGAAACAATTTGTGTCCGAAGGTATATACCCCGAACTTATAACCGCAGATCCAGAGGAAAATCAATGCAACGCAAACGTAAGTTATATATATACGCTTCTTGCCTATGCTATATATAGATTTTTTTTCAATCATATAACATTTATTTGCGGAGCAATTTAATTAATACGTATTATTTTATTTCAGCCATTCGCGTCTCCAAAAATTTACAAACGAATTTCGTGTCAAAAACTATCTCGCGATCCCTTTTCAGTGGCGATGTGCCACGAAAATTGCTGTCTGGACAAAAATGTTTACCACATCACTTTGAAAAGTCACGAAATGCTTCAGTCTCAAACATCTGAATCAACACGAAGTCCAGTCTCTGGACCCCAATCCAACAACGGCAGGCCAAGCCCCAGTTCCAACAATCAGCCCGTCGGTTCATCAATTCCAAATAATTATCAACAAAATCAAAATGGGTTTGGAGGTGGCGGTATGAACTCACACTTTACCAACACACAAGAAGAAGAAAACTCTGTTCTACCACCAGATATTAGGCAAATGTTAGACGGATTGATGTCTTCGTCTGGTACAATGACAGGTACGCCTGTTATGTCTGGAGCACCAAGATCTACGAATGCTGCAAATGCGCCAGAAATGCCTAGTATGCCAAGATTGCCTGGCATGCCACAAATGCCCAAATTATCACAAATGGGGAGCACTCGGCAAAATTCAGGTTTGTCAGGGATATCTAATATGCCAAGAAATCCTAATATGCCAGGAATGCCCAATATGCCAGGAATGTTCAATATGCCAGGAATGTCCAATATGCCAGGAATGCCCAATATGGCAGGAATGCCCAATTTTCCAGGGATGCCCAATATGCCAGGGATGCCCAATATGCCAAGTATGCCCAATATTCCAGGAATGCCCAATATTCCAGGAATGACCGGTATACCAGGTATGCCTGGCATCCCAGGTATGAATATGATGGGAACGATGGGTGGCTTCCCAGGAAGAGGGAGCTCCGATATCCCACCAGAATTGATGCAAATGCTTATGGGGAGTAATCAAGGCTCTCCTGGAAACACAATGCCAGCTGGAATGCTCGAAATGCTCATGGGAGGCGGCAGTACAACCAACAACGACTACTCTTTCAGTCGCAGTTTTAATGCGAGAAGATCTAATGAAAATGGGTTCGACATGAATGAAATGATGAAGCTTATGATGCGGCAGGACAATGGGATGTCCTTTGGAATGGGTGGAGCATCCCCGTTTCCTTATAGTTTAGGCGCCAATGACGATAATAGCCATATAGCACTAATGGCAATGATGGGCGGTATGAATGGCGGTAATCAACAGACCATTAATCCTGCAATGCTGCAAATGTTTTTGAGTTCGAAAGGCAACGAGGATAATGATGATGATGATGATAACAGTAGCGGATTCGATTTGAAGACGATGATGCAAATGGGATTCTCTCCGTTTGGAAATATGGCAGGCATGAACATACAAAGTATGAACCCGGCATTGGTTGATGCCATTTTGAGCAAAAATAGCGAGGGAAAATTCAGCGCGATGGATCTTATGCAATTAGGCATGTTATCAGGCACTGGAAGTGGAAATCAAAACGACATGGGGCAAATGATGATGTTGATGAATATGATGAATAAGGGTGAAGGAGATCAGTCTGATAAAAAATCATCAATGATGAAAAAAATAATGTTAATGTCACTTCTTTCAAAAATGAGAAAACAACAAAATCCACAAACTTCTCAAAACCAACAGAACGGAAACAACGAAGCGTCTAGTCAGCAACGGCAAGGAAGACAAGCACAAACTCGAGATTACCAGAGTAATCATCAGCGTCAACGAAATGATAACAATCCTAATCAACAATACCGGCAAGGGCATCAGCAACATACTAACCAACAACATCAGCAACGAACGTACAATAATAACAATCCACACCAGTACAATACAAAAGTCAACCAACAACAAAATCAATATGGTAACCAGAAACAGCATACTGAAAACCCGTCATCAGTTTTCACTCAACCAGCACCCCCACAGGGACCCAGCATCAACTACGGATATGCGCAACCACTTCCAAAGTCAGCATCTCCAGCAGACCCAGGAGATATTGCATTGATTAGATCCATTTTGGCCGGTGAACACGTCAACGAATTCAAAATTTCTTGTCCGTTTTCCTACGTTAAAATTGGAAAGTTTCCAGATTTAAGTCATTCCGTTCGAGGATGTTGCAAAATTGTGGCATGCTATCATAAAAAAGAAGTGAGTTAATTTATTTTAGACAAATCCAATGTTAAAAAAATTCGCTTGTTCAAATACTGAGTAACATACCTTTCAGATGTTTTTAGTGTTCGTTATTTTTAATAGATTAAAGAAAAAAAGCCAGTCATGCAGCCACCAAGTTATGGCGAATGGACAGCATGGAGCTCTTGTGATAAAACTTGCAATGAAGGATTTAAAACCAGAGTTCGTTCTTGCGTGACCATAGGTCGAAGTCCCGGTACTTGCCAAGGATCATCTTTCGAATATCAGCCTTGCAATATGGGACCTTGTCAACCAGGTAAAAGTTTAGACTCCATTGGGATTGTGCTCATAAAATATTTTTTCCTCCGTGTCTCGTTATCTAGTGAAACCAGGATCTAACAAATTCATGATATATTAGTTGTAACTTCATTCGTATTTACATTGCTCTTCGTAAATTAAATCACATAGAGGTTTTCCTATACATACCATATTACTACACTAATCTCATTTTTCACACATATAATTTTTTTTTAGAATTTCCTCAATTCCCGTCATCTAGTTTTCCAAGCGCTGGAAATTTTGCAACATCCAACCAGCCATCATTAAATCAAAATGACGATACGGATTTTATGAAAAAGCTACTTGCCACAGCCAATTCCAGGAAGTCATTTCATACAACAGAATCGCCTCTTATTCCCAAACGTGATCCACCAGGTCAACCGAAGCCTGACGTAGAAACAGACCCAGAAATTCAGAATTTTTTGAAATTATTAGGGTTAAACACGGACTCCAATGCTGAGAAAATTGGCAATATATTTCCTCCGGCTCCACCGACGTATCCAACGCCTAAGCCTCTTATACCTCATTTTGGATCAAATTTTAGATTCGATATGCCGACAAATACAAACAGGAGGCCATCTGCCCCAACGCCCAAGCCTTTCGCGCCGCAGTTGGGTTCGGAATTTGACCCAGGAATCCCCAAACAAACAGGATTTGATATGCCGACAAATACAAACAGGAGGCCAGCTGCTCCAACGCCCAAGCCTTTCGCGCCGCAATTTGGTTCGGAATTTGACTCAGGAATCCCCACAAACTCATGGACGCCATCAGCTGATACAACGCCCAAGCCATTCGTACCTCAGTTATCATCAGATTCTGGTACTGGTATGCCAACAAATGCAAACACAAAGCCAAATTTTTCAGTGGCCCACAGCAACTTCAAACCTCAGCGTACAACTGAATCTTTCAAATACTCTGATTGGAGTCAATGGACTCCATGCGATAGAACGTGTGGTGGGGGATTAAAAATAAGAGTTCGCTCATGTGACGAATACGGAAAATGCGCTGGAGCTTCCGAAGATCTTGGTGATTGCAATATTCACTCTTGTGACCAAGGTAGGCATCATTTCATTGCATTGTCTATAGTCATCAAGAACGTTAATGTGTTGCATTTCGGAAAATATGTCTAAAAACCAAGGGCACTACAACTTGAAGTCGTCCCCAATATTCTTATACCAATATAAAATTACACTTTAAATATCTAACAAAAGCTATTTAAACGATTATTTCTATTTTTGAAAACTCCTAAATTTGCATTCGAATTTCAGGTGCTAAGCGTAGAAACCGAAACAGAAAAAACAAAAAACAGAAGCCGAGTGACGACAAACTTAAATTTACAAACCAAGGTTCAGGTTTCCGAAATCAGAAACCTTTCTTTCCTCCTCCAACTCATACTCCCACAACAACGACAGTAGCAAATGTTTTCTATGCTTATGGTCCATGGGAAGACTGGTCTGCCTGCAAAGACATTGGCTCAGTTTGCAACGGAGTTGGAAATCAAGAAAGAAAGAGAATATGTTTCAAGAGTTACGACAGGGTTAAATTTGAACCGGTAAATATTCCGTTTTTACATTGTATTTAAACACAGACATTGGTACTGTAGCATTTGTAGTCGAAAAATATCACATATACCCTACGTTTTACGAAAATTATTAAATCGATTGCAAATAATAACCTCAAATCATTAACAATCTTTTATCATCCGCTGCCTTCCGATCTTGGCATTTCTTAATATTGAATATCATTATTGAATCTTATTTTATCTATATTTCAACTATACATATTTATGTAGGTGGCAGATGTACAAGAATGTGGTGCAACGAGACAGACTCAGACTTGTGTAAGAATTTGTCCCCCAAAAATGCCATTGTTTCACGTTCTGACGGAGTTGAACAATAAAAATGAAGAAGTTGATGAAGACATGGATAATTCACTTGCATCGTTCCAACGTTCGTTCCATGACAACGACTCTGAAGAAGATGATGGAAAATGGGAACCCTGGAGTAAATGTGAATTGAAAAACTGTCCGACTAGTAACAAAGGAACCATGCGGCGACAAAAGTGAGACCTACTGCGTTTTTGTAATCTGATTAAGACGAACATTTTTCTTCATAGATACTCTGATTAGAGCCTTATGTTTCAGAAAAATCTATTCTGTTAATGTTTTCGCACAGCACATTGTCACAATTTCAAATTTTGCAAGTGTTATATGTACCGTATATCAACAATATGCATGTAAATATTCTGACATTTTTATACCAAAGCCATACTATTTGCTATTCTACGTAATATAACGTAAAATATTATATTAGAATTGGACATTTGGCTCCGTAGTTATTATTTCCGTAATCTATAGACAGATTACCCTTTTTTCTTTTAAAAGTGTGATTGATGTAATTATTACTAAAGTCTTATTTTCATCTATTTCAGAGTATGTACAAAAGTTAGCCACATGTGCGTAAGAAAAGGCCAAATATTATATGCAAGCAAAGAGTGTACAGATCATTGTCCGCTTCAGTAAGAAAAGGCACATCGAATCGAGTTGAACTTCGCTTGTATTTTACAGCAATTGGCATGCTTCCTGAGAACAAGTTTATTAGGAAAAAAATTGATATTAGCTTTGTAATATAACTTTCTATTGCCTCAAAAATTTTAAAGAAAGATTTTTGTTTGACTCGTTGATATACGCAAATGCTAAATACAAAAGGAAAGTTCTGAAAATCAAAACTCTGCATTCTAATGTATTCATCAGCAAAATAACAACTTAACGCTCAATCTCGAACGACCATAGTCTCTCTCATCTTCCGGAGACCATACTCGGAATGAATATAAATGCGTGTGTGCTTTTCCATAATATTTAAAGTATATAATTGAAACGATTGCTCTTCATGCTTGTCTGTTGCTAAAATAACACCGCGCCAAAATGAAATTGAATTTTCCTATTGATATACTTTCTTATTGATTTCAACATTCCTTCTCTATTTGTTTCTTGCATTTTTATATATTTTACACTTTATTGTTTTTTGTTGTCGTTTCGAAAACGAGAAATACATGAAAAATATTTTGTCATTTCATTGGTCAATGCTCTTTACTGTTAATGTGGTGGGATCGGATTTCTCAGTAGTGAATCTTTTTTATTTCATTTTAATTATTGCTACAAATTGCATACTACAGATGGTCTCAGCATAGTTTTAATGACGCACAGTACTATTTTGATAAGGTTCGTGTACGGGATTGATTGACACTGATTCAAGGTATTTCAACTTATTGAACTACTTGTGAGCGTGAATAAAAGATTTTCGATTTAGTCCAAGTTCGCATTCGTCGTTTGGAGTTCGAGCCGGATGTGTAATTAGAATGTTACAGTTTCATGCGCGTGGCAGCTGCGTCCATCGATTCCAGCAAATGTAACAGAATGGTTCTCCTACAGACCTGTTTGTTGCTTCAAATTTCATATACTTTTCCTTGAATATTAGATTTGAGAAATGATTTTCAGTTTTTTACCCACTTATGCCATGCGATTTTATTCATAATTGATGATCCAAAGTGATGAAGTGACAACATCACTCTCAAATTGTGGTTATCGATTATATGGTTACAAATTTGTAGTTCTATTTGTGACGTCACAAATATCTAATTTTTGTACACATGTGTTGCAAAATTGTGACGTCATAATAAGTAAGAGCTAATCATTTAATTCTGACACAAAATTTGTCCTAATTTTCGTGCAGAAGGTAGCCCGAAGAATCATGTAACGTTAAAGATAGCAATGCGCCACCGTGTCCAAGCTCAACGCCACCTAAAGCGCCAGAAAGCACATTAGGTCGTATTTCCTATTCTAACCTAATTCAGCAAAATGGCGCTGGACGAGCCGATGGCGCCGCATATCTACGACAAGTTGACATCTTGCGATCCTGGATTGGCTTGGGAACTGTGTAGGTATGATGATAACGCAATGTATTTTTACTATAATGCCGTGCTTTACATTTTCACATTCCTATTTCATTTATCAAGTAAGTCGAAACGGAAGACGAAAGCTTCAGTCGAACAGTATATTCAAGAATGGTGTTTTTAATTACGTTAATTTCGGATACACCGCTTGAATTATGTCTTCTATTTTTTCTATGTCATAGACTACCACAAAAGTGGGGTTGTCAGCAAATTAAGCCAAGAGATCAAAATTCTGTAACAACCAATTGCCCGTTTATTACAAGCAAATTGGGGTCTAAAATTTAAAGTAGCAGTTATCGATAAACTCGGTGTAAATTCATTCTTCATTATATCTTATCGCTTTACAGAAATTACATCGGATATCAGCTTTTAGGTAGGGATGCCGTAACTGTTCCCTTTCTTGATGAAGCCTATCATGTTGTTCCGTTTGGAGTGGTTGTAAAAAAATCAAAAAAATCGGTGAGTTTTTACCACATTCAAAAACCTAAAAGGTATAGAGACTTACTTGGAGTACTATAGAAAATAAATTTTCCCTGCTTCGAAAACTCGTTCCCGACAAAATATTGTATATAACATAAATTAAATACACTCTACAAACAAAACTATGTTTACTGATTGATAAACCAGATTAAGTAGGTATCTTAAATAGGGCTGGCCATTCTCAAATACCCGATGATTTCAGAATCAAATACCGAATATTTGTAATTAAATGTGACATTTTTTATTGGAATGGGTCCTCCAGAAACATAAATTACCAAAAACATAGAATCCATCACCCTGTTAGTTCGCTGAGCGTTTAAGCACATTGAGAAACATGTTTCAGCAATAACTAACTATGAAAAACGAGTTTTATGTCCGAATTGCATTATAAAAATATGGCTTGAATGAAGAAAATTGTAGAATTCACCTCGACCTTTGGCGGCCAACAAATAAACAAGATGGCGGCGATTCGAAATTTTCGTCTGTACTGATTCGAATGATTTACTATTCGATTCTATTACAATATTCGATTCAAAATGCCCAGTCCTAATCTTAACATTGCTAATATGTATTAAATGACACCATAATATTCTGCAATTACTATCATAAAATTATATATGCAGCTTAGTGTACCTGGGACAAGTTTCGGTGGTAGTTCGAGATCGTCTTATGCAATAATTGGATCTCTTGCAAACTTGACAGCTCCTCATGTTGACAAAGCACCATTTCGACAAAGAGCAGAACGGGTTTACGATTACAACTTCAACGATAAGTATGTACCAAATTACATGGGTCATCAAAGACATTCTCACGTGGTTACTTATTCCAGTAATGATTTTTTCCCGGTTTTTATTTTTCGATGGTAAATCAATTATTAGACAAAAAAATCAATGACCGCTTGTTGAGGTAGGCATTATCTTTTTAGCCGTGAATATAATAAAATTGTGTTCGTATGAACCCAATCTTATTGAAAATGGTTGCAGTATTTATAGGAAGGATTTGTGTAGAATATAATAAGAATAATATTCAATTCATATAGGTTTGTTTATCGGATTTCGGGGATGAAGAATGGCGTCAAAAAGGCAGTCAAAATTAAAATAAATGGTACCGAATGCTTTGATGTTTCTCTCAGTATGGAACTTGGAAAACTTGTATTGGATAAAAGACTAGAAGAGTTAGATGCAGTGAAAAAAATCTTCATAATATTCGAAGTCTTTTTTGCAAACTCTGTTAGTGTCAGCGTCACTATAGGTGAGATATACTTTGTTAATATATGTAGCAGACTCTCCATGGAATATCGACCAATAAAGGGGCCTTCGCGTCGTATTTTACCCAACCCAAGTTCAAATCTTTTTTCTTATATCCTATACCCAAGTTTAATCTTTCTTGTAAGGGGAACAGCAGCCTGGAAGTCAGTACATGGATACAACAAATCGCAAATTTGCACATGACAGAAGAATGCCTATTGGATTCAACGCTCAGAAGTTTCCGCTAATGGCAAACGGATGTGTTGGTTTCACAGAAAAAACAAACTTAGAAGGCTTGAGAGAAGGAAGATGGAAAAGGTACTTAAGATTTCAGAGTGATTCTTATGTGAAAATTGCAACTGTGGGAAACAGACACCTCGAAAATAACTATCTGATTCTTTTTAACAAATACCTCAAAAATAGGGGTGACTGGAGAAATCCGAAATTTTATGTAATTAAACTAAACATGAGAATCTTTTGAAATTATCATTATTCGAGCATTTATCACTTTAGCCTTTGTGGCAAAAGTTATGTTGCTCGAATTCTAAACCGGGTAAATTCCTGTAAACATACCACGGAAAGTTGATCATTTTTTATACTCTCTCGACAACCTTATCAGTTTCGGCATCGAACAGAAAACTATAATTAATGTTCGTGTTGACACTTGGTGTTTATTTTGTTTTGTTGTTGACTTGCAAAAGGCATAGCTAGACGATATTTACCTGCTCATTGCCCATAGTCGTTAACAACTTGAACCACTACAGCATGTCTTGTTGGCACCGAAACTTAATAACAACAAAACTTAACAACATAACAACGAAACTTAACAAAAATAATGTCTTGTAGTGTTAAAAGAAGACCATTTTGAAGATAATATTAGAAGATTTTATTTCATTAATAATATCGTCGTAACAAAAATTCATTCAGGTCAACGCGTCTTAAAAGTGATCCTCTTCCACGAGTACCATCGCACGAAGCAGGAGGTAGTTGGAATACAGGTGGCCCTATAGCGGTTCGAAGAAATCCTCAAGACATTTTACCAGGAGTTCCAGGTTCGCTTAAACTTAATAAATGTATACGCTACGCCTTACCATTGACAATGTTGATCTAATATTATCTGCTAATTTTTTTTTTATATAAATGTATGTTCATACGTTGAAATAAGCAAGCATACGTGTTCGCTTTCTGGCAAATTCCACGTATTTACCTCAACATGCTATTCGAGATACAAGGCTCATATGTTATATAACATTTTTTATATATGTTATATTTGTATTATTGTAATATCCAAATAAACTAAAATATGTAAAATGTAACCTTTTTCAAATCGAATAAATTTCAGAAAAACTCCAGGATATTACACTGACAAATCGAATGCTACATGAACATAAAATGGTTTATTTTTGATAAATATACATTATAAATATTTAATCCAACAAATTGCTCTGTATTTCAATTCACAATACAGGCCAAAGAAGGAATGACCCTCTACCCGCTCCCCCACAAGACAGTGACTCTTCAGATTGAAGACACTAGGCATAGAATATGAGTGGTTATACGATGGAAAACACTTGGTGGTATCTTATCTTCAATTTGAGCAATCAATACTGATATCTGCTAACTTATACCTTCATTTCCGAATATTAAAAATCGGAATCATGTGAAGTTTTATCTATGCCATTGATTTATACAGCTTATATATATATTACATTCAATAAATTAAATATACGTGAATCAGATTCATAATATTTGAAACAGACTACTTGGGCATCTGGAATGTCCTACAATTCGTTTTTAAACTCTCAAGGGCCATAGCGTGAACGTGTCGACAGCCCTGACGTATCGGATGGTTGGTCCAATAGTGGTTTGGCGCATCATGCTAAATATTAGGATTACGCTTGTCATCGCACCTCCGATTACCCTGCGTTGGTTGGAATCCCGCGGTGGACAATTGTGTGGGACAGGACTGTTGGACTCCCCTGCAGGGTGATTTCAAGAAGAATTTCTGCAGTTGGGTTAGTGATCGGAATTGCAAGACAAACGTCTTTTCTAGATGAACCACATTGAAGTCTAATGAGGTAAATCTTATAATCTGTTATTTATATCATCGGTCAGAAAAGGATGCTATATTTAATAAAATATCGCGAAGCAGCAGCTTCATCCTTGTACCAGTGACTCAGCTTGTTCGTCGTGAACTATTTTGCTAGAAATGCCGGAGTCCCGAGACGACTAACATTTGCTGCTCATGTTTGACTAGATGTATCATCAGCACGCGTAAAATGTTCCACAACAACCAATCAGTCGATTGTTCGAACATTTGTAGCCAATGGGAACATTGAACCGCTAAACGATATTCCAAATGGATGGGCAGTCTCATTCGCCGAAAAAAAAAAATTTAAACTCCAAATTTGTGTCTAACACTCAACTGCGCTTTCAAACTGCCCAACCACCAGGGCCCGAATTAAGCAAATCGGCAGGCCGTTGTCATTTCCAATTCCAGCGGAAATTTAAAATCTCATCAAAGTTTTTATCACAGAGTTCCACTTTTAAATAGTGATTGCGTGTTCGGTTGATTATTTTAAATGGATCATAACCTTAATTTGATACCACCACATTATGTTATTTTGATTTCCTGTGGGTAGAATCAAAATCAAATCAATGATCAAATTGAAGTGAAAATTTCTGGTGCCTACGGCACACATTTTATTCGCATGGCTTTCGTGGACACGATGTACCTTCTGATCAATTCTAAAACTACCTACAAGGACTGATATATGAGATAATAAATGTAAAATAAATTCAATCGATTTCTATGGTACTAAATTGAATTGTACACGGTGTGCTTTTATCGCAGGCATAGGGATTTTTCCGATGATAAAATCTTCAAGAGCTATTTCAATGTTGCAAAAACAGGTCAGATTTGTCGAATTCACGAAATCGCAAAGACCAAAAATAATCTGGCACTTTACTTCACACTTTAATGTCCGCGGAATGCGGTGGTATTTCAGAATTGTAATGCTTATATTTTGTCAAAGCAGTCGCGGGTTAAGTTGAAAACAATAAAGCAAGACATTTTGATGTGCCCGTATCAATACATTTTAAATATATCCGTATTCCAAAAATAGTATATAAAGTATATTCAGGCAGTTTATCTCACATTTTTATAGCCGCATGTATTTGAGAGCAGTCAATCCCAAACTTTTAAGCTCGCAACAACCTCCAATGCATTAAAATATTCCGCGAACTGTGTTCACGTTAAAAATGCTATGATGACAGCAAAGTTATCTGAATTGCGATGTTTGGCCACCAAAGGCAGGGTCCTAATTCCGCATTGTTACTTACTTTTAAGTATTAATGATAAAATTCGGCATTGTTATACAAGCGTTCTGTCTCTCTGATCCAATGTATTGTCTCGAAATCGCGAGATTTATTTTTTAACTAGTTTTAATAAATGTGCTTTGAATAAAAATTCTAACAAAGTACAATAGATATAGTATTTTATATATATATATATATATACTTACTTACTTATAGTACCTATTTAAATGTGTAATATACAATACAATAAAAAACGCCCAATTGACTCTACTTAGTCCGGCCCGTCACTGCACTTTGAATATTCAATGTGGCCCGATACCAAAAATAATTGCTCAGCCCTGCTCTATATGGTAAGTAATTAAACTTTTCTCTGGCCCACCTTCTGTTCAAACAAAAGGCGGCCATATTTTAATGGAGGTTTGTTATAAAAAATAATACGGTAACATGACCTCTAGAAAGTAGCAACATAGCGTTTAGATTCGTGTCCACCAAATGAGCAAGCTGGACTATTATATCAACCTCAATGTAACGAATGTCAAATAAAAGATTATACCGAGTGACATATGAAGAAACGTGCGTGAATTATAAAAACCAGCCAAATCTGATTTGACATATCCCTCGTAAAAAAAGAAATCATAACGTGCTTACTGACCTATTTATCATTAATAGCCTCAGCAAAAACGAAAACGGTTAGCAAAACCTTTAGTAAACGAAAGGTCCACATCGTGTTGAAAAATATTAATTATATATTGTAGTATATAGTAGTAATATTCGACTTTTAAATGTCGTACGAAATAGTGACTTATATTTATAAACTGATTGCTATATTAAAAGCATTTTGTCTGCAATACGATGGGCTCTAAAAAGCATCAACGCGTTACATTATATCCGGTTTCATGAAAAAAGACAACGCTAAAATTGAATGTTTGAAGTTGAATTTTAGAGACTTATTTGTCTGTAAGGCATCTTATGCCAAACTTAATCGTAACAATCTAAAGTCGCCACAACAAACTTAAAAAAATCATGATTCTCCTCTAATTACATTTTTCGGCGGTGGTTGGCAAAACAATATTAAATTAAGTAACTGAATGTGCCCTTGTAATTTGTAGACTTTTCTGAGTGTACCGCGGTTGCTGGCAGAGCCATCAAAAAAACAAAATTATATGACGCCTCAGGTGATTATCAGTAAAGTTGTTATTAAGGATTAAGATATTATTTGCAACAAAATGATAAACACGATTAAAAGTAAGTATGGTCTGCAATGTAATTTTGCTGTAAATACATGTATAAATTATTTTGTTTTTCAATTTTTAATATATGCAATCTTGCTTCAGGTAGATTTGAAACATAAGGAGATAATAAAAAATTTGCCGAAAATATAAAGTGGCAATCGAGTACAGTTCGTAGTTTCATTCGCCAAGTTAAATACGAAACTAGTAAATGAAAAAACCGAAAGTTTTTATAAAAGTGTCAACTGATTTATCTGATAATAGTGTAAACATGTATGAAGGATTCGAGACGTCAATTCTCTTCCTCTAAATCAAACATACAAGCTATCGCAAAGATTATATTTGAGGCGCTGTTTAGATAAACAAGTTACACAAGATTCAATTTGTGTTGGTTGCAGGGCATGAGCACTTTCCATTTAAATACTGAAAATTAAATTCATAACAACATTCCTCACATCACTAATAGCATAGTAAATACTTCAAGAGATTGTCACAAACATCAAAATGAAGGAAATACATCTTGCAGTACTTTGCTTAATATTGATCGGAGCATTTTCGACAACAGGTATGTTTCATTTTGAATGTATTTTATTTATGAAAGCTACGTGCCTTTGGTATATCAGACATTTTGAGATCTTCTATAGTCTATAGTCCAGTGATTCCCAAAGTGGGCGATATCGCCCCCCGGTGGGCGAAAACGATACAGAGGGGGGCGAAAAAGTCGAAGGGGCGATAAGGGGGCGATTTCGCGAAACCAGTTTTTGTTGGGCGCATCGGGCATTTGATTACTTTACTCTGCGTGCTTTCGTAGGTTTGAAGCACGTGGGCGATTATCACACGCGAAAGGATTGCTGGACTTGTCTCCGCAGTAAGGCACGGTAGTTTGCGTATTCCAGCGGTCGGCAAAACACGTCCGGAGTAAAATAATCTGGCCCAGGACTCTTCACTGAATGGACCTTTCCCCGACCTTTGACCCCGGAAAATTCGTTTTATACTTAACCATTTTAAATTTTTCGGTGCTTATTTTAAGGGTGGTTTCGCGAGTTGGCGCCCGTAAAATGAGCTATTTGTTTCAAATCATCATTCTGATTCACGGCATTCAACAATCTGTTTTTTAAAAGTACCGGTAAAAAATTTTAGTCTAGTCTATCACAGCTATTTCTACACTAATTTTTGATTACTGCAATTAAACTGACACTCCTATGAAGACAAAGTTATCATTGAGTTATTGATATATATTTTAATTTCCGAAACACAACTGAAAACTAACGAATATAATTCAAAAACACGAACATGAGGTTATGTTTACGACCACGCCTGAAAATCTGTCTGAGTTAGAAAAGTGTCTATGGTCGGATGCAAAAGGGAGCATTGTTACGTTTCTTTTTGCATCTTGCTGATTGGCCAATGTCACGAAGTAAACAAGGATGTCTATGCCGGGGAAACATTCATTATACAGAAAAAACGGCGGTTTTGACGATGAAATAATTTTATTTATAATCTACACTCGAGGAGTAAACTACATTTTTTACGTAACAGAATTTATCGCGAGACACGTTTAACGATCCTACAATTTAATTATAATTAGACAAATGGCAACACGCAGAAAAGTTGATGCTGTGTGTAGGGGTTCAATAGCGCAGTAAATATTCAAATATATTGCATTGTAAAGAGGAAATAAAATTCATATTCTATTCGAGAGATTCATCACTGATTAATTTTTGTAAGAAGGTATCTTCGAAAATCTTATCAAAATTTCACAAATCATGCGAAAATATCACTTCGATCTTTGGATGTACATATTTGTGCGAACAATTATTTTCAAATATGAACATTACAAAGAACAAGCAAAGAACTAGGATTAGTGATGCCCATTCAGAAAATGTTCTTTGGCGTCGTAAAGCTATTAAAGCGTGATGCAGCAACAAGACAGTGTCACATCAAATGTCATTCTAATAATTTTTTTAATAAGACGGCTGAGTTGAGTTCATAAATTGTCTCAGTTTTCGCGCGCTGTTCCTTTTTTAACTTTCAAAAAATATATGCGACCCGCAAAATACTAGCAACCCTTAATTTTATCCAAAACAAATGGCTGATTAGTTCTATGGACTGGAGGCCATTGTAGGATGAGGAATCGAGGATGAATTTTACCGAAGATCGTTATATATCACGTATTTTGGCGCAAGCCATCAGGCTGTAGGGATGAATGAGATGTACGAAAATCATTATTATAAGTTTGGAAAAATTAGCTTTGTTTTCATTATTTTAATGTGAAATGGGGTGAATTTAGGGAGTTAAATGCTATGAGGCAAGTACACGGCGGTTACACGGCGGTTTTTGATGAGGTAGAACTCTGGATTCTTTCATTTCGACCTCTTATTATATGATGAAAAAGGTGTTTTCAGCCGTGCTCCTATTGCTATCAAAACTTAATCTTAAATCTTAATCTCATCTTAAAAAACACTACAAACACTACTACAACACTACACACTATTTGGTCTGTAATATATTCGTTTCTGACTTTACATTTTTTTGTAGTGCTGGGGGGCGATTAAGTTGTATAAACTACTGCAGGGAGGCGATGGTACAAAAAGTTTGGGAACCACTATACCAGGGCTTCCCAAACTAGGGGCCGCAAGAAGAACACCAAATTTGCACGAAGTACCATATTTATTTATTTTTCAGTCTCTTGATTCGAAACACAAATATCAAAAACTGTGTAAAACAAACATTTTACTATTCCGAGTTAATACATCTTCATACCGTGTTTCCCCGAAAATAAGACAGTGTCGTCGATTTTCTTTCGAAAATAACATTAGGTCTTATTTGTGGGGAATGTAGAGAATAACGAGATTTTCCATTTACTTATTTATTAGAATGTTTTCATTTAAAGTAACTGCTAGATATAGATTATTAAAGTAGAAAAGATTTTTCGCTATCGACTAAGACTCAGTGGTTCAGAAACAAATTTTCAGAATTAAACTTGTTTATTATAACACCATCACAAAATTGAAACGACGCACTTCCACTGAACTAGGTAAAAAAAATTGCGCTATCAACGAAGTCTTTGAGGGTAGCGCTTATATTAAAACCATTTTTAAAATTTATGCTTGGTCATATTTTCGGGAAAATCATCGCGCTTGCATAACAATGCATATTTTGATCTTAAGACCCGATTTGTGCGTGCATGCATAACAATGCCGGCTTTTATCGCTAAGCTAGCGGTTCCCGAAGGCGATTAGCTAAGTGCGCCTGGAAACATATCACACATTTTAATTGTTCTAAATGTTTTATTATTCCTCATTATCGCAAATGATGTTTATTTGAATCAAATTCATTGTACCGTTCTATATTGTTTATTTTCTGCTACGTAGGGATCTATTGCTACGTAACAGAAGAAGTAAACCATACATGCTGCAATTTCGTAGGCTGTAGTTTATTCATTTGCTGAACCGAGTTTATCGGACATGAGTTATTTTTTTAGCATTTTAAAGAAAAACTAGGCAGAGATAATAAAGAAAAGTTAACCTTGATTAGCTTCAAAAGGCATAGAGTACATATTAACGATGACTAATTCTGTTTTATTTTGAAGCAGCATATTTTTTGTGTAGGTGCGCCATGAGCTTTACCCTGATAATTTGCAGCGCACAGACTGATGCCTTATGCTAAGTTTGATCAACAAGAGTAAACAATTTCGAATAAGGACCAGCCCATCGGTGGTCAGACATTGTAATTCATCATTTAGGCCTGCATAAACAAACATTGCGCCACGACTGGACTTGCTATGAAGCAAAAAGCATTCACACCCATTACATTGAATAATTGAGTAACCCTAATCTGAGTAAATATGTGCTGGTTTTTGCTATTGAGTAGGCCTACTAAAAACTGGGAATTAGCTATGTCAATAAAATATCAAAAATGCATATTTTGAACTGTTTGGGATTATTAACTTAATCAAGGGCCGCGAAAAAATTTAATATATCAATAGGGGCCGCGAGCTCAAAAGTTTGGGAAGCCCTGGTCTATACCACGAGGTTTACAAGAATCGTATCGAGAATTTTTGATTTACTTACTCTCCGCTATTTGTAGTAAATTATTTAACGAATAATGATATAACAAGTCCTATTGTATTACAGTACTGTCATATATCAATCACTAGAGTGTATCTAGTAGTCGTCTGTCCTAATCCCTATATTAGCGACTGCGAGCACCCAATTGTTTTGCCTATATTATTGTGAACGAAATCCAATTGCATCGAGCGCTTTTTGGTATTCGCATCGGTGCAGGTGACTTTTTGATATCATTGACGCATTATTGCATTTTGTCAATAATCTTTCCCACTTTTGACAAGATTTTGTGAATTTATATTGGTGGTATTTCTGCATTCATTTAACGAGAGTATTAATAAATCTCCAATGTGGCCCGCGAACTCATTTTTGTGGCCCTCGAACGACCACACTTTCACACTTTGCATAAATCATCCTAAATTAATTATTGTCTCCAAAACCTTTTTGTTTGATAAATATGCCAAGCCAGCATCGCAGTTATTAATTAAAGGATCTAATGTTAAAATGTCACTACGAAACGTGTAATTCAAATACCAAATTTGACCACAATGCAAAATGTGTAATGTGCATGTTCGGAAGCACATTTTACTGCTATCAGCTTTATCCAAAATTAATTACACTAAGAATAAACTTCGTAGCCTACTCGCTTGTCAGATCGTCATTTGAACGACGTACGGCAGGACAACAAGGTTGCCAGTTGATTTTAACGCCCTGACCAACACACAGAAACAACATCGACCTTCACATCGATGAGTAAAGGAAAACGATGTATTGTGTTTGATAATAAATAAGAAACGGCCATATACACAGGAATATGAGTCGCAAGAGCACCATAATTTGAAGTTTAATGTGGCGATTGTTCGCAGGCTGAAATCGATGTGGTCCACACGCTACTGGAAATTGTACATAAAGTTTGCCGACAACTGTACCAAATGAATATGCCCCCTTGTGAAAAAAAAAGAACTTGAGTGTGCGTAATGCCTTATGCACTGTTAGAAAAGATTTCTATTTCAACTTTGATTAAGAACTATATTATGTATAATTATCTCATTACGACCGAATAATGCCAGTGGGCATGCCGCAAAATTAATCTACTTTAATAATATTTGTTGTCGTGGCGAATTGATCTTCAGAACACCGTGAAACTATAATATGTATTTATGATAGCTTTTTGATAGCAAGAAACCACGAACCTGTTATTCAACTCTAGTGCATAGTATATGCACAGAGTGAAATAAATTGCATGAGTGGAATGGTTGTAATGAAAACAATTATGCTCAACTCAAAAATAATTACCGAATATACATTTTAGAATGTCGACCTATAGCAAGCAATTGTTGGGTTTCAAAAGTGCGAGAATAAGTTATTTTTTGTATCTAACTCACTAACAACGGGTTCTCTAATTCAAGAAAATGTATGTGTCGCTAAGCAAGTTGCATTTGACATGACACACTTTGCATAAATCAAATACATAATTTGGGCAACGCCAAATATAACGGTAGTGATTAGTGGGTAGTGCTAGACTTTACCTGTGGTTCACTTTACCCATTTGCTGCGGTTGTCAAACCTCTGAAATAAACACGGTTTCGCTGATTATACCGATATTCCAGGAACAGGTTCCCGTGCAAATTCTATGCATCTCACCACTGCTCATAGCTATGTTGTGTAGCAGAATAGAGGCGATTTGTCTTCATGTAAATTTATTTTTGCTACTGACGTTGTTACTATTTCAGGTGCAAATCAATGTAAGCCGAATCCGTGTCGTAATAAGGGACGCTGTAAGTCGAAGGGTGGTATGTTTTCTTGTACCTGCGTTGGTCCGTGGGAGGGATCAACATGCCGACTTCGTAAGTAAAATCCATTATACCTTTTCCAGTGCTATTTCTTGTATATGCATTAATTTTATGCCATCTCAACCTCCATTACGAATGCCAGGGTAAAAGAATCTCAGACACGCAATGCGGCGCCGTTGTTTCATATATATACTATATATACTATGCCTCGAAATTGAAAAAATAAGTTCACATATAAAGTACATAAATATGTATATTGTAGTTGTATTGCTTATTGAAGTATTCTCGTTTCAGGCAAACGTATACCTCGTCTCGGTTACCAGCAAACGTATTCATTTGAATTATTTTCTCACATATAAAAGTGATGCCTTCACTTCAAAAAATTTCAGACAAAAGTGACTATGCCAACTTTCCGGACAATTCCTTTCTAAACTATGAACCCATACTTATCTATAGACGCGCACTATCGAACAATCACCAAAATGAATCCAAATCTTAATATTGAGAAACATTGCATGTTAAGATGTCTTGAAAATAAAAGCTGGACCTATAGACTAGCGGTCTCGTAGTACCGTCCCACATCCAAAATCCAGCCATGAGAAGAAATTTCTATTCTTTTTTATTTGCAGCTGGGCGTGCTCCAGGTCCTTGTGACGCAAATCCGTGTAAAAACGGTGGAGAATGCTTTGAAAAGGATACAAGGGGATATTTTTGCAATTGCATGGTCGGGTACCACGGTCTGAATTGTCAGAAAGGTATTGTAAATTTGAAACGTAAAGTCTAAACGTATCAAAAACAATTTTAATTCTTGGTGCGATTTATCTACTCATATTACCTCTGATGGCTAGAGATATCGACAAGGAGTTTATCGTCCACGAGCCCGATCCATATTCAGCGAATGGCAAACAATGTCGATGGTTAATTTTGAATGGAGAATGTCATTGACACGCAAATGACTACCTCATAGAATAAAGTCACGATTTTATCAAATTTTAGATATATATTTATATCCTTTCTGCAGTATTTGATGTTTGTAAGCCAAATCCATGTGGTAACAGCGGAACATGTTCACCCAAACTCAATGGTTACACTTGCAAATGTAAAGCTGGATATGGAGGATCGACTTGTCGGCTTCGTGAGTAATAAAATATCTTGGAGTACATTTAGTACAAATATGCAACTGTATTTGGGCATGATTTTTTCTTAACAATATTAAGACGGTACGTGTTCTGCTTTGATCTTCGGCATAATTTATAAGCTCAAATGGTAGATTTGGACACATTTATCAGACTCTTCATTTAGAAGTCTTTATATTCGGGTATTATATTCAAACAAGTTTGTTTTCAGCAATACGTCAGCGTGATGATTGTAATCCAAACCCTTGCAAAAATGGGAAATGTCGATCTCTCGGAGAAGGCAGCGTTAGATACATATGTGACTGTTTCAAAGGATACAGTGGTCTGAATTGCCAAACAGGTGAAATATGGCATGCTGTTATGGCTACTTGTTACCTAAAAATATGAGAGTTAAGTTTTCAACTGTCGCTTTGCAGTAATGACAATAATATGAAGAAGAAAAAAACGGTTGAATGAACTATTAAACTTTTGTTTTATATAGGACGTGCTGTGTTTCCCGGGGGTTCGACATCACTCGGAGCTAACTGTCTCAATATCAAATCGAAAGAAGTGAAATCGCCAGTTGGTAACACAAAATGGATAAATAATTTCATGAATAAACTAATTTCTGACGTAAAACCCATTTGGAAAACATTTCCCGGATTTTTGAGAGCGGAATTTGGAGCCGAGGCACAGATTAGGCCGAAAGGAATGGTGCAGGCGACAATAACTGCAAAGTGATTTTTTAATTTTGTTTTCTACACGATAATCTGCCCAAAACGAGGCCACGTGTTTAAGTGTTAGGAGTAGACCTATCATCACATCACGAATGACCGCCTCCTACCAACCGAGTATCACGGCTGAAGATTCATAGACGATATTTTAATTTTATTTCCATTTTAAGTCGTGATATATATATATTCAAATTCCAATTTTAAGGCAATTAATTAAAAACTTCATACTCAACCATGCATGCTATGATTTTGGATTAGTCTAACCGTAAATATATACTACTACGGTCTAACATATATATATTATTCGTATTGGAAGATTTAACTCAATGCACAAGGCATCAAGCTTATTGATTATTTTTGTCAAGCGTGATTGCAGCAAATATCCATTTAAATTTTTTTATCTGCATTAAAGAAGTTGACAACTTGTTTGCTTTCAGAATATGGCTTGATTCGGCGGTTCATGTCAAAGATTTGATACAACATTATATACAAAGTTCAAAACCATTATCAAAATTTTCTGGCATTCCCACGGTTTGTGGAAGCAAAACTATTAAAGGTGAGTTTGGAACACCAGCAAAACGTTTTTTTAACTCAATAAGTAACCGAAGGTTACAGTTTACTGTGTTTATGGCGCATCGTCATCTCTGTTTTGAGTCCGACTCTCTCGCCGGCTCTCTTTCCTGTTCCTGACCAAGATCAATCCTCTTAATGCAGCATATATGAGTGCATATTACTAGCACCCATGTAAGATGTAACTATCAATCATATTCGCTACGAGAGGTCACTTTAACAAAGTATGAAATTGTGACCCGTTTCCAATTTTACGAGACTGTCTGACCGCCCAAGTCTCTCCACGTTTGTTTCATAAACCACCTAAACAAATAGAGAGTTTGTTTTATACACATGAGACTGATTTTGTTACACTTTTTATAATCAATAAATGCGACATACCCGTATCGTACTTTCACAGGTCTATAATATTGTATCATCATATTTTATAAATGCGATAGATTTACTTGGAACAGGATATCATAATGCTGCCTGTAATGTAGGTTTCATATCATATAGGTCCTCAGAATCCATGTAAACCAAACCCATGTAAAAATGGCGGAACATGCACCGGTGGGGCTGGACAGGGAGGGTACAGATGCGGCTGTGTAGGAGGATTCAGTGGAAAAAATTGCCTAACAAGTAAGTATTTAGTTCGTAAGTAAATATATTCATATATAACATTTGAGCGTCTATCGACACAACAATTCTACATTTTTATTTTATATAGAGGATTTTCACAGAATAATAGAGAGGAATATTGTTGCTAGATAAGTTATCAATTTGAAGAGGGACTATTTACGCTTGATAGACGCTGATTCTGAATATTTTTATATTTCACTAACACTGTAAAAGTAAGTTAAATTCAAACTTCGAAACCAATTTCTGTATTTAGAAACTGATTTCTGTCGACCAAATCCATGTCTCAATGGTGGAGACTGTGTGAGCAGGATTGGTGGATATATTTGCATCTGCAGTGGTGGATATGGAGGAGAAAATTGTCGAACAGGTAGAAATGTAGTTTATTGAAAGTTTAAAAATATCATTTTTTCAGTAGGCCGATATTTGTGCATTTGTAAATACTTTCATTTAGGACAAAGCTGTCATTCTGTCTTCTATACCAGCTTTATCGAGACAAATATATGATTTTTAAACAAATTTATTTTGTATCTTTGTTTAAGTTTAAAAATAGTTTTGTAATTATGTGTGATGTACCAGTGATTGATAAATATATATATAATTCTGATTATAGCAGTAATGCAATCGTTAAGATGTATTCCATATTGCAGTATTGAAAGCTGCAGGAACGAGAAGTATGGGAATGCCTCTCCCCCATATCACTGTACAAGTAATTTTTTGCTGTTTTTTATTTCCTGGATAGAAGATCAGTGTCCTCATAAATTTGGAATTTTGCTTGACATTTACTTAATAGTCTAAATTGTTTTGCAACCTCAATTTTTCTGTTGGTGAAATCATTCTTATCTATTTCATAAACATATCCCCAAGACAAGTACAAAACTGATAATTTGGAGAATTTAACTTCCCTGGTGATTTTTCTCTGAAACCTGGTGTTTCCTTGTAAGTTGTAACTGCAACTCATTTGACATGTTTCAAACTCATGTTTCAAACATGATTATATATTACCATTTAAAAATATTTCAATCAGACCATATTAATTTTTATATGGATTAAGATGCATGCACTTGATAATTACCAGTTAGCTATCACAAATTTATATTATTGTTTGATTATGCAGTCATTATTGCCAGCCACGAATCTTGTGGTCTTTTACCCAAATAAAAAACATTTCACCACAGGTATTTAATGGTTATAATGTTGCAGAACTCAATCCTTGTCGACCAAATCCATGTCAAAACAGAGGGCAGTGTGCACGGAAGGGCATGGGATATGTTTGTAATTGCAAGGGAGGATATGGAGGCCAGACATGTCGACTTCGTGAGTAAACAAATTAAACACAACGAACCACGATCTACAAATTGGGTCTGGTTCTGAATAACAATTAGCTGTGGATGCAGCAAAGTAATACAATCTATACACAACCCTTACTTTCGGCCTGCTTATGAGCTTCATATGGGCTACATGGGTTTTCGTTGCTATGTGATGTTTATTCAGTAAAAGGTAGAAAGAGCATATGTTATTGTGTGTAGCCTAAGCCTGCACTCATGTTCGATAATTAATTTAACAGTTTAAATGTCTAATTTTGTTCAGTACCTGTGCTCTGATAATTACACAACAATCATTGTGGGCATCTTTGTTACCAACATAACCATTATTGTGCTGTATCCTACGTGGTGTTTATTTTTTGATGCAATTCATTCCAGCACCACAGCCAACCAGTCCATGTGATAAGAAGCCGTGTAAATTTGGTGGACGCTGCATTTCTCCAAATGGAAAAGGATATGTTTGTGAATGCAAAGCTGGATACACTGGAAAGAATTGTCATATAGGTATAACTTCAGTCATCGAAAATTTTTATTTTGTAGTATCAGTGTTAAAAAGTTGGCATATTATATATATTGGCTTGTATATTATATTATGGATTGTGGAAAGGTAGGTAGGGACACTTGTACTCTTACACAACTAATAATTGATTACACCATCTCCATGTATTTGACTGTGCTGTCCTCTGATTGACTAGCGCTCACCTTAATCATATATTGTAAAAGGCTATACATAGTACACTATATAATTATGCAGCCTAGTCAGCTATCCCCTTTCTAGGTCGAATATGAAAATCCTATCAGTAATCATATATAGATGTAGATAATACATTTATTGATGTTTAATACAGCGGTTCCCAAACTTTTTGTTTGTATGGCGCCAAATTATACGGGCGAAAACTCACTGTGCATTCACACGAAAAAAATTGCTGCCTTTGAATAAATCTCAATTTTGGGATTGTTGATGTGTACTTCATGCCTTCTAAAGTTTGTGAACATGTAGGCCTAAAAAATAAAAGGTCAATTCTTCTTCCTCATCTCTGCCTGCTTTTCCTTTGAAATATTAAAAAAATCACCCATGTTCGCTAAACCCGGTGCAGAAGATAAAAGTGTCTACCTCTATTCTTACGTAACAATAGAGACAGACACAACGTAACAGAAAGTAAAAAACATATAAAGCTAAAATAAATTTATTGATTCATGTACATAGCATTTAAAAGAAGAAACAAACATTTATAATAAATGCAATATGTAAAATATTCAATCATCTTTTAGTTATGTTTAACACAATTCTGTTAATCTTCAAAGCGCACTTAGCAAATAGGATAGGATTTACCTATTTATCCCGGGGGAGAGAAAAGTCGATAATGACGGCTTAATCATATGGCAAACCACGGCCTCTCGTCCGGTTACCTGGCCAGGTCGGGTATGGGATCAGTCAGCCAGTTATTTGTTTTCGAAAGCATGGACTTGAAATTGTCGCATCCTTTGGAAACCACTTGTTAAATAGATTAAAAAATTCACATGACAATTTAGGGCGAAATGAGCCATGAAATAAGATCATAATGTGATAACTATATTATAGTTATTACTTGTATGCACCCAAAACTCTCCCATGGCCATCCAATTTATATTTGAATCTATGCCCCTGCTGAATTATCGAGCACAAATCCAGTGCAATTGGATTAACATTTTTTAACAGTATCAAACTCACTAGAATATAGGCAGTTTTAGCTAATATGTAAACATGCATATAAATTTGAATTGCATGTGTGTATATTACTCTGGAAATGTTTGGTATTTTAAACATCTTGTTTATAAAATGAGAAAATTGTTTTTGGGCTGCAGTTGTTGTATTCGAAACCAATCAATCATATTATATTGATGTTTTGCATGTGAGAGGGTTTTAGGATAATAGGAAAAATGTAATACTGGTTTAAATATCTAAATCATTTTTATAATTTTATTATTCAAAAGGTTGCCAAGTGTGCTTTTATAGACTTTTGCAGACATCAGTATTAGGCAGGATGCCTCAAAAATTCAGCTTCATAGTCAGATTTTGTATAATCCAATTTAATAATACCATTAAATTTTAGATTTCGATAACATCATATTTGTTCTAGAACCCAGTCCTTGTCGACCCAATCCATGTCGAAACCAGGGGAAATGTTCACAAATTGGAACTGGATTTGTTTGCAAATGCCGGGGAGGATTTGTAGGATCAACCTGTCGACTTCGTGAGTATAAACTAAAACTTCACAATCATCATTTTTGATATTATACTGACTGATTTTGGCCTTGTTCAGCATTACTTTTTAAGAAATGAGAGGTAAGTCATTTTGTGAAACCAACTGATGCAGTTTATAGGGTTTAGATATAAGTAAATGAATTTCTGATATATTCTGCGTTAGGGTAGATATAATACATAACCGATATAGGTATGGTCCAGATTGGTTTATCGGTTCATATATCTCTTTTAAAGGTAGTCGATTTGCTCGAAATGTCGAGTCATTCCGTCAGTGGAAGCATTCAAAAATTTTGTGTTGAGTACTTGAGTTAATAAAATATTCCTATTAAAATTAACTATTTGTTCTGCAAAGTCTTATTTTTATTTTTTTATATTTAGCACCAGAGCCTAGAAGTCCTTGTGATAAGAAGCCGTGTAAATATGGTGGGCGATGCATTTCTCCAGATGGAAAAGGATATGTTTGTGAATGCAAGCCAGGATACGCTGGAAACAATTGTCAAATAGGTATAGCTTTATCTATAGGTGATATTTTCAGTACTTTTCAACAACCTTGATAAAGTATAACTACCGGTATATGAAAAACTAAGACTACTCCAACTTTACAATATAGCAAATAGATTTGATAAATATTTGATTGAACATTATAGGCATAGTAATTTTATATCTAATTCAAATGCAACATTTAGGCGCCAACCATTGTAAACCAAATCCCTGTGGCAACGGCGGAGACTGTATACCAAAAGTTGGAGGATATGTTTGCATTTGCAGAGGGGGTTATGGAGGAGAAAACTGTCAAACTAGTATGTTTATTAATGTATTGCAATGAAAAATAATATTTGCTGAGAAATTCTGCTGTTGCTAGTTTGTTTATAATATTATACGAATGGCAATGTAGAAAATGTCTGAGTACCAATTAAAAACATATTGACGGAAGCTTGAATGCATGCAATTTTGATTTTGATATACAATTGGCGAATAATGCAAAATATTATTAATTTCTATTGTTATTATTCAACAAGAATATGCATGGTATTATTATAATTAATATTGTATAAAATACAATGTATATTTGTGTGTTGTTTGTCTTTCAAATTAAACATTGTAAGATTAAACTTCAATATTTTTGTGCTTGTTCAAAGAATTGATTCACTGATATTTGAAAGAGAGACCTCAAGTATTATGTCATTCTGATTTGTTTCAAGTCAAAGAAAGTCGAATAGTTTTTCATTTTTAGGAAGATCAAATATGCACTGTGAATTTGCAGAAATATTTTGTTCTAATAATAATGTTGTGGGATTAGCACAAATGTAGCATTTAAAAATGTGTGGCATATATCGTATTAATATTCAGCTAATACAAAATCTATGGTAACACACCAATAATCCCATATGTATTTCCTACATCCCTAATTTCCAAAATTTCACACTTACACTTTACACTTTATTTGCGTGAATGTTAAAGCAATTACCAACTCTTCGAATGACACACTTTTATGGGAATTTACACAGATAACATTTTTCAATAGACAAATATTTTCACAAATATAGGCCCCAATCGCTGTCGAACAAATCCATGTGGCAACGGTGGAGACTGTGTACCTAAAGTTGGAGGATATGTTTGCATTTGCAAAGGAGGTTATGGAGGAGAAAACTGTCAGATTGGTAAGTGTTTCATAAGTGACTTATCATATTGATCAACTGAACATTTTATTTTGCAGAAGCAGCCAAACTTTAAATGCCATTAGTTTTGTACTTATTTGAGTGGTTTTTGAAATGTTTAACAAAATCTTTTTCAAATTGACATCCTAGGCTTTAGACATTTGAAGGAAGATGAGAAAGAAAATACAACAATTATAGCAACTCAATGTTTGAAATCTTGCTAGATTTTACGTGGATTGCCTACGTGGATTTGCATATTTTTGTGCAAAAGATCGCTTGAGTTACATGATCTTTCACAATGCTGCTGTTGTCTTCAATTTTTGCCATCATCCAATTTCATGTATTTGGTTCTATTAACTGCTCAAATTCTATTTTCTTACTTTTCGAAATGAAAAATCAATATATTTGTCGCCAGCTAAAATTATGTTATACATTTTCACAATTATAGGCCCAAATTATTGCCGACAAAATCCATGTGGCAACGGCGGAGACTGCATACCAAAAGTTGGTGGATATGTCTGCATTTGCAAAGGAGGTTATGGAGGAGAAAACTGTCAGATTGGTAAGTGTTTCATAAGTGACTTATCATATTGATCAACTGAACATTTTATTTTGCAGAAGCAGCCAAACTTTAAATGCCATTAGTTTTGTACTTATTTGAGTGGTTTTTGAAATGTTTAACAAAATCTTTTTCAAATTGACATCCTAGGCTTTAGACATTTGAAGGAAGATGAGAAAGAAAATACAACAATTATAGCAACTCAATGTTTGAAATCTTGCTAGATTTTACGTGGATTGCCTACGTGGATTTGCATATTTTTGTGCAAAAGATCGCTTGAGTTAAATGATCTTCCACAATGCTGCTGTTGTCTTCAATTTTTGCCATCATCCAGTTTCATGTATTTGGTTCTATTAACTGCTCAAATTCTATTTTCTTACTTTTCGAAATGAAAATTCAATATATTTGTCGCCAGCCTTAATTATGTTATACATTTTCACAATTATAGGCCCAAATTATTGCCGACAAAATCCATGTGGCAACGGCGGAGACTGCATACCAAAAGTTGGTGGATATGTCTGCATTTGCAAAGGAGGTTATGGAGGAGAAAACTGTCAGATTGGTAAGTGTTTCATAAGTGACTTATCATATTGATCAACTGAACATTTTATTTTGCAGAAGCAGCCAAACTTTAAATGCCATTAGTTTTGTACTTATTTGAGTGGTTTTTGAAATGTTTAACAAAATCTTTTTCAAATTGACATCCTAGGCTTTAGACATTTGAAGGAAGATGAGAAAGAAAATACAACAATTATAGCAACTCAATGTTTGAAATCTTGCTAGATTTTACGTGGATTGCCTACGTGGATTTGAATATTTTTGTGCAAAAGATCGCTTGAGTTACATGATCTTTCACAATGCTGCTGTTGTCTTCAATTTTTGCCATCATCCAGTTTCATGTATTTGGTTCTATTAACTGCTCAAATTCTATTTTCTTACTTTTCGAAATGAAAATTCAATATATTTGTCGCCAGCCTTAATTATGTTATACATTTTCACAATTATAGGCCCAAATTATTGCCGACAAAATCCATGTGGCAACGGCGGAGACTGCATACCAAAAGTTGGTGGATACGTCTGCATTTGCAAAGGGGGCTATGGGGGAGAAGATTGTCAAATCCGTAAGTACATTTTTCATATCTTTGTCTAGCACTCCTGAAAATTTAATCAAATGTTCTGTCTACCGTCATTCTTCAGTCTAATATTTTGAATATAATTCAACAACAATTAAAATAGTAAACAAATTGTCTGGATGTGACAATATGTTTTATTTAAAATAAATTGTACCTTCATATTATATTATATTATCACTTGTTTGGATGGACCTGGGACTATGAAGGTAATTTATTTAAATATTCAAATATGGAGTTCAAGGCAGTGTTACACACAAGCCATGTTTCGAAATTTAAAATAGATTGCAAAATATGTAAATAAAGAACACTGAAAAGGATAAAAAATAATATCGGGTAATGCATTTTTAGCTCCTCGTCCTATTGGCCATTGTGCTATCAATCCGTGTTTGAATGGAGGAAGATGTAGATCTCCTGATGCTAAAGGATATGTATGTGATTGTCTACCTGGATATTCTGGAGTGAATTGTGGACAATGTATGGTGTTAAGTAAACATTACAACTGACTGGTGAAAAATGACCATAATCGTCTTAAAATTCTTGTGGTCTGATTCATTTTTGTTTTACAGTATTATTTTAGTATAACAAAAGTGTAATGATTCCGTCAGTGGTATCGTCATGGAATCTAATGTTGTGGTGCTAAACTACTCTAAATAAACTGGCTGTCCACTCTGTTTGTTACTCATTCTCAATTTGTCTTCAAAATAAAAGATTTCCATAATAAAAAATCTTGTCTTAATATTAAAAGTGTTCCACAAGTCTAAATATCTTGAAAATTGCCCTTCTTTGTGATTCAGTCATTGAAATAATCCTTAAATTGCAAACTAACTTTCAGGCTCAACCTGATGTCCATCAAAGTCTAGCACAAATCTTTATCTTCTTGTTTTATTTGCATCATTGTAGTCATGTATGGAAGCCAAACTGCAGTATTTTGCATTGAAATTCAGTCAACGGAGATGAAGAGAAATGAAGGAAATCCAAACTGGCTTAACAATATGATGGGAAAGTGGAAAGTAGACCTAGATTTGATATGGGAGTCATATCCTGGATTTTTAAGAGCTGGCATTGCAGTTTCCTCGAAGGGGAAACCAAATGGGATGGTACAGTCAACGATTCGCAGCACGTGAGTTCAACATGAAGAACTTCTGTGCTTCCATGGCAGAAGAGAAACATACATGGCAAAATTACATTACATTATATAATGCCGCAATGGCTCAATAAAAAAATCTGCCCTGTTAGCTGTCACAAAATTGGTTGCAGCGGGACTTTTTTTTCCTTATGTGAATATTTTTGAAGTGTGAGAAATTCGTGTGTTTTCAAATTTGATATGATCATCATTTGCATAAATAAAAAATTTTAATTTCAATCCAATTATATAAGCTGAAATGTGTCTACACTCAATGCGCAACACTAAATCGGACTGCTAAGCTCTTTAATTTATAATACAATATACCAGCGAATTCTATTTGTTTGCTCCACTTTTCTTCAGAGTTTGGGTATTACTTCCAAAGCTTGGATCCAGCAGGACAAGTCTTATTGAACATTTTGAACAAAGTGGAATGAAAAAGAACACATTTGTGGGTTCACCAAAATTTTGTGATTCTGGTGAGTATGATGTTTCAGTTTCTTCAAACGCATTTCGCTTAAAACTCTATCTTTATCTTGCTTTTCAGAGTTCAGTTTATGTAAGCCTCAGATTTGTGGAATTGGCAGAAGATGTGTGCAAGGGTATGGCGGATTTGTTTGCTTGTGCACAGGTGGATACAGTGGTGAAAATTGCGAAATTGGTGAGTATGCAACATTTTATCAGTTATTTAGCTTGTATGAATGAATACTTTACTTTACATATATAATGCAAAAAATGTTTCATTTGGGAAAATATTTCCGACCACTCAGATGACCAGTGAGGTAAATGATCAGCAAAATAAATCGGTATTTCAGTCCTGAAATAGGTTTAAAAACGAACTCGTATCAGTTCAATAGATATGAATTAAATATTGAGGTTTCATTTTTCGTTCAAGTATACCATACAGCTCAGCATGAATAAATATTACACAGTGTAGCGAGATGTTTAGAATAATTTATATTTTCTCAATTCACATTTTTCGCATTTCAATCAAGCCCAGATTTTTACATCTTGGATTTCATTATTCTCATAAATTGCCTTTTCAGCCCAAAATAATTGTGAATAAATTTTACCGATCATCTTTCATTCTAGTGCCTGGTCACATTGATCATTGTAGTCCAAGCCCATGTCAACATGGTGGATCCTGTAGATCAGTCGATGCCAAAGGATATCAATGCAATTGCGTCAATGGCTATACCGGAATTAATTGTCAAAAAAGTTTGTTTCTAATAGAGTCTTTCTATTATGTTCACCGCTATGGGTTTTTTGGATTTCAAATATTTCATATCAGACTGACTGATGGTAGAAGTCAAATCAATATCATTTCATCAATTGATAGTTGATTTTATATTGGATGTACTTTTTACTTATCGATCTTAAGATCGGTAGGTTGATAGGTATGCTGATGGGTATTTGTCTGTCTGTATGCCTGTTTGTTTGTCTGTTAGATGGACGCGATATCTAACGAAGGCGAGGTTGAATCTGTTCCAAATTTTGCATGTGCATTCATTATATTTCGGACCAGAAGCCTATTGATTTTGGATGAATTGTGTCGTATAATTAGCGAGTTGTTAATTAATTAGTGATGGGACACGAAATGTCACTATAGAGTCATGAATCGAAACCGCAGTTTCGATCGATAAGTCTTCGGTCTCCGACCGATATTCTCGTTAAGATATCGATAATTTTTAAAACTATGGAGCATGGCAAGGGCATACCATACAAATATTTCGTAGGAGTAATCATGCGAGTTTGCAAAATGGCTGCGCTAAATTTACTAACAAAATACCCAGAATTTATTTTACTCTATCCTCCCTATAAAATTAAAGATCTTAGTTAGGGAAATGGCCGCATTATTGAACATGAGATCCTCTTTGAACTTGTATGGAAATTATAAATTTGTTGATTCAGTTGGTCAACAAACTGCTGGCAAATATTGCATCCAAATCCAGTCAACTGACGCAAAAGGGTCGCTGGACAATCCAAATTTTTTTGAAAACTTTGTTGATGAGTTGAAAGGGGATCTGTCATTGATTTGGAAAACCTACTCAGGGTTTATGAGAGCAGAATTCGGTGTTGAAGCAGTAACCAAACCAAATTCAAAAGTACAAGCTACAATTCGTGTCACGTAAGTAAATCAGTCATTCAAAGTTTTTATATTTAAATATTCATTAAGTTTTTCTTGTCTTTCAAAATGATGACAAATATGTATTTGAGTCTTCAGCTGACTGAATGTATTTCTCCTACTCTTCTACAGAAAACATAAGGCATACATTTTTGGTAGTTTTCAGGTCAAAATTTTCTAATGTGAACTCTTGTCAGAACATACTTACATAAACGTGTCCGTTGTTATGTCAACTGGTTATATACATCTGCCTCGTCTATATTTAGCCATAAATACAGACCAGTTTTTGTAGGTTATCAATGTAGCTTACCTAAATCAAAAGATTTGTCCAGTACACACTTCTGTATCCCAGGATTATATGGCGTTGGCCATGTGTGTGTGTAATTTTGACTAAGGATTTGTACTTTAGGGTTTGGGTCTCACTGGCAGGTCGAGACAGAGGAGTTACTGTACAAGATCTCATTCGTCATTTCGTTCAAAGTAATGCACGCAAAGGCAACTTCATTGGGAAGCCTCAACCGTGTTTGCAGTAGCCAGTACGCGAATAGACAACAGAATGGACATATCTACACTGGAAAATAACAAATAAAATTTGAACCATATAACATTACAGAGTGATCATCTTTGAGCATTCGTATTTACACCATTTTGCGGCCTGATTGAGCATCACACCCAATTTCGCATTAAATTGAGGTACAATTTCCATGGATTGTCCCTCAACCAACTACAAATCTATTCATAATAAATTGACATTTCATTGTAGTTTGTATTATTATTGCTTTTTTAACGCTATCAACCTAAATAAATCCTACATTGGTGAGCATCATAATCATATATGAAGCTATCTATAGTTTGGTATTTGAGGATGACGAATGTTGATTGATTGGTTGATATTGTATATCATATGGTGACACGGATATTAAAGCCTGACTAATGGACTGGGAATCTGTCACGACTGTGTGAAACTCCATTTTGCATTTGTGTGATGTGTGAAACAGACTGTCTAGGTCACAATACTCGTTTAGCGTTTCTCTCTAATTGACAAACCCTGTTACTGGAGTATGTCTAACAGTCCCATGACGTTTGCGCGCACTTGGAATGCATGAGTTGGTGTAATGGTTTCAACCACTTCAGATGGTTGTTAGAAGTGACTTTAAATTTTAAAACACCGCAATTTTACACTAACGTGGTAGTCGTGCTGCTCATGCGATTTCCATGCTTCAGCAATGTTGATACTGACTAATCAGTCTAATTCTTCAAAACCTGGATGACTAAATGATCACGGCGCTAGATGAATTATGTCTCATGCGCATACTAAGGCATGTTAATCATATGGACTGATTTTGTTTCATTATTACGTAATCACAGCTATTTGAGTAAAAACAAGATAACAAATAGTATTGAAGATAAATAAAAATTCATCAATGTCGTATACAATTATTATATGGCAGTCATAGTATCGTCATATATATATATGACTTGAAATTACAATATTCGATAAAATCGTTGCGTTGAATGAGAGAAAATGCTTCTAAAAGGTTTGTCTTTTCATTCAGTAATATCAGTCATACATAAACAATTTAACGCGAACTAGCCGGTTAAAGCCATCGTTTCAGGGAGACATGTCTTCGACGTATCTTCTTTATAAACTAGCTGCGTCTTACATCTATTGATATGAACTAGTTTGCAATATAATGGCACTTGAGTGAAGGTATGAAATCTAAAAATCAAAGAAACGAGAATTAGAAATCCATATACAATAAAATATATTATATATATCATTTCACAAGTATGAGCTATCATTAGCAGTCCTGGGTGTCGATATAAAATATAGGAAATAAAAGGAGTATCAGGCCACAATAACTTGGTAATTAGAAATATTAGCCTACTTATTCCGATTTCAGTAAAAGGGCTGAAGAACTTTAATATTCGAGTTGTCTCGGGTCTTATCACATAACATGCTGCGTAGTTACGTCGTACCTGTCGCAACACCTTGAATATTTTTGACTGAAATAATGATATGTGTTTGCCAAATATTGTGACGAAACAGGATTGGTCTCTGGAGAACATTGAACACCCATGGCTTCCAGTTTTGTCAACATGAATTCCGCAGTCTTCAAATTTTTGCGATTCCAGGCTGCTTCTTTTAAGGATACCGGAGTAGTGGTCTTCGTACAAGTTACCTGAAAAATTCAGAGATATTGATGCCAATTTCTCGATATCGATACTATTTTTAAATACTATTATTAATGCCTAAATCATTTTTAATCACTGCAAAAAAACTATCTATTTCGTAAAATATTTCACTTGCAGCTGGCGCCATTTTATAGTATATATGTATTATATATATATATTATAGTTTTTTTTTTATTGTAAACAACTGTTCTGATTTGTTCCATATGCATTTGATTTATTCAGATAGTCGCCAGGCCGATTGTGCAAAGTATTTTACTTACAAGATATGGATCTCCAATGAAACACGTGCATAGTTTACACGGAAATTTGAATGACTTCCACGTAGATCCGATTCTATACTCTTTTTGAATGCCATCATCGTAGCAACCTTGCTTAATCAAGCAAGAAGCGGATGCGCAAATAACGAGAGACAAGGCAGGAAAAATTAATTTAAGCAAATTCATCTAAAATAAAATTCGAGATCTTAATTTCACGGTATAGTACTAAATCCACCCCTTGGTCAACTACCTAAAGCTTCCAATTGTTTCGTTTCACCGCTAACTGCGTAGCTCATCGAGTTAGGAAGAAGATGACGACGTAACTGCATGGTCACGGCTTCCAAGGTTGTAATTCTGCTCATCATTTTATACTTTCCGTAGGTCAATAAACATGTAAGTTAGACTACAAATCTCATTAAATTCCCGGGATGTAAGTTTGTATTTACGACAAGGACACGTCAATTTTCGTACTAGTGCACTCAATAAATAAACAGTAATAAAATAAACTTCTAATTGATTTAGTGACCCCTCACGTTGAATATGCAACGTGGCTATCTTCCAAAACATTCAGGTAAATATTATTGTTGTCAATTTGCCAGAATTCCACGCGATATCACTGAGGGTATCGGGGAGTTATAAGAAAGGGTTGGAGTTGTATATTCTTGTGTTTGCATACCCCAGGCTTTTCGCAGAAACGGACAATATTTACAACCGACCAAAACGTTTTCATAGCTGTGTGTGTATTGTATTATCAGCGCCTGGTAGCCTCGGGGCAAACTTGTACTTTCCCATGTGAATTTGTACGCTACCCACGTAAAGAAATACCATCAAGTTTTACGATTGAGTCATGTCTACAATTGTTGCACTAGGTTCTGAACATGAAACCATGTTCAGCCACCCTAGTTCGATGAGGACCGAAATTGATGAACGTTTGTTCATTGTTCAAATGATATATGAATATTTACTAAATGTTGGCTCAATTTAAACTCAAGCCCTAACGCATCCAAGAAGCCTGATTATGCTCGCCTCCACATTCTCTGAACCTGAGCCCACTAAATTCATATTTCGACAAATCAGAGATTTTTGGGTCATAGTATAAAAGAAAAACTATTTTTAATAGTGTGAGGAATACTATATTAAACTCAAATAAAAATTTAATTTTTTGAAATTTGAAGTTTCGATTCCGATAATAAGCCACAACTGAAAAACGTTGAAAAGAAAACGAGGCTTATATATAATTAAATTTATAGAGAGCAAGAATGACTGAAATATTAAAAATAGAAAAATAATGGGTTTTCAACTGACAATTCATGTGCAATTCCTCAACAGAGAGTAAATATGCTTTGAGAAATAACGTAAGGAAAGGCGTGCTAAAACAACTCTAACAAAATTAAATAACGATTAATTAGTTGAAAATCTGTGTTTTGTGTGATTTACCCTACCTATTGTATATTTGTGCTTATCATAAATTTAGATTACTTAGTCTAGTTTTGGTCATGCTATTCATTGTTTATTTCGCGTCATTTTCGAGTCCTAAAAACGTCCTGGTACACGTGTAGCATACATTTTTGCCGCAACTTTACATGGTTTATCCTACAACAAATGACTGATATGTCGCAGTATCTGTAAAGGAAATGATAACATTGGCTAGAAGATAATGTAGCCAATTGGCATCTAGCACAAAGCTTTCTATTCATATTTAAAAGTAGTCCAGGTTTTCCCATAGATTCAGAGACATGAATGTAAGGTCGCTTTAATCGATGGCATTTTGAGGGCCGCAACTGAAGTAATGAGCAATTTATCCCACTAATCTCCAGCTGAATTAGAGGCTGGAATCTCAAATCACAGTGTTGCAAACTTGTTACCTATTCCCGCATAGCAAGAAGAAAGGACAATGATGGTCAGTATGAACAAGCTTTTTTATTGTCGTTCCTCGTCCCTGAGTTTAATATGAAAGTCATATATTATGTGTACTTTCGGTATACAATACATAAACCTTGACTATGGAGCAATTTTGAGTTAGACCGTCAAAACAATTCTGAATATTTTGATATTGGTAAAATTACGACTAACGAATAACTATTGCTCGCATAATTTAACCAGTGAATATATTGCGGGATAGGCCGCTAAATTATTATAATAAGTAAGAGCGAATCGATATTATTTGTCTTTAGCGCCTATATAGCTATAAAGCTAATATACCGTTCACCACGCGAGAGACCTGTTGCAGCATTAGAAAGTAGGCAAAGCAAAACCCAATATCATGCATTTCCGATTATTTGACACGTTTCTTTATTCGTTTAATAAGTTTTGAACATTGCACGAAAATAAAAATTAATAATAACAATTTAATATCTGTAAACGCTGCAGAGTAAAATATATATTTAAATTAAATACATGAAAAAATATGACGTTTGTGTTATACTTGCACTGACAACGGAAACGTGACAAGGCCTCAATTGCACACCTAGCAAAGCTAGTGCTAACCAGATCAATACAAGTATGAAGTATCTGAAGCGCAAACAATGGTGGCCCGCAAACAAAATCCTAAAGCAATCACATACCGATTCCGTTGAATGATCCTTCGATCTGGGCATATTTTTAGGTTTGTAGCTCCAAACAATGGTGCAGACTTTATAACTGATAATTAAAGCTATGTCGTGCTTAGGTATTACCGCTACCTTCCCCTCTGGACAAAAGCCTACATACTTTGATGGACATGACGTAAAATGATATTTGGATAAATCTGATATATTCGGAGCAGCGACGCCAACACAAATCATTCAACGCGAAATAATAAAGGTATCTACCGCTGGCAAACGTCAACCATTTTATGCCATTATCACGTACCGTGTTAGCTACCCAGCCTTTCCCAAATCTTAAGTAAACTATCGTCTCGCGCGTTGCTTAACTAGGAAAGTCTTTTTGAGGCGCATTGACGGACGGTCCGGGCCCTGTTTTAACACAAGGCAAGAGAACGATGGCAATAGATTTACCGTTCTAAAAATACTTTCCATTTCGTGGGCGTGATAAATATTAAGTTGAACTCTAGTAACTCATATATATGGCAATTTCACTGTAGGTAATATTTTATTTGCGATCCACAGACGTCTGACTCTCTTGTACATCCACCGGGAGTTTGACTTAAATTCAGATAATGTCATCGACTAATTTGAGTATCGACCCCGATCCCGAAACTTTCTGATCATATTTCGCGAATTTTTTCATGTTTGCAGCTTTGCTACAAAAGTTATTAGTACTACTACAGCTTTCAGTTATAATTACTTCATCTATGATAAGACGACAAGTTGGAGACCATATTATTAGTATAATTTACAGTTTTACACCATTCGATGTAATTAATCCAGCGCAGATTTTGAAGGAAGTAGTAATTTTTCGCTTCTCAGTTCAAGCAGATCTAAAAAAGAAAACAATTGTATGATTGACTATAGCAGTGATTTTTAACTTTCGTGAGCCTGCCGAACGCTATTCCGCAATCTTGTGTCGAACCCCAAACATTTGAACTAAAATCGCAACCTGAACTTATTCGGGGTAAGCCAATTTTGTACAAATTTATAGAATATCTAACTGCCTTCAGTTGATAGAATAATATGCATTCGTTACCTTACTGTTGGGCATAGGTTTTTTTTTTCGGGTTAAATTTGAAGGGCATGCTTTCTCAAGAGAGTGTCAACCGAAAAAAACACTAGTTGTGCCATTGTTTGTGGCAGAATAGATTGCAACAAACAGTAGATTTTATTCAGTCATTAAATTTATCATTGACACTTTTGCTGCTGTTTTTCGGTGACCAACTGGAAGATACAATGCTTAGTTTCAAAATGAGCACAATTTTCATGTCCTTTTCGCGAGTCGCGTTCAGTTGAGCAGGTGAAGTCATACTTCACATATTCATCAGACCAATTTCTTTTCTTGAATGACATAATTCACAAAAAAGACTCCTCGGAATTGCAAAGAGTTTTAGAAGAAAAGAAACGTTGAACCGCTCTGAAAATTGCGGTGTAATCTTAGATATCAAATCGCCGTGTTGGAATGACCATGTTATGTCACAATGGTGTCGGACGGTCCAGACCTCGTTGCCAAGAAGATGTTTTTTTTGGGAGCTCCAGAAGTATTGGCGCACAACCTAAAAATAGTATGTGTGTACCGGTTAGGGTTCAGCTTGTGCGAAATCTTGGTGCACATACTTCTGGAGCGCCTTATTGTTATAAAAGTTGTGCCGATGGAAAAGCGCAAAACGGCGAAAGCGAAGTTGAAACATTGGTGATTCAGAACCTGAGATACTTTATCGAAAACATTGGTGGCTCAAGGCATACACATTACAGATTTAAACCCTGCTTTCAGATAGATATAAAAGCATTTGCCCATTGCTTCCGAACAGAGATACGATATGTATAAGCGCTATATTAAGGTCGTCGACAGGTGTTGATATTGTCACGCAAAGCTCCGCCATGAAATATTCTATTCTGAAAATTGGAAGTTGGAAGTTAGGAAGCTTCTAAAAAATGAAGTCACACGGAGGTACATCCAAGCGCGTGACGTCTCTCATTAACGGGTCTTTATTTATCTGCGCAATACTACACATAAATAAGCTATATTCTATAAATGATCTGAATGTTGAAATGTGGATATCTGCTTTAAATTATAGTTATTTTTGCATATTTAATTGGCTCGGAAATATAAATACTTCGTAAAACACAACAATTTCACAGGGCCTTCGTCGAACCCCTGGTACTGCTTCACCGAACCCCAGGGGTTCGATCTGTAACAAATTAACCAATAATTTGGATAATGGAAGTCAAATTCTATATAATAATTGACGTAATCGAAATATTGAAGAGATCTTTCTAGATCATTCGAAATATTGAGTCTATAGATCTTTCTCGTGTATGAGAAAATGGATATTTCCCATGTCAGGTAACCTATAAACAAGTGTAATTATTGTAAGAAGGGTACCGAACATTCTAGATATGAGCAAAAATTGCTCCGTGGGAAACGAGATTTTTGGATAATAAAGAAAGGTACCGTTTTTGGCGAGCGAGATGAAAAAGATGTTACCGTTTAAATAGACATTTGATCGTGGTTTTCACGGCTTTTTCTATTTCAATTCGTTCTATACAACAATGCTAATTCATCACCGACTTGGTTTTCACGATTGTGAGTGTGTTTTATTGTAAGTAAATTTATTGTGATATATTATCCGTGGAAATAAAAATCTTTACAGGCAAATTGGTCAGATCCTTACTGTTATATAAAATTAACAGATATCTCAATTTGAACACGTAACCTACTATATATTCTGTTTTTGGAGTCAGATACTTATCTAATTCGCTCAATTAGAAAGCAAAGACAGCAGAAGTTACAGATCGAACCCAGGTTAAAAACACTGGACTATAGGCTATATCGCCGAGAGTTTGCGACAAGAAAGCTGTAAAATACCCCTACCGAATGTATAGTTTTGTCATAAGGTCATTAAAGTTGAGTTTAAACAAAGGCATTTAATAAAATATAAAAGTACAACGCTGCAATACTTGATTTGAAGTACATCCTCAATTAGGTGAATTTGGCTCAAACCCTATAAATGTTCACATTCTACCGAATGTCTGCAACAGGGATCGCAAGTGTGGATCGAGTATAGACGTTCCAATGAACAAAATCTCATTGGAGCATATTGCAAACTTTAATATTATGGAATATGATTTGTTAGTTGCTTTTTATGAGATAAAATTTTTATAAGTTTACTGAAAGCGAGCTTCTATAGATTGACAGTTAAAAAGGAAAAAAAGTACAGATAGAACATTGCAAACTAATATTGCTGCGCATAAGGCTTTATTTTTATATGAGCTATACGAAGTCGCCCTATATATTGACCCAACATAATATACTTCATAAGATTGAGCTTGTTATTGGATACGAAATGTATTGTTTTGTGATTATATTATTATGTTGTTGTTGTGAAAAATCGCTTTTCTGGACCAATTGCTTTGAAATTGTCAATGAATAAAACTTGTTGTTGTCGCTAGAAGGCTATTACTTTCAATATTTCATTAAAATCTGTGGCTCTATGGAATTCGATTATCACTTCGAAGTAATCAAGATTAATAACTTATAAACTGTTTGCCGTGGTTACGTTCCGTTCTGGAGGTCAGACTACCGATACTGTAAAAGATTTCATACTAATTCGTTTTGGCTTTTGTTTCCGTATATTATTGAGCATCGCTCCCTTGTTTTCAATCAGAGTGATGGTACACATATATTTTACTGGATTGGGGGACAACCATTCGCGAGCTTCTTTTGGTCTTTCTTTTGCTGTAATGATGATAAATGGATCATCAACACAGCCTCTTTTTAAAATTATTGATTGCTAAAAGCTGATATACATTACGTATAATAGCATTTCTGGTACCAATTGAATATTTGTGCACGTGTAAGAAATTTTTCTGTGCTTCAAGTTTCAATATTGACGTACTCTATTCTCCATACGCAATAATGGTGTTAACTGGGTATTAATTAGTCAAAATAAAAATTTGTGTTTAGCAGTTAATTCTTAATAAAATGAAATTTCAGAACCGAAAGAAAACCATCGAAAAATTATGAATTCGGCTGAATTTCGCTCGCTATTCTTGATAGTCATAAACTGTGTGCAGATCATTATTTCATCGAATGACATTTTTCAATGCCCAACATGTGGTTTAATTTGTGATGACAATATAGAAAATACTTTGAGCCACTTCAATATTGTTCACACATGCCAAGGGACAATGGGGGAAGTAGGCCCGGTTGGCCTGAAAGGCGAGCAGGGTAACCCAGGACCACGTGGTGTATCATGCGATTGTGATGATTTCAATGAGTTACAATCTCAGCTTGAACATTTGCATGAAGACCTATTGGGTGAGTATGTAACTTGATTTGAAATCAAAACATATAGGTGCATTTTGTAACTTGTTCACATTTGTGTGTGTGAGATTGTATTATTTTTGTAAAATAGCTTTGTTGATAATGAACTTCACAAGCAACCATGAAATGAATAACTGGGCAACGATGCCTAATTGAAAATACTGAAAAGCCGTAGTAATATGGATTTTTATAACATTATACAATTTCAGAAAAAAAAATAGAAGAAAATACAATGTCGTACATAATTCTCACATTGTTATACAGTTTTAACAAATTTTAATTTCTGAACCAAACGCAAAATAGTTAGTACCTGTCTCACTGATTGAGTAAATTGAACGACGCCTGGGCCAGATAAATGTCTCATTTAAATATATGAAACAAACACAGCGCGCGTCTGTGAGTACATCGTTGAAAGTTGGGCAGTCTCGTTGACGTAGTTATTTGAGCTTCGTATCTATATATTTGATCTTTGTTCTATTGTTTTTCCAAGAATACAAAAAATATTCTAAAACGGAGTTCTTCGAATGGAAAGAGGCTCAAAACGGACTTTGGTATCGATTATCGCAGGACCAGCTCCCCTTCGAGAGAGCAAGATCAACATGTCTAGCGGAAAACGCAAGACTGGCATCAACGGGGATTCGAAATCACACTATTAGAAAGTAATCGGTATTCTTGAAGTATGCGCACCAAGATGTCGCATAACCTGAACCCGAACCTGGTACACAACTTGAGTTCAGGTTGTGCGCCATCTTGGTGCGCTTACTTCAGGAGGTCCAAGTAATCACTATAGTTATGTCTCATGAAAATTCAAAATGTGTATATATTGATTTCTACTTTTCAAACATTGTGAAATATAGCACTGTTAGTAAACTATATCCTCATGCGAAACCTATTCGGCAACTCCTTTAACGTTTCCAACATTCCATATACTTTGTATGGACAAAATACTGGCATAATTTCCATTTTAAGGCTGTATTTACTAAAAGATTTATGTCTCGGCAACAGAGATTTTCGATACAAATTAAGATATTTTATATGTGTATTTTATATAGCAGTATGCTTGACTTTATTATGTGAGGAGATGACAAAATAAAAATTCGGTTGAAATTGCCCACATTTACCTTAATAAACATTGTCATCTCCAGCGAATTATTCTTTGAAGTAAAGTAGAAAGTAATTTAATCGTTTTGCCTAACGATAGCAAATCATCGAAGCTTTGAACTAATACGTCCTTTTTATTTATTTACAGGGAGATTCTTGTAGGAATACCCCCACTTGCCTTATATGTGGGTTTTGATGACATCAAAGAAGAGGGGGAATGGGTTTGGTCAGATGGAGTGCATGAAGCCAAAAGACGAAAAGATACCTTGTGGCGTTACAATGAACCTAACAATATAGGAGGAAATGAGGATTGTGCACAGATGTATATTGTTCGACAGTCTACCGGAGATGTCGTATTGAACGACGTACCGTGTTGGGTTCCAACTCGCTATGTTTGTGAATATGAGCCGTAGCCGATTTTTGGTAAAATGAGATAAGACTCCGTTTTTCAGGAAATTACTCCTTTATGGCATAAAAATTGTTCAATTTACAATCGACATATTCATTGATTGGAAATAAACATAGAATATTTCTTTTAGAGAACTTTTCAACTAGAACTTCTTTTAGGGTAATAACAATTATTTCAACAATAAATACATAATAAAAATTGATTACACTGAACAGCGAACAACTTTAAAGCGGATTGCTTTTCGCCTGATTTGAAGTAATAATTGAAGTTAAAATTTAAGAAAAAGAAAAATTTAATTAAAAATTAATTTGTGAGACATTGCACGAGTTCATATTTTTAAACGTATTATATAACCTCTCGAAGTTAGGACGTTATCAATATAACTTCAAGCTTGCTTGGCGCTGCTCTTTTGAGTCCAACGATCGTTATGAACGTTAAAATTCTTAAACAGACAGAGATTCATACCGTTTCAAAGTTGCAAAATGTAATTAAGATTGAAATTCGAAAAATTCGATGTGTTTGAATATACTTAAATCTGCAAGCTAATTTGTGACGAATTTTTGTGCCCTTTTATCTTTGTTGAAATAGGATGTTACTTAACAATCCTTCAATTCGGAATCACTGACATTTTGCTCTGTACGTTTTCAAATGAATATAACATTTGTAAATTCTATGCTCGTTGTTATGTGATTTTTTGAATGTTCCACAATTTTTACTGAGGGTTTTATTTTTTCTCATCTTTTAAAAGTCTTCAGGCTCTCATTCGGATACTATACTTTTGCATTGAAGCCGCGATCTGATAGACAATTTCCTTGCTCTACTTTTAATCTGTGTCATATTATTACCAGGCGTTTGAGACAACATTCAAACATTTATTTCAAATTGAGAAAAAGAAATAATAATCACGTGTATGTATTGTTGATAATTGTGACCAAACAATGCAAGTCACATGATGTCATGAACACATACAATTGCGAAAAGTTTATCTGAAACAGAGACCAATCCAATTACCCAATATGAATGAAAAAAAAAACATCAAGATTCCCAACCAGCCAGAATGTTAATAGTTTTGATATACGACGACAATATATAAAAACAACATTAAAATTGAAAACAAAACATAAGAGTATCAAAAGATTTTTTTAGTGAAATCTTTCACTTTACTTCCAAGCAAGAACTGTAGAAACCCGACTAAAATTTCACCAACATTGCAATTGGAGCGTAATTCAATTACGGTATTATAACTTTTGGTGACTTTAGAAGTAGGATTAAAACAAAATTCTAAACGCCATGAGTGATTATAAATATTTGAGGGGTAATTGAAAATTGAATCCACAAGATTTTATGAAGTTCAGTGCGGGAACCTCTTCCAGAAAAAATTTCAGTAAATGGCGCGATTTTTACATGTTTTCAAGATAAACAAAAAACTACTCATTTATTTTAATATTGCGTTGCCAAATATAAATGTATTTCCAAACGAGTTGGACTTGGTTATTTTGAATAAATACGTTACGGGATATCACGAGTGGAAAATATTATATTGATAATACAAATCACATATGAAAATGACAATAAATGAAAAGACATCACGTTGTATTGAACGGTCACTCATAAAGGACAACACACACATACATTGACTATCTCTATACTTTTTTCTTACGTTACTAATTTTCTAAAAAGGATTCTTCATTCAAAGTGATTATTCAGCTAGAAACTACGAATGAGAAAAGTATGTGACGCGATTTATATAAACAAAAACTGTGATTCGCATTGAAATTTTTTTTTAATTCCATGTATAAAAGTAGACGATTGATATTGAATATACCAGCCTTATTTCATAATTACAAAAAGCATTCCAGTAATTACATTGAAATATTTCAATTGATTATATTGTGTTAACAACAAGTATTACTTGTATTAGTCGTTATAGATAACATTTTAGAAAATCCTTATTTTGATTTGTTTCAACTTCTTGGAAAAACTTTTTTACTAAATTTCAACACCTCAGCAAATGACACACACGGCTGAGTGCCGTTCCATGTTTGCAGATTTGGTTTTTCTTTGTCTCATTGGTGAATCTTCTTGTCTAACATCTTCCGATAATGAGATAGATTTTTTTCGTCGAATGACGGTTATTGCCTCTGGTGCAACATTTTTACGGCGTGGTCGAGAGGTGCTTTTTCCAGCTGTTCTTCTGTTAAATGATGCTTGTTCTAAGTGATAATTAGCAGAAGGATCAGACCTTATGCAAGGAGATTGTCTGACTGCGTGCTCATTTTTGAGGTGTTCATCACTGACACGATATTCCGCCTTAGAAGGGCTTATGTACGCCTTTCTTCCATCACGTTTTTGGTTGTTTTGATATTTTGTTGCAAGTATGTTGAGGGCGCCAATCGATCGGGGAGGATCAGGAAGTTCATCAGATCCGGAATCATTCTTGATCGTAGATTTTTCGACCTTTCCTCCAATTTTTCTAACACCATTCATTTTGTTTGTTTTGTCTGGTCCAGTTTTAGAAGGCGGAGCAGGTTGAATTGTAACAGACTTGCAAATTTCTTCTTCGTTCATCAGTTGGAGCGTAGTCGCAGGAGCTCGAGGTCTAGGAGATTTGATGTTGTCACTTACCTTAGGTTTTCCGTAAATCTCTCCTAACCTGATTGCAATTGGGCTTCTTGTTAATTCGGGTGAACTTTCTGTTTTAGACTTAGACGACATTGTTGCAAGAATGTCGATTGCTGTGTTGTCGGGCATACACTGATTGCCTTGAATGTTTCTTCGCGAAGCGCTATTTATATTTTCAACCACATCCAACCCGCCACGATTAGACTTATCGCCCGTACTGTCGGGAAAAAAGTTGTTCGGTACCTGAAATACAATGTATTCAGACCTAAACATAGTATAATATCGCTCGACGTATTGATAGCAAGTTGTTCTACTTATGCTGGTCAGTCTACCGGGAAAGATTTTTTCCATTTATCGCAGTATTAGAACTATGAAATAGCCTCATTCAGAAAAATGGTGATGCCTGATTGCCTGGCAAAGTAGAAATGGATTTCATGAACACGTAAAAATAGGATGTTATATAAAAATACACTTAGATGTACAAACAAACCGACAACGCCAACAGATCAGCTCACAACTTAATTCAATGGACGAAAAATAAAACTTACCTGTGTCGCACTGGTATGGTTCAATTTTTCATCAGTGTGCATAAAATTTGTTTGTCGTCCTTTCGTCTCCGCGGGAAGAGCATCTAGATTCATTTGGGATTGTTGAATCGTAGAAGCTATCACATTTAAATTATCTTTCAGGCCACGGTTTCCCTCTGTGATTTGAAGAAATGTCTTTCCCCCGTGCTGAGGTCCTATCAGTTCTGATGTGAAATATAATATATTTACTATTAGTAGAGATTTTCTTTTATGACAAGTCACGAATCCAATAAAAATTTTACATTGAAAAATTTGTGCCCTGAACACCACGTCTCGTTTACATGATTGTAAACGAATTCTATATAAATGTATATTCCGGGAAAGGATTTCCTTACTCATGCACCAGAATTTAGCCCAAGTTTGTTCGAATACTGTGTCATACCTGGTGGGTTAATGTCGTTTTTGCAGTGGTAATCGTATTGCAGTTTTTCTTCTTCAAACGGAATCATACCCGTGGCTTCTCCCTCTGCTTCACGTATTGCTGCAATGTGTGAATTTGACAATTTGTCAAGTTTTGATAATTGGGAGTGATGCCACGTTCACCCATGTCTAATATGCTACTAAAATCAAACTTTGAATAGTCGTTCTATAAGCTTTCTATAGACAATTCTATGGATGCGGGACGTAAACGTTTATCAAATGGTTTGCAATTGCACTAAAAAAGATAAACAATTCGGTAGTAGAATTAGTGGCAGAGGGTTAATTTGATAAAGACTAGAAACTACTCTTCACTGCGTACATCGATCGTATTTGAGGGTGATGGCGCATTGGGCTATCGCGTCGTTAAGCGTGTAATATAACGCCATGTTATGACAATTTAAATTAGGTCTTACAATACAGTTTATGTTAAATAACGGAAAGAAAATAATATTTTTACGGATATTTACGCTAATTTATTGGGTAAATTCTGACTGGTGTAAATCGAGTAAAACACTAAATGTTTATGATGTTGCCATAGATGATTTGATATCAAATGCGAGTTTATTATAAAAAGTACTTTTCACCATTAGCATAGGATATTTACAGTCGAAAATTACTTGTTCAAAACTACAATTAAATCCTTCCCAATACATTTCTCAATATCAATCGCTACATCAGGGAATGAAATCATTTTGTGATTATTTAAGCCATAGTTATTATATACCTAATTTCACATTTTGGCATTATGAGTATTGGGTGCAAATTAGACTTATTTCAGACAGCATAGTTAAAAAAAAAAATTCAACTACTTACAAAGTAACATTCGACTCTCTCCACTGGTTTTGGATTGATCATAATTATATTGTCCGACAGAATGTCCCTCTTGGTAAGCGGCTATCTCTTTTGTTTGGATATCCACAATTTCTTCAAGAGCTTGTCTAAAACTCTAAAAAATATTTGAAGATATGTTCAGAAGTAAATGCTTATTTTTTTAGGAAGAGTTTGTACCGAGATCCCACGTTCACCACCACAATGTGACACATGTATCAATCATTTGAAACGGTTGTAGAAGCTGGTGGTAAAGGTTGAGAAGCAATAAAAAAACTGCTGAAAAGTTGACAGAAATTCTATTGTTTATATTTAAACTAAAGTATTAGAAACTACGTACCATTGATTTTTCTGATTTGTAGTCATCAGGCTTCCCAGATCCTTGCTCCGATGATACCATCATCTGTGTATGCAAAGGACGATCGCAATTTGGCTGTTTCGTATGTTTTACGGCACTACTCTCCGACTTTTTGGAATCCACGTTAGAAATGTCTAAAACTGGATGCAGAATCTTTAATGCTTTCTTTTGATCCATTGGACTAACTCCGGTAGTTTGAGACACCAAATCTTCCATAAAACTGAAATATTTGTAAAAGTTTTTATACTCAACGTTAATTTTTGTGTGAATTCTAATCTGAGAGAAAATTTATGATAATTCTTTCGATGCAACCATACCAGTATAAGACTACCGAAAATTTGATGGCGATAATCCATATCAAATGATTTTAATAATAACCTTTGTCCGGTTGAATTGTTAGTTTTGATTGTTTTTCCTTTGAGCCAATAAGTCCTCATTTGACCTTTCCCCTGAAAAAGTAGAATTCCACGTCGTAAGATAATTATGTTGATTGATACTGTGGTTTATTATAAGTTGCTGAACAAAGTATATACTGGCCACTATTTGTTACTAAACCTTTAAAAGATAATATCAATAACATATCATTATTCCATTTTTGCCTCAAACATCCAGGTTCCCTAATATTAAGATAGGGTACATTTGCAAATGTAGGACGCTAGAGCAGTGGTTCCCAACTTTTTTTTCAAACGACCCAAATTTAAAAAAAAAAATAAATAAAACAATCAATTTTATATAACAATTATTTCCCTGTAAATTACTTCAAAGTGAGAAAACTGCGCGTGTTCGCCATCATCGAAAATCGAAATCGACGCCTGGCTTCACTTAAGCAAAATAATGCTTTTTTTACGCAGTGATACTCCCTACAGATGCAATTCTTACTGAGCAGCACTTCATTACCAAATATTAAATAAACAATAAAATTTACTATGGAATAAGATTAGTAACTTCTAGATTTTCAATGAAAAAACAAGCGACACAAGAAAATTTTCAGGCGACCCTGTTTTGGGTCGCGCAACATAGGTTGAGAAACACTCACTGTTAGAGAATACACTGTTAGAAAATATTTGAAAAAAAAAATTTAATCTCAAGACCATAGCTATCATTTCTCTAACTAAATCATATCTTTGTATTACCTTGATATAGATCATCCCACGATCCTCGATTTTATAAGCACCTGTGACAACCAGTCTATCTCGTACAGTTTTGCTGATATGTATCTCGCATCCTTCCCCGCAGCTTTCCATTCTTGATGCAGTATTCACTGTGTCTCCAAACAGACAGTATCGAATCATTTTCTGCCCAACAACGCCGGCAACCACACCTCCGGAATGAATACCTTTGATATGAATGAGATATTTTACATCATTGCAAACTGGATACTCGCGGCACAATTTAAAACTACATAAGATGTATTCAATTGTATTCAAGTAAAACTAGCTACAAGTCTTGTAATACTTTATTTATAATACAAGGTCGGTCCAAATGAAATCCTACATAGAATAGAAGTTACTCGATTACAAATAATTGAAAGCTCTTAGCGGTCTATAAAGACTGGCGTGGCATTAATATAAGTATATATACAAATTCCAGAAAAAACCTGACTATTTTACAAAGATAACTTGCCAATTCTAATCCTTATTGGAGATCCCGTCCACGGATCTTTCAAATGTCGAATTCCAGCTTGCATCTCGAGTGCCATATCACAAATATGCTGAGCGTGCATCTTGGTTCGCACAGGTGCTCCCGAAACAGCCATGTAACCGTCGCCAATAGTTTCAACTTTGAAAACTTCATACCTATGTTTGATTTGTATAATTAAGTTTGAAAGCATTTTTCTGATCAACAACAGAGAAGAAGGTCAAAATATAACAAATACATATAAAACCACACATCGAACCATATTGCGGAATGCTGGGCTTTGAATATGCCTCAATTGTAACTGTAATAGCCATCAGTCGCTATTTGAATGACCTCACGGACAATGCTATTGGGCTGCCATTTTGACAGCGTATAATAACGCCAATAAAGAAAGTGAATAACAAAACATCTATTTAAGCTCTTCAGTCGTCTTTTCTCCCCAGCTATTCGTAGCTAAAATATTCAGCGAAGAGATTAATCCCGCCAAAGCCGAATTTTATCCATTTAACAAACGTTGATCAATTAAAAATATAATCGTTTGTTCGTGACCCGTTGAGCATTTTAATTTAGTTGAATAAAGCTAAAATATTTTAAAGTTTTTCAAAATCACAAACCATACCTTTCACTGAGTGTATCGAAAACAGTGTAAATCTGGTTCAATATTGCAACAACTTCCATAGGTGTTATTCGACTGCAGATGTTAGTAAATCCAACTACATCACTAAACAACACAGTCACGTCTGGAAACGTCTGTATACATATGCAAATTAGGAGGTTAACTTCCATTATGAAAAGAAAAGCATATTGTCATAATGTGGACTTGAAAATCATTTAGAGATGACGGTCTTGGGTCGTCGATTTATTGACCTGTCTGATGCTTGGGCCACAATCTAAGTTAACGTGAGAAAACTTACTTATACATTTTGAAATATGAAGTTTATCTCCAAGACAGTAAAATCATGTTTGCAACTTATAATAAAAATATGTGTGATAAATATTGTATTGAAAAAATTAAAGAAAGCAAATCTGAACTCACTTCGGCGATATTTATAGGACTCTCTCCTTTCTTCAGCCTCTCTGCAATTTCTCTTGGAATCATAGAGAAGAGAAGAGCGTCTGTTTTCTTATTTTCCGTGTCCAACTTTCCAAGTGTTTCTTCCAACTTTGAATTTTTAGCTTGTTCCTAGAATTTAGTATTATTTATCCAACTTGAACGAAATCAATTCGATATAGCATTCCTAGATTCAAGGGTTCTTAGATAATATTTTCAGAGAAGATGATGGACTGTAATGACGGGGTTATAATGATGTGCGGACAATTGCTTGCCACATTGATAAATAATTTTGACACCTCAGATTAGATAGCCTGAAGACATTGTTACTACAGTTGTAATAAGATGTATGCCATTCCAAATTAGACTGATCCATTGCTACAACCTGCTGCTTGTACTGCCCGTTGTTTGGAATTAAAGAAGGAACAGTCAAACGATGGGAACACTTAAGGGCGCTCCAGAAGTGTGTGTACCAATATGGAGATAACTAATTTTGTTAGCCTACTTTACATCTAGTTGTGTAAATGGACGGAAGCCTATGGAGAGGGTATATATGCACTTGGATAACATAGGCAGTTCCCGAACTCGTAATAGAACTAAAATAAGAGAAATCGGAATAAAATTATGGCCTAATCCTAACCTGGTACACACTCTACCGGAGTACCCATTCAAGAGCCTGTACTCAAGTTCGTTGTAAGATACCCAAAAAGACTTACCATATCCAGCGCTATTTTAAGCTCTGCGCTTTGTTGAGGTCCAGCAACTAACAGCACTTGAACAGAGTCTTGGAAACTCAAATCACTTATGTAGAGTCCAATGTCGTTCATCGTGTCCAAACTCTCAAATCTACGTATTGGTTATTAGAAATATATATATTGTAAACTGTATATTTTGAAATTCATTAAAAATTAAATCTGCATATTTGAGTGGGATCCGCATTTCTCATATGCTAGGCATATATATAACTTCCTTTTGAATAACTTTAGTGATTACTATAGTGATTAGTTTTCTATCTCTTTCAATATTTGATCTATATTTTCAAAACAAGAACGTACATACGTTCATCCATTAATATGGACAGAAATCGACAAGAACTTATTTTTTGTGTCACTGCATGGTGTACTTACACAGGAGTACACATAAAAATAACAGAATTCCAGCTTTTCAAATAAGCGGTGGTGCCACGTAGTTTCAATGGTGGTGAATCGGTTCTGTTCGGTGGGGGTGGTGCATTTTCGGGGTCAAGTATTTCTGTTTAAAGGAAAAGAGAGAAAAAATTGAATAGCGTAAAATTATAAATACATTCTCACAAACGAAAATGGATAATACATATTTATATATATAGTAGAATTCAATTTCGTAGAGATTGGATATATATTTATTTATATATATATATTTTTTTAATTCATATCAAGTCGTTTTTTCAGCATACGTTTATTGTTGCAAGGATCTGGTGCACGATTTATTTTCCGCGCGCTGAAAAATCAATTTGGTGACGTTTCGAATTAATCTGGTGTTTTTCGCAGCGAGAGTGAATAACCAAACACCTACAAGCAAAACTTGAAACATTGTATTTGCTACAATAACAACAAATTCAACTTGCCCTGTGAGCGTAAGTATTCTTCATATTCAGTCCACAGTGCCACCGTTGATGTCATCTCAACCAGGACGTTCAACGGTCGGTTCCTCATCTAAATGATAGACTTGTTTAACACACAGAAAAAACTAAACAACGTTAGTAAATCAAATGAACGAGTCGTGGTATACCTTGATTCATTCTATAGCAGTTCGATTCATCCACTATCTCGAAATTCAAATTTTTTCGATATTTTTTCAAAGTCTCACTTTGTACCGGTACTACTTTGTATTTCTCAGGTACTTTTTGAATTATTATAAACGTATTCGAACAATTAATACAAAACTTACAAAATCCCAGGTAAATGAGATGCCAAACGGTTTGGTCAAAACAAAGAAATCCGTGATCTTTTTTCCCACTAAAGTTGGAAAAGATTTCACAACTCCAGCTCCACAACTAAGTACTTCCATACTCTGTATAAAATACATTGGAGAGAAAACTTTATGACAGCAATAATGTTCTTATTTTAAGCAAATAACAAAAACTTATGTGCTGTTTTATTTAACGATGATCGTAAGTAAGAAACATCATCAAAACGGTTGAATTAAGATGTAAGATTGAGAATTTTTACCTCACTAAAAATAATGGAGAACGGAAACGAATTGAATAAAACATCACTATGTACAGTCAGCGGTGTTTCCTCTCGGAGTTTCCGAAGAACAGGCATCCATGGTCCCTGTACACCCAAACTGTTGTTTGTATACGTAACTCTGAAAAATGCAACTTGAGATTTATATATTGTGTTTTACAGAGATTAGTTCTTAATAACGTCAAGATTCGGAACCAACTGCACCAACCGTTAGTTGTAGCTAATATTAAAACCACCCTGTAGAGTTTGCTGAGTTTCGAGAACACGTGAATTTTTCTCCAACTCGTATTAAAATGTATCATATATATATGCGTTGGGTTTTGATAGTCATATATATATATTAAAGCTCATTTGAAAAAGAAAATTGTCAGAAATTCCGCCGCAATTCTTATGTTATGAAATAGTTCAAACTCACATATTTATTTTAAGATCATTTAAAATTATATTAAAGTGGAGTTATAACAGTAATCTCAATCCTGTACAATAATCATTTACGCCTAACTTTGATTGTACTATGGCCTACTCTTGTAAAATTACCTGTAGATTGCATGCATCCCACCATCCAATAGCTCTTCTTTTGTCACCGCTACAGAGAAATCAGCCATTTTGTAATAAATTCTAGCAGCAGTCGTTATCATTCCACGAACGTAATGAACGAATGGAAGATATTTTCTTGGAGTATGATAATGGAAAGTTAGGCCTTTATCATCTTCTTTTTCAACATAGAAACTGAAAAATAAAAGTTGATTTTCCGCGCTAAAAGAGAAATATATTGTATTGATTTCGTAACAATTTCTACAATTTGTAAATCATTTTCTTTTATGGTCAAACAAACTTCAACCCCAATGTAAAATAACTATGACGCCATATTTTCATTTTCAGCATTTCCACTTTATTTTATTTAGTAGAATTTTAGTAGAACAGCACTTTGTCCTTCAATCGAATAAACTGTTGAACACAAAATGGACCTATGCACAGTTTTGCTAAATTGTTGCTGTTCGAAAAAGTAGCTTTTCTTAAGTATAAACGCCGAATTAATATTTGTGCATTGCTTCTTTGTTATGGGAATCATGTTAGAAGTATTCTGACCGTTCATCAATGTTGATTTAGTTACCTTGGCGGACGTATTTCCTTGTACAGATTGCTTATGTAATCATGTAGGTTGTCAAGTCCGTTGATAAAATCACACAACTTCCTTCCAAGCACTTTCGTAACTTGATCGTATCCATATCCAGCGACAAAAGTCATGAAATGAGCGCCAAACTGTAATATTGGCACGAAAGTTCATTGTACATGGCATATATGAGATATATAGGCGTTTTTGAAATGATTTTTTAAAATTGTACATGGAATTCGTAGTTTAAAAACTTGCAATTGTCAAACTAAAGAGTGCTTGCAAATGAACACCAACTCGTTATTATCTAGGCCGGTGTTTTTTCGACCTTTTACCCTGTAATATACATTTTCCGATTTCTTGTTTTATTTTATCGCTAGTTTGTGCTACATTGCTTCAAGATTTTTTGCATAACTTAACGTTAGCTTTTATGCTTATCGGAAATAGTATATGTTCACTTGGTTAGACAGTATACCCAGTTTACTAAATTTATATAAACGCAATATTAACATAGGAATAAATCGTCAAAAACAATCGAACATTGACAATCCTAATGAATCTCGATCGTAAATGCTTACTAAGCACTTCTTTACCGCTAAATACCAGTACATGGCGTTGGTTTTGCATATAATTAGATAATTGTGAAGTCAAACTATCAGTTGTTTTATATCGAGACCCTATTACCTTGAACATGATTTCGTCTTCGCTCATGAACAGAATCTTCGACAGAGTTTGGGCTACTCTTTCCATATGAACATCGCTGTATACCTGAAAAACCATATCGATACTAAACAATCAAAAGAACTTTCAAGTAGGATGAAATTGATAGTCTTTATTTCATTTTTTTATTGAGATTCAAATTATCGATATACTTGATCTTATCTCATTGCTTCAAACGGACTCACTTTAACAGTCAACAACATTTTTCAAGTCTTACCTTATGAATAGAGAATCCACCCCATCCAATTCCTGCTTGCTCCACGAGAGATGCCCAAACGGTCTCACCCCATTTCTCTTTTACGCAGTCCGCTACGCTTTCAAGCAACAGACCGTACATTTTGATCACAATTCGCAGTATTTGTATTTAAAAATATCTTTAGCAAAAAGTACATTCGGTTAGCAAACTGTTCAAAGCCGTGCTCGCGAAAATTACGGCACTCTGGCCATTTTTTTTTTTAAATTCAAGTAAGTTATCAGAATCTTGAGTGTCGTTGCCTCCTGACCAAATTTAGTTTATCTCGACTTGCCTTTCCCAGTACAACTGCGTATAGCCATTTTTGTTCTCAAAAGGATGTTACAATTGTAGTTTAGTCTTCCCCCGCTTAATATGCCAACAAAAATAACTTGTATATTAATAATAACGAGTATATCTGTATCTTGAAGATCCGGTCTTTTATTGTGGCATAGTTCAAAAATTGTATATTTTCAGCGGAGCTTCCTTTAAGTTACTTTTTCATCATCAACACCGCATTTAAAACTTCGAGTTTTACTTATTTTAGTAATTTCTACTTTTTTTTTTATCATAGTATATGGCTACCATATGTAACCATAATACAGTCTATATGAGTAAAACGTTCCGCGCTGCGAATGATATGCCTGTTTGCCGAGCAAATGATTTCAATTGACACCGCTTCACTATTCCTGAATTGTAATGTCTGCTTATTAATCAAAGCTAAAAACGAAAGAAAATTAATATCAGTTGCTAACAACATTTGAATTCACTCCATTGCACTTATGTATGCTACAGTCATGATGCCACATACCATAGTTCAAGTATTCAATATAATATATATATCTAATACCTAAGAAATAATGTTCACAAAATTGGAATAAGTCTCTTTCTACTAATCAGTTCCTGAGCTTCCCAAATAAAATAATTTCCCCGAGTTTGCCGCATCGGTTTATATCCCGCTGACGTCGCCGCGATCGATTCACAGCAGATTCACGATGGAAATCTGAAAATGACATCAGTGTCTATGTTGATGTCACCTGTCATTTACAGAAATTTCACACTGTCCATACAGCGCTGATAGATATTGTAGTTAATACAAGCAAATATGAATATATTATGGAAGAATATTAGCAAAACGTAGAATAAATAATAAACAAAACTAATATTAATGATAGATAGAAGCGACAAGACGTTTTAGCATAAATCAGTGACCCGTTTGCTCCTGCGGTATATTCTCAATTGAACAGGACCCATATTTGTCTGATCGGGTCGATTTCAATGGGAATTCAAAGCCAGATCCACAAAATAATGGTCAAGAATATATATGGAAAATCGATAAATTCAAGTGTGCGGTTCAAATCCTGTTAATCAAATACCCGTAATGTAACATTTATTCAAGAAAAAGAACTTATAATGTCCACATTTTCAATCAAATTTTTGAAATAAATAAAAGTAATGGCCCTCTAGCCTTCATTTTATGGTCGACTCATGGCGGGACGCTATGTCAAAGTTAGGTAGCAGGTTAAGCCATGTCATACACAACTTCAAGTTCTACAATTGCAACTGCAAAGGGAAAGAAAGGCGACCTAAATATATTGACGAAAATCACTCAAATTCAATGTCCGTATTGCAACGATTCACACTTTCTGTATCACTGCACGAAGTTCAAAGATAAAGACACCAAACAGTGTAAAGATTTTGTTCGAGAATGCAAGGCTTGATTCAACTGTTTGGGTGCAGGGCACAACGTAAAAGATTAACAGGGCTACATACACAGGTCAAGTCACTAGCTACTGTGGAAAGAAAAACCACACACTTCTTTATGATGACACCCTGTCCTCTCAGAAAACTGTTAAATATAATGCGAAACGCAGGGGCTTGAATGGGCCTGGCGTGAGTAATGGGCATGCAAGGTTTATTTTACCCAATATAGGAAATTATCTTGTTCGACTGATAGTCGTACCAGTCAAAGTTACTACTAATGATTCTGATTGTTTTTCATTTACATTATGCTTTCTTTGATGATGGCTCATCACGTTTGTTTTGCAACAAGAAGAGCTTAGGTCCTGACAAACATGCTCAAATTTTGAATTGAGTCGATGTTATTTTTTTGAAAGCAGGTTACAGTTCTGCATATTCTACTGATAAAATTTATCCAAATTGCTCATCTGTCATATCTGTGGTCAGGATTTTGTAGATTTACATGCTGATCCATGCACTACAAAGTTTTCTATCGGTGGTAAGAAAGCATTGAGCATTATGGCTGATACATTGAAAATGGTAAATGGCAGTTATCAAATTGCCTTGCCTTGGATATATCATAATGTAAACAATCGTGCTTTAGCCGAAAAGATAATTATGTATCCCATGCGAGAATTCCTGAAAGGCTCAGATTTTTTCCAAAAATACAAAGATAAAATAAACGAATACATCCACGATGGTTAATTCATTACTCAGATTCAGATAATTTATTTTTATCATGCAAGAATCAATGTAGACACAACACAAAAGTGTATAACGGAATTATATGAAAATTGAAATACATGAATTTTCACACAGTAACAGAACATCATAATATTTAACACATTACTATACTGGTCAAAAATTTAGGGTGATATTTGATTGTTCAACTGAGTTTTAATGCGATACTAATACATTGGTTTGCGTTCTCTTGCGTTTTCGAAAGAAATCCTTTGCTGTAATTTGTGATATTCGTTAAATGTTTTATAGATTGCGATATCTATAGTGGCTCAATGATGATTTATCTGTCTTTATTTATTTATATCTTTATTTATCTGACCCTGTTGATCTAAAAATGTTGAGTCATACATTTGGTAGTAAGAGCTCCCCATCTGTTGCTACATTTGCACTACAATAGGTGATGATTTATTGAATGCTGACCCAGTCACTATTGAAACTGTTAATGGTAATTTTATCGTGGATGATTGTTTGAAAAGTTTGCCCACTGCTGACAAAAATCGTCAGTTTGATATCTCAACTACATAAGCTATTAACATGTTGTTTTCATCCTGCCAAGTTCATAAGCAATGACCAAGCTGTGTTGGATTCAAACCAGATGTATGGTAGATTTTGATATTCATTCATTTATTCCACAAATAAGACAATTCTTGGTGTGCATTGGCGCATCGATGCTGACAAGTTTGTAACACGTATAAATGTCGAGTCTCGTCCTCTAACACGAAGGAGTATTTTATCAATGGTAAGTCAAGTATTTGACCCATTGGTATTTGTCTAGTCATTTATCCTGCCTGTAAAACTTATTCTTCGCGATTTGTGCGATGAAGGGTATTCCTGGGACGATACCAATCCTGGCCCACTTAGAGAAAGTTGACAAAATTGAATCGCGTTGTTATCAAACTCAAATAATTTTCCATTCCTTGCTGTTTTGATGTACAGTTGCATTTGTTCTGTGACGCTGGCAGAGTTGGCTATGGCCTTTGCATTTTTGTGGTGTAGTGCCAGTGAACTTGCCACAAACGTTTTCGAAATCTTTTAATCATGTCCAACCCAAATGTCTTCTGGGGCCGCAAAATATTTTCAGTTTTGCCGCGGGTGTATTCTTTTGTTCGCATTGAAACTTTTAAGCTTGCCTTCACAACAAAATAGGGGTTAAAGTCGACCAATCGTTATTCTAATTTTATATAGTCCCAGTGTAAATGTCGGGAGAAATAATAATCATCGCATTTACGATGTGAATCATCACCAAATTTGAACGAAATATGAAAGACCATTGGAACCGATATTTCACCCCAAATACGAACGGTAGGATAGCATTTTCACCGTGCATATGCCATGTCCACGATAGTCGGACATAGTTTTAGCATTCGAAGCGACAAGTACAATAAAAGCATATTGCTTGGTACGAATAGAGCAACGTTTCTCAATCAGGAAGAAATTTAAATTTTTTTTTTGGGGGGGGGAGTGAAATTTACTTTATTTTTGCCAATAGTATTTCTAATATTTTTTACATATTCAGAAGTAAAGTATTGTAATTGATATATACGGCTACATTATCAACTACTCAAAATACAAGTTGCATGTATCGTAAGAAAATGTTTCGTAAAAAACAAATGCAAAGAGTTTTATGCATGACGGGGGAAGAGCTAGCTTTTGAAATATGCCAAGGGAGAAATGTGTCATAAAGTTGGGATAGAGTATCGCAAATGAAATACAAGACTGCCTAAGCTATTTTTTTAATCAAACTGATTTTATGCCTGATGTTACCGTTAGAACATTTCGAACAGGAACATTCAGACTAAAACAGGGTGTATTCTACATTTAGTTATTTTTTATCGAAGCACAGGCCTATTAATTACCATAGCAAACACAAAAAGTTTCAGAATTCAGCACAACATAGCTGTTTTTCTAATCACGTTGACCTGGAGTGCTTATAGGATATTTCCATTTGGTTGAGATGATGCCCAACACAACATCTTTGTTGTCAAATGTCCATTTATTGTAAAGTTGCAAAATTGAGTTGATCCAGTAACAGATAATTAACTACATTTGAATACTTAAGGAGGTCCAAATTACAACTACGTCAAAACAATAACACAAACGACTCTTGGTGGGTGGAATACGGTACGTCATGAAGCATCTTTTTCCTATTTTTCGAATCTCGAACACTTGTAATTGTATGCGACTCTTTATATTTATTGTCTTATCAACACACGAGTTACAGAAAACATAGAACCCATTACTCAGACAGTTTGATGAGCGTTCACACACAATAAAAAACATGTTCTATCAATAGCCTATTAAGAAGGCGAGTCTGAACTGTATTGAAAAAAAAAATTTGGCTCCAATAAAAGAATTAACCTGGACCTTCGGTGGAAGGAAAGGGCAAACGGCGCTATTTGAAATTTTCGTTTGAACCGATTAATATAATTTACTACCAAGTTTTTAACGCCCAGCCCTAAACGCACATTAAGCAATAGCCATATATGCACCATTTTCATATATATGACACTGATGAGAAGGTATTTGTCCCTATCTTCTGCACTACCAGAGGCACTTAATGAAACGGCTCCAATTTAACAAGATATCATTGGATAACGGGTTGTCAAAATATTATCCATATTGTAAAGTTTGTACGTGTATTGCATAATCGTATTGCTTAATAAATAAATTGCGAATACAAAATAGAAACTCAATAAATTCATAAAAAATACGGACTCTGTATCAATTAGAAATGCAGTGGCCAGAAGTCACAACCAGGAAAACACAGGACCAATAGCGCCACATAATCGAGATCATATTGACGAGTACCAAAAATCATATTTCAAAGAGTTTCACAAGTGAAGTGAATTTATTTTTTTTAGGAGGGGGGGATTACTTAGGTGTACTTTGTATTGTACTAATATTGTTCAGTTATACTGTCTGTGTCATTGTAATATACATGTATGGACAATTCATAAACTATTCAAGCTGTACGAAAAAAGCAAAGTGTGAATTTGTATCGCTAGCTAAAGATGAAGCCAAGAACATTTATGGGATTATAACTCGCCAAATTACACAGAAAGTTTCAATTCAACCATGAAAAGCAAAATTCCTGAAAAAAGGCGGCATCATTTATTATTTGTGAAATTCTCAGCCCAGTTCGCAGTAAATCGTTCACGAATAGAGCAAAATGGTGCTGGAAAAGGCGCATGAATTTACGCATATCAGCTATGTTATAATCTGAAACAACTACATCATGAATCATTTTCTGTTCGATCGAAATTATCAGATTCATTAAAAAAATTTTGTTCCACTTGTTGAAGCGCCGATGTCAATAACATTTTCACAGCCATTGTCTGATTCTTCGTACGTTTTGCCTCCAACTTGAGCAAAAAAATATAAGAATTGTATTATTTGATCGTTTCCATCAACCAATGATTCCCAATCGGAAGAAGCCTATGGACCAGAAGGCATCAAAATGACATTGAGAGGTCCAGTGATTTACATGCAGAAAATGAAGTTAAAATAGTAAAATGAATCTTATAGTCAAACTCGCCTATGATGAAAAACCAATGTCAATTGAAAGTAACCAGGTCACATGGTAGCACAAGATCTCACTCTTGTAAATGAATGGTTTCATTTATTGCAAATTTACTCTTTATTTAATTTAAAATCAAATTCAAATAAACTTTTGACACAGTTTGTTCCTGAAAACATCATGTATCCGAGAAGTTTTCCCCATATTTGATGAGGTTATACAAGCAGTTAAGAGTCCGTTAACATTACAATATTAAATGGTTTTATTTTGCGGGGTCCGCAACTTTCAGAAAAATCATAAGAATGGTTCATAGTGAGGTTGGTATGGCATGGGAGTCGCTTGTTTAGATAATTACGTACAAACTTTTGGCTTGAACAAAATCCATTATAATATCTATAAAATAAGCTAAGCAAACCACTTTTCACCACTGGATAATTGTACATGGGGATGTTCGGTGGCTTTGGTATTTCTGAACCTATCAGTTGCGATGAACTACACACTTAATGAGTTTATTTGACAAGAAAGCATTAGAACAATGCCAGACTCCCCTATTTGTGTGACCGTTCCTATTTTTTGTCTGTGCTAAAGCTTTGTGTCTAGAAACTTGAACATGCAAAAAATTGTGTAAAATTTGGGGGATTTAGGACAGACGATGTAAGATGATCTGGTTATCACTCAAACAAGCAACATCGATTAAATTGTTTTTTTTAGTAGCGATTTTACAGCATCTTGAAGTTGAATTTGCGAAAAAACGATGGTGCATTTACTATCAAGCAAGCTGATAAAATGAAAGCTACATCCAAACAAAATAGCACATGTGGATTTTTTAATCCAACTAAACATCATCTCATGTAATATAATTTCAAAACCCTCTTGATTTTGCTTAGGAAAACTTCTGATGGCCATGCAAGTAAGAATTCTTTTTGATTAACTCGCATGATTTGTCGATATAATCCTCTACTCACTATACAATACAACACCATAGTAGGATTTCGGCGACAGTTAACAGAGGATTTTCCGGAATTCCTCAAGAATCCAACTATTTTTCCAAATATTAGAAAAGCGCCCATAATGATATCTGCTAATCACGGTTCAAACTAGTGTAACATTTTTGCACTAGTTTGGTTTCAGACTGCTGGTCTATTCTAGATAAAATTATAAAAATAATGTCATATCATGGAGATAGGAAACATGTACCTTTATAGTTTCCTTTGCTGCCTTTTCCGTAATCTCTTGTGCATCTTTAACAGCCAATTTTAGTGTTTTTGCAAAATGTTCTCTTTCCCTCTTCAGAGTAGATTGAAGAATATCCTGATAAATTTTTTTCAAAACAATATTTACTTTTTCAAGCCAAATTAGTATGTATGCCAAATTTATGCAATATTTCAAGTGATTTTTTAACCACATATTTTATGGTAGTGACCTGAATTCTAATTTTATGCAACTAATAGTATCTTTGCAAGTTCGACATGGCTACCCTTTTTTCCATGAATGTAGCCTATAACATTTTTACGCCAACAGTTTCCATCAAGGACATTGTAAAAAACTGACTTACCAACACATTACCTACTCAGTTCACATCTCTGTAGCACCAATAACCTGATATGTATCAGTGGTTGACTATTAGATTACCATATAATACCATTAAGATTTTGAACTTAACATTTACATAAAAAAATAACCTCAAAATGAGCTTGTTGTGTTGATAAGGCTTCTTTCAATGTTGAAACATGAATTTCTTGTAGCTGTTTGGCTTCTTCCGTCATTCTTTCCTTTTATAAGATTTAAAAACTAATTCAACAAATAAAAGAATATCTGCAATAAAATATATAAGATATCTATCTTCCATACTGATCATTCAACAACATATTGTCAGAGTACATCAAATAGTATTACGTAAGTGTCATTTATTTGGTTAAAAAGTTTTTCAATATCAAATCCCATAGGGCCAATTCCAAAATTAAAGCGTGGCATAATGATCATGACCAGTATGCAGAACAGAAAAATTGTAAACAGCATGCAAAATGTTAAGTATTCATGAATCATACTGAACCATAGGACTGAATCTAATCTCATTACCTCAAATAAAAGACATCAATTAAACAATGGTGGACCACTCAGCAAATAGAACCAATATCCTGAGGGGTAAATGATTAAAATATCTTATATTACACGAACCTGCAACATTTGGATATTGTAAGAATTGTTCTCGCCTGCAAATATAATTGTTAAATAATACTTACTTTCAGCTTTGTACGCATTGTTTCCTGAAAAGCTTCCTTTTCTTTTTCCATAGTATTCTCCACATCAGATGCAATACTTTCTTTTTCCCTTTTTAAAATCTCTTTCAATTCATTTTCTTGTTCTATTTTGCTGTCTTCAATATGTTTTAATGATGCAACTTGCTATTAGTTAAAAACAAAAAATATGGTATAATTTAGTTGATTTAATTTATGTCATAATACTGGTAATTATTATTGGTGATAGAAAGAAGTGACATAATTATAAGTTCTCTAGGACAACGCAGAGAGGCCTATCCATTTCTCACTGTATAGTGAAGAAATTATGTTATTATTGATATATTATTAAAATACTATTTTGATGATATGGCGCTACATTTAAAATGAAAGAGTAAAAAGATAAAACATACATTCTGGGTAAAATTTGTAAATATAAAAAACATGAGAAAGATTGAAACAAGAATCACCTGTTGTTGAAGTAAATTTATGCATTTGTCCGTAACTGCACTTGCATTTGTTTCAACTTCAATGGACTTTTCTCTCTCAAACAATTTCCAAGTTTCAGAATATTGCTTCGTCAGCAATGTAACTGTCTAAAAACATGGAATTAGGGGGTCATTGTGACTGATCAGTGAACTAAGGATACATCAGCAAATGCATACCCATTCCATTGGGAATTATTCCAGTGAGGTATAAAGACATTAGGAGATATGAAGATGCTGACCCCTTTTCAGACACTAGCGTTTTGATTCAAGACAAATATTTGCCTTTGGAGCTTGTATCACTTTGCCCAAATCAAAATGTATCATAATATTAAAAATACTGATGAAATGCAAATTATGTTAACAATAATGAGTTGTATTGAGAAAGAAAATATTTTAAACAATTTGCAAATGACCAACTTTTCAGTTTTAAAGAAAGAACTATACTTGTATAGTGAGAAATTACTATTATATAGAAAGATTCGTGATGGTCCAAAAAGTTAAAAGTCAAGTGCTTTAGTCAGGGTATCTATCAGATACATTATGAAATAGTCACAATTCATCAGGTACACCACTATTAGAGACGACGCTGGATGTGCTATCGAAATGATACGAATATGAGTTTCACTGTAAATATGCTGCCAAGCATTACCTCCTCAGAAATATTTTGCAACTCTGATATTTCATCTTGATGCTGTTTCTTCATACTATCAATTTCTTTTTTATGTTTTTCTTTATTTTCTTCCAGTGCCTTAGAACTTTCTTCCTGCAATAGTCTCATTTCTTTTTGTAAACTTTCCAGAGACTGTGCAAAAAATACAAAAAATACTTTACCTTTACCTTTATTGCTACATAAACATTAATAGCAATACATAGGCATGTTTATTTGTAAATGGTTTAATGTTTTTGACTGAATTTAATATTTATCACAGTCATGTGAATAATACTTCTTCTAGTTGTGATATGCCTTGGCACAGCTTTTTGACTACAAACAATAAGTTATAAGTAGATTTTGATTGCAGATGCTCATCTCATAAATACAGGCAATATTTATCTCATACTTTTTTCAACTAAATAAACATTCTTATCCGATCAGTTTGATGGTGATGAATCATATTCACCTTTTGTGTTTGTTCTTTCATAATCAAAGCTTTATCCAACTCTGCTTGCAATTTATGTGAGGCACTTGAGTTATATTCTGCTGCCTTTTCTACTTTGGGTTCTGAATTATTGCAAAGCATTATTTTCTAATAAGTACGAACTTAAAATAAATGATATCAATGTTTTCACTTCTAGGTCAAGGGCCTTGTTTTGAAAAGAACTACTAATTTTGTTTCTGTTGAAATTGAATAAATAGCAATGTTAGTTTTCCTCTCTAGTCTCTAGAATACAAACTCGATACTTTTTTATAACAAATTTTGATAACTAATTTACCATCTGTGACTCCTTTTCCCAATTTCTGTGTATCCATGAATTCAGAAGATTTAGGCAGATTTTCATCTTTATTTGAAGATAATGGCAGGGTATCTCCAGATACAGAAAACTCCCCATCTAAATTTTTAGCGAATTCTGACGAGTCCTTTAAATGATCTTTCAACTGTTCCCCATGTGAAGTTGATAATATTGATTCTTCACTTGCTTGAAAATAAAGACAATTTTTACTTGAATGCCTTTCAGAAGATATATTATGCTGAATCAATGTGTCATATTTCTGGATTAACTAATTGCACATAAATAATGTGAAAAATATAAGATATGAAGTATATAGCCTACCTATGTAGTATTTTTCAGGTAAAATGACTAAAAAACTTTAAAAAGACAATCAGACAAATGACAACGTAGGAAAACAATTATGCATTTGCAGTGGTTGCTTTAGCACCAATTATATTTTTTTAAAAATAGGGTACGGTAATTAATAATTTGGTAGGAAAAAACAGATAAAAGTTATATTGAATAGGTCAAATGCTGAAGCCTCTCCTTGAATAAAAAATGTAGAAATAATTGACTTTTTAAAATGAACTCATTATTAACTTTTTAAATTCGGTTTTCTATCGTACCGTAATTGTTGCTATTGCAAATTTTGAAATAGTTGCATCTCGACCAGGAGTGCAGCCAGTGAAATTTTAAAATAGTTGCATCTCGACCAGGAGCGCAGCCAGTGAGTTGGGTGGGGTACAGGTGTCGTAACCTGTGTTTGAATTTTTTTTTAATACTTTCTGTTCTACGAACAATGCACCACACCTTTGAGTTAAAACTATTTTATTCAGTGTGTTACTTGTTCAACATAATATCACACTGCCAGACTTTAATCGTGCTGAGTATACATAATATAATGGTAATGCTAATGACACTTATTTCCGTAGAGATGTAATAGATATGGCATGACAAAGGGTTCAGATATTGAATTATAGGCAAAATATATTAATTAAAAAGCATGATTTATTATTAAATAGTTGACAATTGTGACAGTATTAAAAGAGTGCGATTACGTAATGTTATTTATTCTTCGATGACGAAAACCAGATTTGTGAAGATTTATGGTGAAGGTGGTTATGGTAAATTCCTTTGCATGAGAATAATCCAAACTTTTCATGTATCTCGGATATTGCACTAACTCTACTTTAACTCTACCAAACGATGAAAAAATGAAAGAAGATTTACAAGAGTTACGGTACTTATCAATTAAACCATTTTTTTGTATACCAGTATGGCAGAGTTCTCCGGTCCCGAGAGTGTAGCTATATGTAGTAATGTGAAACAAATACCTTATTTGCCCTAGAAATAAGGCGTATAGCAGATGCATAAGATCATGCTATGTTTGTTGCCATAATACTGGGCTATAAATCATTATATAACAAAATCATTCAGGATATACTAACTGGGGTTGGGAAAATGATTTTTTTAAGATATGTGTATGTCTTTATGTAAACATAGCTGTTTACCTGATCTTATTGAAGCACAACTCAAGTCAAAAGTAGGCATTTGGGAATGACTTATTAGAACAATCTCATCCTAATGCCATAATGTACCAGTACAGCAGTAAGTGTGACTGCTGTTTACTGGTTTATGACTTCTTTGTAACTAATCCAATAAAATTATTAAAAGATGATAGGATATCAAAGTATCTACTCACTGCTTTTGATACCGTCAGGTTCAGATTGAGGTTTTGAAGTATTGGACAAAATCCAATCTAAAATTTGTATTTGGGAAGTACCAGAACCAGACTTTGGAGATAAAACATTCAACTTTACAGAAGATTGGCTACTTGATCCATCGGAGACCAGATCTGCACCATCAGTTGGATTAAATCCTGCATCGTTATCTCCAACAGCAGCACTCTCAAATCCACCAAAATCTTCATCATCGCCCCAATCAGCCATCAAAACTACAACTATTTTTCCAGGAAATGTTTTTTTAAATTCAGTAATTGGTTCCACAAAAAGAAATATTCAATAATTAAATATATATCAGTATATTAATATTAAACAAAGATATGAAAAATATGTACATTGAAGTAAACGAATACCAGAATACCGGAATGTATAGAGTATTGACAATATCAATAAGCTCACACTCTTGTGACACTAGCCCACACACTTGGTAGTGCACACCCAGCCCACACTGTTTTTGTAGGACCATACCTGGTCTGATGTACTGAGGCCGTTCTTGGTGCTGCATTTGCGTGATCGTAAATAATCTGTATACTGTTATATGGTATATATATATGGGAGCAACCAAGTTTTTATGGAATACCGTTTATAAAGCGAATAAAATACCGGTAGATGGAAATAGTTGGTTAACCCATTAACCGCAGGTTGAGTGTGGGCTGGGGTAGACTACGATAACGGGACGGACTAAAAGTAGGCACTTGCAAATTAGGCACTTTGGAAAAAAAGTAAAAAGGGCGTAATACCTTTTATAAACATAATTAATTAGTTAAAAATGGTCAAATTAAATGTTGAAAACGCAAACTGCAATGGGCAAACTCAATAACAATATTTAAAACGTAGTATTAAAGGCAGTCGCACGCGCTTGGTCACCACTTATGCTAGGCACATATTTAGGCACTTCGAAAAATAAATAAAATGGCAGTTATCACTAATAAAAGACAGAGACATAAACATATTACCCACACTGATTAGCCCTGGGTAAATATCCAATAGATGCACTTGAGTCTAGTACTGAAATTTAGAAATAATAAATTGTTACCGGTAAGCACTTATTTAGGCACTTCGGAAAAAAGGTGAAATGGACGTAGTAACTCCTAAAAAGGTAATGAATTAGTTCAAAATATTTAAATTAAATGTTGAACGCAAAATTTGAACAGTTAAATCCAATAACGATTTTTAAAAACGTAGTATTAAAGGGAGACGCACGCGCTCTGTCACCACGTATGCTAGGCACATATTCGGGCACTTCGAAAAAAGAAGAAAATGGCAATTATCACTAATAAAAGACAGAGACATAAACATATTACCCACACTGATTAGCCTGGGTAAATATCCAATAGATGCACTTGAGTCTAGTACTGGAATTTAGAAATAATAAATTGTTACCGGTAGGCACTTATTTAGGCACTTCGGAAAAAAGGTGAAATGGACGTAGTAACTCCTAAAAAGGTAATGAATTAGTTCAAAATATTTAAATTAAATGTTGAACGCGAAAATTGCAACAGTTAAATCCAATAACGATTTTAAAAACGTAGTATTAAAGGGAGACGCACGCGCTCTGTCACCACGTATGCTAGGCACATATTTGGGCACTTCGAAAAAAGAAGAAAATGGCAATTATCACTAATAAAAGACAGAGACATAAACATATTACCCACACTGATTAGCCTGGGTAAATATCCAATAGATGAACTTGAGTCTAGTACTAGAATTTAGAAATAATAAATTGTTACCGGTAGGCACTTATTTAGGCACTTCGGAAAAAAGGTGAAATGGACGTAGTAACTCCTAAAAAGGTAATGAATTAGTTCAAAATATTTAAATTAAATGTTGAACGCGAAAATTGCAACAGTTAAATCCAATAACGATTTTAAAAACGTAGTATTAAAGGGAGACGCACGCGCTCTGTCACCACGTATGCTAGGCACATATTTGGGCACTTCGAAAAAGAAGAAAATGGCAATTATCACTAATAAAAGACAGAGACATAAACATATTACCCACACTGATTAGCCTGGGAAATATCCAATAGATGCACTTGAGTCTAGTACTGGAATTTAGAAATAATAAATTGTTACCGGTAGGCACTTATTAGGCACTTCGGAAAAAAGGTGAAATGGACGTAGTAACTCCTAAAAGGTAATGAATTAGTTCAAAATATTTAAATTAAATGTTGAACGCGAAAATTGCAACAGTTAAATCCAATAACGATTTTTAAAACGTAGTATTAAAGGGAGACGCACGCGCTCTGTCACCACGTATGCTAGGCACATATTTGGGCACTTCGAAAAAAAGAAAATGGCAATTATCACTAATAAAAGACAGAGAATAAAAATATTACCCACACTGATTAGCCTGGGTAAATATCCAATAGATGCACTTGAGTCTAGTACTGGAATTTAGAAATAATAAATTGTTACCGGTAGGCACTTTTTTAGGCACTTATTTAGGCACATCGAAAAAAAGGTGAAATGGGCGTAATAACTTTTAAAATGATAATAATTAGTTGAAAATTGTCAAATTAAATATTGAACACGCAAATTGCATATGTGAACCGAATAACAATATTTAAAACGTAGTATTAAAAGGAGTCACACGCGCTCGGTCACCACATATGCTAGGCATATATTTAGGCACTTCGAAAAAAGAAGAAAATCGGGAATTATTACCAATAGAAGACAGAGAAATAAAAATATTACCCACATGATTAGCCTGGGCAAATATCCAATAGAAAACTTGAGTTAGTACTGGAATTTAGAAAATAATAAATTGTTACCGGTAGGCACTTTTTTAGGCACTTTCGAAAAAATGGTGAAATGGACGTAAGTAAACTCCTAGAAAGATAATGAATTAGTTCAAAATATTTAAATTAAATGTTGAACGCGAAAATTGCCAACAGTTAAACCCAATAATGATTTTTAAAACTTAGTACTAAAGGGAGACGCACGCGCTCTGTCACCACATATGCTAGGCACATATTTAGGCACATCGAAAAAAAAAAATGGGAATAATCACCAATAAAAAAAAGAAAATAAAAATATTAGTCAAAATGATTAGCCTGGGACTGGGTGAATATCCAATAGATGCACTTGAGTCTAGTAGTGGTATTTGAGAATAATAAATTGTTACCGGTAGACACCTTTTACCGTATTTCCCCGAAATTAAGACAGTGTCTTATTTCAAATTTCTTCCTAAAATTACCACTAGGGCTTTTTTTCGGGGGATGTCTTATATTTTAATTTATCAAAAACGAAATTACAAAGTAAAGAATTAAGATATTTTCAAATATGCAAAATATAAAAACCGATATCATTGGGTTTACTTGTTGCAATTTGCATATTAATTTTTTAATTCAAATATTTTAAACTAATTCATTATCTATTTAAAAGTTATTACGCCCGTTTTACGCATTTTTAGAAGTGTCTAGATAAGTGACTAAAAAGTGCCTACCGGTAACAATTTATTATTCTCAAATATCACTACTAGACTCAAGTGCATTCATCGGATATTCAAATAGGCTAATTATTTTGACTAATATTTTCGTTTTCTGTATTTTTATTCATGATAATTACCATTTTCTTTATATTTCGAAGTGTCTAAATATGTGCCTAGCATATGTGGTGACAGAGCGCGTGCGTCTCCCTTTAATACTATGTTTTAAAAATCGTTATTGGGTTTACCTGTTGCAATTTCCGCGTTCAACATTCAATTTAAATATTTTGAACTAATTCATTATCTTTTTAGGAGTTGCTACGTTCATTTCACCTTTTTTTCGAAGTGCCCACCGGTAACAATTTATTATTCCTAAATTCCAGTACGAGACTCAAGTGCATCTATTGGATAGTTGTCCAGGCTAATCAGTGTGGATAATATGTTTATTTCTCTGTCTTTTATTAGTGATAATTGCCATTTTGTTTATTTTTCGAGGTGCCTAAATATGTGCCTAGCATACGTGGTGAGAGAGCGCGTGCGTCTCCCTTTAGTACTACGTTTTAAAAATCATTACAGTATTGGGATTTAACTGTTGCAATTTTTGCGTTCAACATTTAATTTAAATATTTTGAACTAATTCATTATCTTTCTAGGAGTTACTACGTCCATTTCACCTTTTTTTCGATGTGCCTAAATAAGTGCCTAAAAAAGTGCCTACTGGTAACAATTTATTATTTCTAAATTCCAGTACTAACCTCAAGTGCATCTCTTAGATATTTACTCAGGCTAATCAGTGTGGGTAATATGTTTATTTCTCTGTCTTTTATTAGTGAATATGCCATTTTATTTATTTTTCGAAGTGCCTAGCATATGTGGTGACCAAGCGCGTACGACTGCCTTTAATACTGCGTTTTAAATATTGCTATTGAGTTTGCCCGTTGCAATTTGCGTTTTCAACATTTAATTTGACCATTTTTAACTAATTAATTATGTTTTTAAAAGGTATTACGCCCTTTTTACTTTTTTTCCAAAGTGCCTAATTTGCAAGTGCCTACTTTTAGTCCGCCCCTACGATAACTTTGGTCCATCAGGTAGGCTATATTATTTCTATATAATCCATAATGTTCCATTCATTTATTTGTGGATTTCAATACAAGTTAGGTAATAATTTTTCAATTAGGCCTATTGAGCATAAAAAAAAAAATTATAATTACCCTTAGTCATACTTTCATAAGTTATCACATATCAAGTTAAGTTCTTTTATATAACAAGATTCTTTTCAATTTCAATTAAATTTTCTTCTTGGCAGTGGCGGCGCGTCAATAGAGCCAACCGGGGCAATGTCCCGGTTGTTTTTTCGGTATAATAAAAAATATTCGGAAAATACCTCAATATCGGTTGCACAGACTGTCTACACTAGCCATATTCTCCCGACATGGTTCATTTTTCGCTCGCAAAGCCTTCGCCGAACGTCGACGGGGCGACGCCGATTTTGCCCCGGTTGCTCATTGTATATCGTATTCTCTCTTTTATCTTCCACTCGCCGCGTTTGTCTCGTTTGTTTTCTGTTTCTTTTACTAAATCATCGGGGCCGATCGGGGCTAGTCCCGAAATCATGACGACACAATGCCGACGTTTCCCACAACAACGTGTTGACATATTCACGCATTCCTTCTCGTTCGTTGGTTGCTTGAAGAGTTGATAGTTTCCTCGCCTTCGTTTTTGTCGCTTGTTTCGCTATTTGAATCAGTTAGAGACCTTTAGTCCATTTGCTTTCGATTTTCCACATTCCTTTTGAGCTCCTCACTTCTTTCCAGCTTCGCATATCTTAGCCTTAGACCTCATAATGAATAAGGTTGATGCACTACTTCGCACTCCGTTTTCGCAGCTGCCGCTGGAACAAAAATTAGAGGTACAACGTCTTGGGCCTTATCAACCAAAAGATTGTTAACTGGAACAATCCCATGACGGAGGAAAGCGTCGGCGTACATTCTGCGCAGAAACTTGGTATAAAAAACACGAATGGTTGTGTTACAGCGAGGAAAAAAATGCACTTTTTTGTTTTTATTGCCTACTTTTTGCTACCGCCCGTGACTCACGTTGGTGTAAATTAGGTTTTAGAGATCTTAAACATCTTTCCGAGCGTGCCAGGAATCATCAATCTTCTATGGAGCATCTGGACAATGCAGTAAAATACCGAACATTCGGAAATGTTAATATTGCAGCACAGTTGGATGGAGGAAGCGCGGTTTCTATTCGTCGGCACAACCAAAACGTCGAGAAAAACCGCCATGTTCTCGGTCGATTGATAGATGTTTTGAAGTTCATTGGTTGTCACGAGCTGTCCCTCCGTGGGCACGATGAACGGGCTGGCTCTTCTAATAGAGTGGTATTTTTGGATATGGTGGAATACACCGCATCCCTAGATACAGTATTGAGAGATCATCTTGATGCCCCAACTGTTTCGAAAGGGACATCTAAGGATATCCAAAATGATTTGCACGACTCAATTATAAAATTATCTACAACATTTGGCTCTGGAAATTGAGAATTGCCAGTTCCTTTCGATTCAGTCTGACGAGACAACTGACATCACGTGCGTTTCCCAACTGGCTGTGATTTTTCGGTTTGTGAAAGATGGTAAACCTACCGAGAGATTTCACAGCTTTGTACCAATCGTTGATCGCACGGCTTGCGGGATATCGGCTGTACTGAAAGAAGTGTTACAGCCTTACAACGCGAAGTCAAAATTGATAGCTCAAACTTATGACGGCGCGGCAGTCATGAGTGGGTCAAAACATGGTGTTCAAGTTTATATAAAAGAAGATTTTCCTCATGCGCATTTTTTACATTGTTATGCACACCAATTTAACCTCGTTATTAAAAATATGTGTCTTGATACCCCTCTCGTCCGTATATTTTTTGCAAATGTTTCGGGGTTTTCTTCATTTTTATCCGTTTCGCCGAAGCGCTCTGACCTCCTTCGCCAGATATGTAGCTGCCGTCTCCCAGCTTGTGCACCAACACGTTGGAACTTCCAATCACGCGTGGTGCAGGGCGTGTCCGAAATTAGGTCTGAGCTCATTGAGTGTTTCAATGGCATTCAGAGCTCTCCGGTTTGGGACGAACGCTCTGTGAGGGAGGCGGCAGGTCTAAAGCGTCTGCTAGAAGATGGTGAGTTTTCATTTTTTCTCGCTTTTTTCTCCACAATATTCTATCACGTGGATGTATTATACGGCGCATTGCAGTCAAGGCTAATGGATGGAGCGTCTGTGCAGTCGTGTATTTTAGACTTCTGCGATGCTGTATAAGACGACACATGGAGTGCTTCTTTACGCCGCGCGCAAACAACGCAGCGTGTGATTTTGTCTGCGAAGGAATGCTGTGACATTCTGGTGAATCAAATAGACGAGAACCTTGCCGCGTTCTCTTTGATGAACCCCAAGAATTTTTCAAAATTTGCACGTCAATTTCCCATCCATTTGTTGGCTACCGTATCCAAATTTTACCCCATGATAAACGTGGGTAAATTGAAAAATGTATTGCGATGTATATACATCAATCAAACTTTTTTGAAAATCACATCAACTTGCGCACTCGATAGATATACCTCATAGATAACACTCTAGTAACTACCTTTGCGGCGTCTGCAAAATTTCTGGACATCATTTTGACGACGCCTATTTCTTCCGCCGACGCAGAGCGAACATTCAGCACGCTGAAGCGTATTAAAACGTAACTCGGAAACACAATGAAGCAAGATAGATTAAATTCCTTGGCTGTTTGTTTTATTCATTCACAGAGACGTTATTTCTGGGATGCATGACTTTAATCAGCGCGTTATTGAGCATTTTGCTTCCAAGAAACCGCGGCGTGTTGCATATATGTTCAAGCAGTAGAAGTCTAGCAGCATATATATCTATGAGTGGGCGACGCATGTCCTTATCTTTGCATTCTTTCCTTTCTTCATAGTAACGTTTTAAACCTTATTTTAGGTTTTGTCTGCTTTCCCGAAGTTTCTGTTAATATGTCATTGTATTTATCTGGGTAAATATTGCCTTTCCTTTTGAAAGAGGTTTCAAAATAAACTATGTCTATATTTATTAATCCCTTGACTTGGACCGGTTTTAAAGACACTTTCTTATCGTTAAAAATTGTCGCTTTTGCCGATTGGTTGTTACCGATGGAATGGTTTTTATACTCATAAAATGATGGGAGAACTTACAGCGCTCATCCTGTCCCCGTAGATGGGGGTGACTTGGTCCCGCAGTAGCTTGCCCCGGTTGTCAAAATGACCACGCGCCGCCATTGCTTCTTGGTATACCGATAATAGAGTTTCTAATTTTCAAATTACATTATAAATTATATTATTTACATTTGGGTTATGAATGTATGATTTTGAAAAATGGCAGCACAGCCCGTACCGGTACAGTACACAATAAAAATTTCGTTACACATTGGACAAATATGTGAATAATCATAGTTGGGTCTAGTATAGTTTAGTACCACAAGTACTTCCAGTTGGCGTATCAAAACGAATTTTACATATGTTATTCCTAACCCCCACCTGACTATGCCATCCAAAAATTACGGTACGTCAATACGACATCACAAACACGTCATAGGGCTTGCCAAAGTATAATTGGCGCGGCGATGTGGCTCAACGGGCTAAGCGTTAGGAATACGCTAGCCACCGCACCTCTAATTACTCTGCGTGGGTTCACAGGTTCGAATCCAATGCAGGGATGGTTATGTGCGAGAGGATTGCTGGACTCCTCGCCGTCGTTGGGTGGTTCACGTAACCGCTGGTCGGTTACGGCTTCCTCCACCACCAAGTCCATGCTTCCGAAAACAAACAATACAGTAAAACTAATCCCATACCCGACTTGGAATGGTAACCGGACGAGAGGCCGTGGTTCGCCATATGGATAAGCCGTCTTATCGGATTACCTCCCCGGGATAAATATGTAAAATCTATCCTAATTACGATCGCCCGAAATGGCATCTGCGCCGCTGATCACGAACTTGCTAACGCCGGCGATCTCTCTCCTATCGTGATCGTTATGACGGGAAAACGAGAGAAATAGCTTGCTCGATTTCGGGTGATCATCTGCGCGTTTTGTACAACCATCCGCATACTTTGGCGGGCCTTATTACGCCAATGTGACGTCGAAATGACGTAATTTTTCGGTGACGCGGTCAGGTGGGGGTTAGGATGGGCATATGCAGAAATTGTTGAGCCAGGCCAACTAGAAGTGCATGTGGTACTAAACTATACCAGACCCCCATAGTTAACTATCGAATGAATGTTGTAATAACAAGAGAGCTATGCTCAAATATATGGACACGTAGCGCCACATAATTTTGATGACCCCATAGCAAAAAATAAAATAGCCTTCTGGAGAAAAATTCCATCTTTAACAACAGAAAATTTCAAAGCAATTGGTCCAGTAATCAAAGAAAAAAGCTTTTTAAAAACGTGTCAAAGAACAAGAACAAGAGAGCTGTGCTCAAATATATGGACACACAGAACAATTCCCCAAAAATCATATGCGGTGACTTACCAGTACCTGTATCGTATCGGGGAACGGGGTATCGTGATGGTACAGGTACTGCCATAGATATTTTAGGTTATGTGACAATGATCCATTCTTCTTGATTATATTGAAACATCAATTGAAAAATCAATTGATTATATTAAAACATCAATCGTGATATGAGTCAAATTGGACCTCCTAAAGCAGGGGTCTTCAACCCGTTGCCCGGGGGCACGCCCGTGTCGACCATATAAGTCGCCCGCATGTCTGTCCCAAAATAAGCATAAAACGGCGCTCATAAGTAAGCTACATCAATCAATTTTTGTCAATCAATTCTTGTATAAATCGCACTTTTGTCTGTACGTGGGAACTGACACTATGTTAATTATAATTGTAACGATTATCCTGATTAGCATTTGACCACAGTAATGCGATGGGTCATTTAATACTCTCCCAATTATGTCATCACACTGATGTCACTTCCACGAACCTGCGTTTTTTCTTGTCCGTTGATTTGTGGAGCAGCAATAAAACAGTTATTAATTTTGAAGAAAAATGACAGAAAACCTACCATTTTCACGATGAGTGGGGGATGAATTCCCCTTTACCACCTTACGTATGTCTAATTTGCGGGGTGATTATAGTAACGACAAAGCGGAGAGATATTCCACATCTTGTTACTATCCATTGGTCAGCGCAGTA